AGAGCAACCCTCAACATTTACCACTTGACAGCCAGCAAGACAGGAAGAAAGCATTTAAGCAACAATAACCACCCCGAAAAAGCAACCCAAAAAAAGTTGTATGCCAAGCCGGCTTAAGTTGACAAAGCAATTTGTGTAATGTTGCAGTATGGTGGTTAAGTGATGTAACATCCCTTGAGAGAAAAGGAAGCGTGTATCTAAGAGTCTGATCAGACTAATCAGATTACCCGAGATCACAGACTGCCGTAATAGCACTTGGCCTGCAAGTTTCTATGTCTCTGTCTGGTTTTCCACATTTTAAAGTAAAGCAGCAAGGGCTACGGCACCTGTTTTAATCATCAAAGAGAAAAAAGGAGGGATTGTGGGACTGGGACAGGGATTGCGGGAGAGAGTACATGGCAGAACTCTATCCAGTAATGTCTCATTATTAGATTTGCAACAAGTAGATAGCTCATAGTCATTTCTCACTTGTAATTACAGCTTGCAATGGCCTCGGCTACATGACTCTCTTCAGCAATTACCTCTCACATCTACGGATCAGGGAGAAATTCAAATCAGTCTGCATTTAAACTTACCTAATTCACACTTTCTGAAACAATATGTGAACTGAAACTCAGCCAGTTTCAGTTCAGCCTAGATTCTATGCGTTGGATGATATCACAGTTAACCTGCTATTAACTCACAGGCATTCCCTAGTGCATGCAGACCCAGCTATAGAAATCAACAGCAATAGCGTAAGTATAAATAAAAAAACAAGTACTTTTGCAATTCTCAGAATATTTAACGTTGCATTTTATTTCGCTTTATTGTATCTTGTTTTAAGAGCATGATAAAAAGAACAGGCTAATGAAATTCTCCTCTCTGAGGTTGCATAATCCTAATCCTTGGACACTCTTGCATAGAAATTCTGCCAAATTGTGGGCAATTTTTGCATTCCATCTCCGGACAATTTCATTTTAGTCAATAGCTCTCCTGGGCGGGAATTATTTGTATTACTGAATCAGGCAAGGATCCAAGGCAGTGTGTTGTATTAAAAGCATGCCTCTTTACCGCCGCTCAAGTAACAAACTGTAAATCGAGAATTCAAGGCTTGACAATTTCCAGGGACTTTGGGAAATAAAATTCATCAGGATTGTTTACATCATTGATGCTAAGAGAAGTGACTCCAGCAATCCTCTTAATTGTGATCAATCTTTATAACATCATCATCATCATCATCATCATCATAATTTATTATTTATACCCCGCCCATCTGGCTGAGTTTCCCCAGCCACTCTGGGCGGCTTCCAATCAAGTGTTAAAAATAATACAGCATTACATATTAAAAACTTCCCTGAACAGGGCTGCCTTAAGATGTATTCTGAATGTCAGGTGGTTGTTTATCTCTTTGACATCTGATGGGAGGGCGTTCCACAGGGCGGGCGCCACTACCGAGAAGGCCCTCTGTCTGGTTCCCTGTAGCCTCACTTCTCGCAATGAGGGAACCGCCAGAAGGCCCTCGGTGCTGGATCTCAGTGTCCGGGCTGAACAATGGGGGTGGAGACGCTCCTTCAGGTATACAGGACCGAGGCCGTTTAGGGCTTTAAAGGTCAGCACCAACACTTTGAATCGTGCTCGGAAACGTACTGGGAGCCAATGCAGATCTCTCAGAACCGGTGTTATGTGGTCCCGACGGCCACTCCCAGTCACCAGTCTAGCTGCCGCATTCTGGATTAATTGCAGTTTCCGGGTCACCTTCAAAGGTAGCCCCACGTAGAGCGCATTGCAGTAATCCAAGCGGGAGATAACTAGAGCATACACCACTCTGGCGAGACAGTCCGTGGGCAGGTAGGGTCTTAGCCTGCGTACCAGGTGGAGCTGGTAGACAGCTGCCCTGGACACAGAGTTAACCTGCACCTCCATGGACAGCTGTGAGTCCAAAATGACTCCCAGGCTGCGCACCTGGTCCTTCAGGGGCACAGTTACCCCATTCAGGACCAGGGAATCCCCCACACCCACCTGCTACCTGTCCCCCCAAAACAGTACTTCTGTCTTGTCAGGATTCAACCTCAATCTGTTAGCCGCCATCTATCCTCCAACCGCCTCCAGGCACTCACACAGGACCTTAACCGCCTTCACTGGTTCTGATTTAAAGGAGAGGTAGAGCTGGGTGTCATCTGCATACTGATGAACACCCAGTCCAAATCCCCTGATGATCTCTCCCAGCGGCTTCATATAGATATGAAAAAGCATGGGGGAGAGGACCGAACCCTGAGGCACCCCACAAGTGAGAGCCCAGGGGTCTGAACACTCATCCCCCCCCCACCACTTTCTGGACACGGCCCAGGAGAAAGGAGCGGAACCACCGTATAACAGTGCCCCCAGCTCCCAGCCCCTCTAGACGGTCCAGAAGGATGTTATGGTTGATGGTGTCAAAGGCCACTGAGAGATCCAGCAGAACTAGGAAACAGCTCTCACCTTTGTCCCTAGCCCGCCGGAGATCATCAACCAGCGCGACCAAGGCAATTTCAGTCCCATGGTGAGGCCTGAATCCCGATTGGAAGGGATCCAAATGGTCCGCATCCTCCAGGCGTGCTTGGAGTTGTTCGGCAACCACCCGCTCAATCACCTTGCCCAAGAATGGTAGATTTGAGACTGGGCGATAGTTGGCCAAATTGGCTGGGTCTAAAGATGGTTTTTTAAGAAGCGGTTTAATGATCGCCTCTTTCAGCGGGTATGGGAAGGCTCCCTCACAGAGGGAAGCATTCACCACCCCGCAGAGCCCATCACCCAGCCCTTCCTGGCTCGCTTTTATCAGCCAGGATGGGCAAGGATCAAGGAGACAGGTGGTCGGTTTCACTCATCCAAGCAGCCTGTCCACACCCTCGGAGGTAACAGATTGGAATTGATCCCATGTAACAGGACCAGACAGAACTCTAGCACTCTCTCACCCTGGTCCTGCTCCCACGGTGGTGTCTACCTCCTTCTGAATCTGAGTGACTTTATCTGCAAAAAACTTTGCAAAAACATTGCAGGAGATCTTGGGGTCCCTACCAGGCCCCGGTGGTACAGGTGGTTCCAATAGATTGTAAACCACCTGAAAAAGTCTCCTGCTGCTGTTTTCTGCAGATGCAATGGAGGCGGTGAAGAAGGCCCTCTTTGCCGTCGCCATTGCCACTTGGTAGGCTCGAAGTTGAGTTCTAGCCTGTGTCCGGTCTGATTCAGAATGAGTTTTCTGCCACCGGCACTGTAGCCGTCTCAACGATTGTTTCATCGCCCTCAGCTCCGGGGAAAACCACGGGGCTGTCCGGGTTCCATGCAATCGGAGAGGGTGCTTCGGAGCCAGACAGTCAATAGCCCTGGTTAACTCCGCATTCCAGCATGCCACCAGGGAATCAGCTGAAAGGCCATCAACTTGGGATAAAGCATCCCCTACCACTCTCTGGAAGCCAATTGGATCCATTAAGTGGCGGGGGCGGACCATCCGAATCGGTCCCACCTCCCTGCAGAGGGGAAGGGTCGCGGAGAAGTCCAGGAAACATAGGAAAATAGGAAGTTGCCTCATATTAAATCAGATTATTGGTCCATGTAACTCATATTGTCTACACCAGGCATCCCCAACCTGCGGCCCTCCAGATGTTTTGGCCTACAACTCCCATGATCCCTAGCTAACAGGACCAGTGATCAGGGATGATGGGAATTGTAGTCAAAAACATCTGGAGGGCCAAAGGTTTGGGATGCCTGGTCTACAATGACCATCAGCAACACTGACCAGTGGGGATTGAACCTTTTGAACCTATTGCATGCAAAACAGATGCTCCATTGCTGAGCTATAGCACATCCCTACCTGTATTCCAACAGCAGAAAACTGACTTCCTGGGTTTCTTTTGGAATAAACTAATTCAAACTGATCAAGAGCACTATGTTTCAGAGACATTAAAAATGTCCAGAAAACAGAGTGGCATGTGGCCCCCAGAAAGTTGTTCAGAAGAGAATATGGTCCTCTGGTTCAAAATAGTTCCACACTCATGGCCTAGCTGCACTGGCAGAGAAACAGGGATGCGGACGGAGTGGACTGCCCCTGGCACCATTATTCCGGTAGGGTGCCATCGTGGCGCCCCCCCGACACGCGCCGTGCACCTGTGCACGCACAGGACTCCATGCCCTCATGTGGCGTGTCACGCTCCTAGAACGCGCACCACACTCCTGCGGGTGGCACATCACACCCTCACGGGCAGCGTACCACACACCTGGGATGCATGCCACTCCCCCAGGGTGCCAGCCATGCCCCCACCTGCTCTCTGCTCCCAGTGGCAGAGCATGCAGCTTTGCCACTGCCTAGTTGGTGCCAGCCAGAGCAATTTCTGCCTGTGTTTCCTCACTATGACAACAGGACTGCTTTGCCAATCAGTAGCTAAAGCTTTATCATCATCATCACTACTTCCAAAAATTGGCCCCAGGAATTGGTTTTGAAGACACATCATGGAGCAACCTTGATGAAGCTAAGGAGGTCTGGGTCTGATCACTACCTGGGTGACAGCTTGCTTGAAAACCCCAAAAATACTACCTTGAGTTTTGTGAAAGAAAGCATATTCATTAATTGCATTGCAATAGTGTGGTATCTCGGGTTAAGAACTTAATTCGTTCTGGAGGTCCGTTCTTAACCTGAAACTGTTCTTAACCTGAGGTACCACTTTAGCTAATGGGGCCTCCCACTGCCACTGCACCAACGCCGTGCGATTTCTGTTCTCATTCTGAAGCAAAGTTCTTAACCTGAGGTACTGTTTCTGGGTTAGCAGAGTCTGTAACCTGAAGCGTCTGTAACCTTAAGTGTCTGTAACCCGAGGTACCACGGTACACATGTTTTCAAGATAGATTTCTTAAAGTATGGGAATACAGGAAGCTAATATAGGAAACTGCCTCATACTAAGTCAGACCACTGGTCCATCTAGTTCAGTATTGTCTACCCTGACCTGCATAGGCTCTTCAAAGTTTCAGGCATGAGTCTCTCCCAGGCATAATGGAGATGCTGCGGATTCAACCCAGGAGCATTTCCATGCAAAGAAGATGCTTTACCACTGAGCTACATCCCTTACCCAATCTGATCTTTCAACAATCACCTGACCTTCCAGGACCAATATTGCTGTGAACTCAAACCTTCGGAGGGAGTGCAACCCTAGACAGAACAGGTTGTACCCCCAATCCTGAATCAACTTGTCCAGGCATGTCCAACGTCCGGCCCAGGGGCCACTTGCAGCCCTCGGGCTGGTTTCAAATGGCCTCCCAGGCAATTTTGAAAAAGCAATCTCTTGTGGCCCCCGAGCACCTGCCCACCAAAGCCATTTCCTTTTTGCGGGCTTGTCATGAGCTCTCCCCTCTGTGCGGGGCGCAGGGCTAGCCCCCGCACCATTAGGGAGTCCCCAGCTGCGTCACGCCTTGGGTCGACCAATTTAGTCAACCGGGGGGAGTGTCTAAATAAATAAATAAATAAATACTACGGTACACATTTGGGACGTTGATGCTGCAGCAGTGGCGGTGGCAGAGGGGTGGCCGCTGCCTTGACCTCAACCACCATGTTTCCCCTTCCTCGTTTCCCCTTACTTCCATGCAAGCAGGAGGGGGCAAGGATCTCTCAGTTAGGCAGCATGAAGCCTCCCCATCGGAGCAGCCCCGATCCCATTCCTACTTGCATGCAAGCAGGAGGGGACAGGGATCATGCCTCAGTTCTCATGCATGTTGTAGTCTCCATCATCCGGGGCAACAGGTTGACAAAGCCTGCTGTAGAGTCTCAGGAGTTGAAGCAGCCCAGGAAAGGAGATGCCAGTAATAACAGAGAGCTTGTTTCTTTGAGGTTCGACCACAGTCACTGTTCTCTTCTGTATCCTCAACACCTAAGTGCAATGTAAGTTAGAACCAACAATTTCTGTGGGGTGCAATCCTAAAAAGCTCAACAACTTCACACATGTTCACTTCATCAAATCTGGTCCTCTTTGAAAAGTTTGGACACTACTGAACTTGTCTACTGACCAACAGTACTTCCATCTTGTCTGGATTGCAAGCCCACATCACTGGGTCCAGATAACAGACTCCTTGGCTCCTTGGTTAAACATGGGGGTCATGGGCTGGGTATCATGTGCATAGTGATAGGACCCAACACCCAAATGCTGGGTGTTTATTCTTATTTCTATTGAGGTCATATATTGAAGCAAAAAGTGTTCACTGCTGTTCTTTTCAAACACACTCTATCTGAGGGATATGTCCCCACCCCCATGCATATAAGTACTGGCTATATAAGATGGGAAGTGGCTGCCCTTCTTCTAACCCCAAATTCAGGAGAACATAACCATATGCCAAAATAAACAGGTCTTTCCGCACTGACAAATTTATTTATATAACTAATAAAATTGAGTTGCTCTGGCATATGGAAAAATTAAAAATAGCTATCCATTAGAGAAACATGAACCTTTTAATATTAACCATTTGGATCTTATCACAGCAATAACATTTATACCTTTATAATAAGTCTCATTCTGTATTAACCAGTTTGGTTTTCATTAATTTGATACGAAACACTTGCTAATATATTAGGAAAGTCACTAACACTATTAATTTACTAGATAAATTACTTCTGTATCTTGAAACTTTAAATGAAATGGAATTCACTAATCCTAATTGGTTTGCCTTCTACTGGAATTATTTCCCATTAGTTCAGCATGGTTTCTCGTTTCATACTTGAACAGAGGAGGCTTCTTCAGCTCCCAGCCTTGGGGTACAATCCAATGGGTTTATTAATTATCAGGTATTCATTTAAAGGGGTTAATTAAGCAATAACTTTTCATGGACGGCCGTGTAGGAAGACATGCTGCTGATTAAAGCACAGAGGCCATCATTTTCTTCCATTGTGAAATAAATAAATATTTTCAAATTATTTAACTAATTAGCTAGGAGTTCCCAAACCCCTCTATGAGAAATTTGGCAATGGGCTACTTTTTCTTTCTTCTTCCCATCTGCTGCTCTCAGTGGTTGCTTTACACAACCTATTCATGTGCTAATAAGCTCATCACGGGCAAGTTTTCCTCCCTCTCACCAACATTACACTGGCACAGCTTTTCTCTGTGTTGAAAAAACTGCCACTGGACAGAAACATCAAATAAAATGGTCATTTTAAAATGACGAAAAGTACAAGGAATGGGTGGGTGGTCTTGCAATTGCCAACCACCAGTTACCTAAGAATATTTAAAAAACCACCCTGCTGGACTAGGCCAGTGGCCCATCTAGCCCTGTTCTCACAGTGGCCAACCAGATGCTCAGGGGAAGCAACAACAGCACTCTCTTAGCCTGTGGTTTCCAGCAGCTGGTATTAGGAAGCATATTGCTTTGAACAGTGCAGGTGGAGCATAGGCTCAAGTCCTGGATCAAGTGTGTTTCATCTTCTGTGTGATGCTCTAAAAATATTTGAACACTGCTACTACATTTTAATCTTATCTTCTGCTATTTGCTTATTAAACATCAAGCCTAGCTGATCCTAAAAGACTTAGGAACACATAGAGATGGCTAGCCAAGAACAGAAAAAGAGAAAGACTTGCTGCTCCATCCAGTACCCAACATGGCCAGCCAAAGTGTCCAGTGTCCAATTCTATTATTTATTAATTTATTATTTATTCAACTTATACACCACCCTATACCCAGAGGTCTCAGGGCAGTTCACAACAAGACCACAACATATAAAATCAAACCAAAAGCAGTAACCCAATAACCTGCCCCCCCAAAAGCCACATTCTAAAAGGGTGTTAGATCTGACATATGGTGAAACTGCTGTCATATAAAAAATGACTGGCAGCTGTGTTCCTGAATATGAGGAAACATCCCACCAAAAGATTGACATTCCACAAAGGGTTTAGAAATTCCAGATCAAATGAGTGCTTTTTCTAATGTAAGATTGCAAAGTGTTCACATAAAACTAAGGTGCTAATTATCCGTTGCAAGAATGATAGTTATTGGACTGGGCCTGAAGTTCAGATTCCTGTTGACTCCAGTCAGAAATAATTGTGGTTGTTCTGCCATTCTAAAAAGATGGCCTTACGTGTCCAATGGAAACTTCCCAAGACAGCTCCAGGTTTGCATATTGGATATTTGCAAAGTGGTTTGTTGTGAGAAACCCACAAATCAACTATTTCCCCACATGATGGATATGGAGAGTGACCAGAAATAACAGAGAACGCTGGAGAAAATAATGATAGGTAGCACTCAAGTAGCTGACCAGTGGCAAGCATAGCCAAGATAGCTGGACAGACATACAGATAAACGGATCTTTGTACTCACAATTGTCCTATGAGAAGACAAAATAAGCACAGAACAGACTCCCTGTGGTGTGGTAGCCATTACCTGAAAGCTACTCTGAACGGCTTGTGTGTTTGTCAGGTGCTGCATATGACCTAACAAGCTGCCTTATACCAAATCAGACCATTGGCCCACCTAGCTCAGTATTATCTACTCTGACTGGTAGCAGCTTTCCAGAGTTTCAGACAAGATTCTCTCTCAGTCCTACCTGGAGATGTCAGGAATTGAACCTGGTAGTTTATGTAAGCAAAGCAGATCCTCTGCCAGTGAGCTCCGTGTGATATATCAGCCTCTAAACAGAATCTCTCCCATGACTGACAGCCTCTCTCCTCCACCCCAATATCTATCTATCATATTTGCATAAAAATTGCATATGTCAATTTATCTGTTTAGATGCAACATTAGAAATATTTAATGAAATTGAAGGAGAAATACAACAAATCTTGCTATACAGTGGTACCTCGGGTTAAGAACTTAATTCGTTCCAGAGGTCTGTTCTAAACCTGAAACTGTTCTTAACCTGAGATACCACTTTAGCTAATGGGGCCTCCTGCTGCTGCCACCGCGCCGCCGCCGCACGATTTCTGTTCTCATCCTGAAGCAAAGTTCTTAACCTGAGGTACTACTTCCAGGTTAGCGGAGTCTGTAACCTGAAGCTTCTGTATCCTGAAGCGTCTGTAACCCAAGGTACCACTGTATTTGGGAGGAAGACTATGTCCACAGAAGAATGATCTTTGTAAAATGGGACACATGGAGAATCCCCTACTTCACTTGTTCTAGTCTTCTGCAAGCTGCTTCCTTGAGATTCCCCTCTTTTGCTCCTTGGAAAACATGTGGCCCATAACCAGCATTTCTTGTGACAGTGGAAATGTAAAGCTAGAGGGTCACTTGTAAGACAGAATCGGTGGATAGGACAGAGAGGTGCTTTATCTTCACAACAACCCTGTAAAATAGACCACAGTGAAATTTGAGCAAAACAATGAAAGGTATATTATATAAGGCATCTTCAAAACTAACATATTTAGTATGGCAAAAACTTTTGGGAAGTAATGTTAACTTCATCAGATGCATCATTCTTGCTAATCCATTACATCTTATGGAATAATACATTGAGTAGCCTCTAAAATGGTGCTTTTGTGCTGTAAGTTATGACTAGTTGGCTACCCCTTTGACTGAAAATATTCATTGAGCAGTATACCCAACACCACATAATGAGTGAGTGATGGAAAAGAGGATCTTTATGCTAGGTCTGCAGATCCCCTACCACTGAGCCACTGCTTCTTCCCCTGTATCAAAGAAAGGAACCAGGTTGTCCGTGAAAGAACAGATCCAAACCGCTAGGGGCAAAAACACAGGATGCTATGAGCTGGCAAAGAGAGGATAATGAAGGAATTGGCACAGTTCTTCTGAAAAGAAGTCCTCACATGACTTTGCAATTCATTTTTCTTTGGTGCCACATGGTATTGGTTATGCAATGGCAAAACTTGTAATTCTGTCAGCTGCCAAACTTAGTGCCAAGAAACATTATATAAATTTCTCTTTGCAGCCATCTGCCAGCACATGTTCCATTTCTGGTTTCCCTAGAGCAGATACCTTTGAAAAGCCAATCGTGTGGTGGTTAAGAAAAATCCAGATTAGCTATAGCTTCAAAATAAAAACTATATTTGCCTTTGTGACCAAGCTTGTTCTGAATAGGATGGGTCCTGGGCTTGACATTTCTGTGAAAGACCTCTGCCCAAGAAATTAGAGACACTAATGGTCAGGAAAGACAGAAGTGAACTAAATGGACCAATGACCTAAATCAGGGAAGAGCTGTATCTCTGGGATAGAACCTCTACTTTGCATGCAGAAGGTCCCAAATTCAATCCCCAGCATCTCCAGGTAGGGCTGGGAGAGATTATTATCTGAAACCCAAAAGAGCCTCTGCCAGTCAGTGTGGACAGTCCTGTACTAGATGGACTAATGGTCAGACTCAATATAAAGTAGCTTCCTTATGTTCCTGGTGCAAAGCAGGGCAGGGAGTTGGACCACAGGAAACTCACTGGCAGTTTTGCAACCTGACCAGCCCAATTTACAAGGCTGGAAGGAGTGAAAGGCTAATGGCTCAAGAACTTCCCAGCACATGCCCAACCCACACTGAAGCCACATCCTCCTAAAACTCTGGACAGCAGCCAAAAAGGAGGGGGAAGATATTCAGGGTGTCCAGGATTCATGTACTCTCACGGGATTCATGCGCTGATAAACTTGCAAATATATATTTATCATGTGTGCATGGAGAGACAGACAGACAGATAGAATAGCAAGCATGGGAAGGGGGGACAATCTGGTTTAGAATCCTGGATGGGACAGAGGGAATTTAAACCTTCACTGCCTTCCTGTGATTCAGATCAGGAATCCCTCCACCACATCTGCTATTAGGATTGGTATGTATCCTACTCAGTTAATCAGACCCATTAACATTAATAGATGTTCATTTCAATGGGTCTACTCTGGCTATGGCTAGTAATAGATATAACCCATTGGTAGAAAAGCCCCCTTTTGCACCAATGGGAATGTCCCTCTCAAAGCAGAGAGCAGGCATGGAAGGGATCAGGATTGGGACTGCAGGGTGGGGCAGAGGGTGGGTGGGTGGGAACCCACCCCTTTGGTTTCAGTTTGGATGGCTGCTAGTTGCTCTTTTAGAAACTACCATTCACTGATTGCTTACTGTGCGATTGGACTTTATAACATTTAAGATGTATTAGGTTTTTTTTAAAAAAATGTAATATCGGAATTGTCCTGGATCTTCACAAAAATCCTGGAAGACAAGTTAGGCTCAGAAAGAAAATCTTGCTCAAGGCCACCCAGTTAGTTTCATGGCTAAGCATGGATCTGATGCTGGCCCTCCCACACCTAAGCTGAACAGTCTATCTGCAAAGCATTGAAGAAGGCGGCGTAGGATAAATCCCTGTGTTACAAGGTTTTTCCAAGAACATCAAAGGCAAGAGATATGGGATTGCCTTTGAGTATTTAAAATCACACATGTCTACACCAAACTCTTTCCATGAGCCAAGTGAACCTGACTTGACTTGCCTAGTCTGTCATACAAAGCCATATGAACTTGATTTAATGATGTCTGTGACACTAACAAAGTAATATTTTTAAAAAGAAATCCAAATATTTGTATATTTGTTGCACCAGATAGGTATTCCAACAGGAGCAACAACATGTTGATAAAAGTCTATAGACCTCACATCCCACCACCTGAAATTTCTGAACCTGTGTTCGCATGATCTGACAAACACTTGATGTCAGTTGCATGTATCTGTGCTGAGTCCAGAAGAGATAAGTGTGGGTTGTCGTAAATGCAGTTTGAGTTGCAAACATGGCCTGCAAACACACTTAGGTCCATTGGTTTCAAGTGACTTATGCAAATTCAACTCATTTGAGAATCTGGTTAAACAGTCGTATGATCACACCCTGAGCTCTGGACATTTCACTCAAAACCACAATCCACTAATTTGGTTTATCAATTGACTTCTGAGTGTCCTCTAGTCAGAGTCAGTCCTACCATTAGGCAGTGTGAGGCAGTCGCCTCAAGCAGTAGATACTTGCAGGACAGGCAACAGCAGAATAGAGCTATGTGTTCCACACAATTCCACTAAGCTAGCCTGCTGTGGTGAAGGGCACTTGTCTGTGTTGAAGCAAGATTCAATATTACCAGTTTGATCAGTTTTTGAACATGGAACCTAGGAGGAGCTGCCATCTTGTCTAATGCTTCAGACAAGAAAGTGACCCTAGTCACAAGATCACGGTGATTGTATAAAATGGTTAAAATGCATCAAGTTAATTGAACAAATTATACAAGAGCATTTACAGTTGACCCTACCCAGCAGTGCTCATTCATATCTTGCACTGGGAAACATTTTAGGAGAGAGAGAGAGAGAGAGAGAGAGAGAGAGAGAGAGAGAGATTGAGAGAGAGAGAGAGAAACTAAAAAGGGTGTGTGTCCAGCTGAATCAAAATTAGCCAAGCAACAACTTTAAGTCATTTTGTATTCCTGCAAGCACGTTACAAAATTACATCACTCTCTACCTCATTAAACAATGTGTGTGTGGGATTCTGGAAATGCAGCCCCCTTGCACTATTAATTAAGCAACTGCTCTGCTGCCATATAAACAGCACCCAGATGCACAGTGTGTTCTGCTCTGTGGTTTCCTTTCAGTTTTCTATGCATGGATGCACCAGACTGGTATGAGCAATCTCACTTGGAAAAGATGTCCTGTTGGAATAAGGCTGGTGGCTCCTTTATTTCTTAGCATGAGCACAAGAGCTCAAGTGAGGTGTTTAGAAAGCCACTCAAAACAAAGCAGATCACTTCCACTGAGAGCAATCAGACATGCACAGTTAAAATATGCTAAAGGCTTGAGCTCAGGCCTCTTAGCTCCCATCACAAGTGTTCCATTCAGGCTCAAGTACCCTTGCAGAATACTCCTGATCAGCTCTTGACATTACTAAAAACAACTGTCCAACCCACCGTATTATCTGTCATTATTGCAATGGTATTAACTTTCCACACAGAGAAAATAATGGAACCGTGTTCTTAGATGTCACCTTGACTGTGGGCCCAAGGGTGAACTTCAATTTTACTGGAATTTAAGTGAAATGGGAGAAAATGGGCTATTCCTCCCACCTCCTCTGGTTGTATATTCCAAACTAAATTATGCGGTCTTAAAGTGGTAAGTAAATGTAAGGATGGTCATTTTCTAGGCACAAGAGTCTCAGCTATCAGGAGTCATTATTTTCTGGGCATTATCCTCTGAACTATTTTGCTAGGTTTGTGTGTACATAGGTGTGTGTGTGTGTGTGTGTGTGTGTGTGTATACATACACACACAAACATACAAATTCATTTCTTTTTCATATATATTGTTGACATGTGCCTATCCCAAGAACCTTTCTCAACCTGAGGGCCACATTCCCTCATGGGAAAACTTCCAGGGGCCACATGCCAGTGGTGGGTGTGATTCAGAGGCAAAAGTGCTCAGAGCACCTCCTCACCTACCACTACTCCAGGCAAACATGGAGCAGAGCCAACAAGGGTGGGGTCTGGGAAGAGGGGTGTGTCCTAGGGAGGGGGAGTGGCCTGAGGAGAGTCCCAGTGGCCAGATAGTCCTGGAGGACCATGTTCAGCTCATGGGCCTGAGGATCCCCACTATATATGTATATAGATTGCTATATCTTACCTGAAATGAAATATTTGCCCTGGAGGGTTTTGCTAGCTTGATAAATGGGTCTTTACCATGCGTGTCTGCTTCTTAGTGTTTTAGTCTTCCTTTAAATTTTTTTTAGTTTAGATAGAAGGCGAGTAAGAGGCATATAACATAAGAGTCTATAAATTTACACAATATGGAAAAAGTTTCTCTCCCATTCATAATGCTAGAACATCCATGGAAACGAAATGTTGGAAGATTCAGCACAGACAAAAGAAAGTACTTCTTCATGCAGCACATATAATTATGACATTCGCTTCCACAAGAGGCAGTGATTGCCACCAACCTAAATGGCTTTAAGGAAGAATTAGACAAATTTATGGAGGATAAAGCTATCAATGGCCACTAGCCATGATGGCTGTGTTCTACCTACCTCTGAAGAACAGTTGCAGAGGAACGCGTATGGGAAGAGCGTTGTTGCGCTCCAGTTCCTGCTTGTGACCTTGCCTCAGGCATCTGGTTGGCCAGTGTGAGAACCCATTGCTGGATTAGATGGACCTTCAGACTGATTCACTGATCCATCCACAGTGCTCTTCTTATGCACTTATGTTTACTCAATGGTTCACTTCATATCCTATATGTGACACCAAAGACCTGGACCCCTGCAGAAGTTGCATTAGATTATAAGATATAGATTTCTGTATTCTCTCTTTCCATTCTTTTCTGGAATTCAAACTATATAATCCATTATGCTTTTGGCAAGTTTAATCCCCCCCCCCCCATTGCATAACTCAATAAAAATGTATTTGCAAATGTAATTACAGATCAAGCTAACAGCTTTAATCACAGTCTGTGCAAAGCATGTTATGAAATGGCTTCATATATATGGCTGGGAAGTTTATGTGATATATTCTTTAGCAAACTGTAATAAAAACAATGGGGCGGCCATGCACCAGAAAGTACTGACCCAATTTTTGTACCCTTTAATAAAGCATTATTAAAACATTAGTACGGCATTTAATAGAACATGGGCTGTTAAAATTATGAAATGGCTCGCCATGTTGTGAGATACATGTTGATGACCATAAGTATAAATAACTGTGGTGTACTTTACACATTGTACCTAATGGAATAAATGGCCCTTCTAATCCAGAAGTCAATAAACCCCATATCTTCTAGGGTTTTTCTCACTCCACTAGTGGACACCTCAAAGGCTCAGGCTATTATGTTGACAAATAAGTATTGAGGATCCTGTGCTATTAGTACTGTGCAATCACAACCCCCAAAAAGAAGCACCATAATTTGTTGGCCGTATACCTGCCTTGCATACAGAAGCTCTAAGCTTCCATGACTGGCAGCTCCTGTTAAATGATCAGGCAAAGGTGAAGGCAAAGGCCTCTTTCTGAGATGTCTGAGAGCTGCTGTTGTTTAGAGCAGTGAGTACTGAGCTAGGTGAGCCAAGGGTCTGACAGTAGAAGACCAGTGTGGCGTAGCGGTTAGAGTGTTGGACTAGGACCTGGGAGACTGGGGTTCAAATCCCCACTTGGCCATGAAGCTCACTGGGTGATGTTAGGCCATTCACTGCCTCTCAGCCTAACCTACCTTATAGGGTTGAGGAAAGGTGAGCCACTTCAAACTCCTTGGAGAAAAATGTGGATACAAATTCAATAAATAAACTAAATAGCATAATATTCCCTGTACTGTACTGCACAGTACTGACCTCAGCTCCTTTGGGAGCAGTTCCTCTGCGTGCAAGGACAGCTGCTCACAAAGGAGCAGCCACCGGCACTGTGCAGGATAAGATCCTCATCCATCACCATGCAGGATCAGATGAAGAAGCTACTTGAGAGGCCCTCCAAATATGCCCAATTTCACTCGGCCCTCTGGCAAATCTGGTGCACAGCCGCCACCACCATCATCATCATAGCAGCTACTCAGGTCATTTGAGAATTGTGGGTGGCAGTTTTGGTCCTCGCGTGGATAGACTGAGCTGAACTGGTTGTGCACTGTGCATATGAAGCCACTGTTCCAACCTATAAGGAAAAGAATTTATATATATATATAACTGCATCCTCCTGTTTGAACTTGTGTAATGAAAGCATAACTGATCACTTGCACAGCCAGGGCAAAGAAGTTTGCAGAGGGAGAAGTAGAAAAAATATTTTACTCTGGAGGCTTTTTCTAAAGTGCCCTTGTTTGTTGTCTTGGCAGGAAAGTTCAGCACTTGGCACCAAGATGTTGGAATTTGGCCCAACTGTAGAATTGCTCCACTTGGCCTTCCTCTCTCTCCCTCTCTTCCTTCAGGATCCTGTTGCTAAGCAGATGGCCCGATGGCCGATCTGGGGGCATTTTCGGCCCCACCCTTAAGCTACAGCCTGATTCACTCTCGTCTCCCCGCCAACAAGATGAAGGTCTTGCTTCTCCTACTTGCTAATAATAACAGTAAAAGAAACCCCAGAGCCAAGTTTGTGCAAGTAAAACCAAAGATGCTTTTGCCAAGAACACAAGACAGCAGCCGAAGAAAAGGAGTTTGTGCTGCTCTCTCTCTCTCTCTCGCGCGCGCTCTCTCTCTCTCTCTCTCTCTCTCTCCCCAAGGGAATCAGGGCTGCTATAGATTGTTATCCTGTCAGACTTGTTCTGGTTTTCCTCTTTCTGCTTTTGCACAGACTTAAGGTACTACCAAAGTCACCTCCTGCCGCCACCCCTTCCTCGTCTTCAATCTCCCTGCCTCCCTCTCTTTAATAACTTTATCAACTCACCGAACTTCAGGATGATTTGTGCCTTTCAGAGTCTTGCTTCTCTCAGCCAGGACTTGGATCCCATCCATTCTGCAGTGTGTGTGTGTGTGTTGCTTTTTTATTATGAAAGGGCACACTTAACTCTTTCTCAGGCCATAGCAAATATGCATTCATCTATTTCCCAGGCAGAACATTTTGGAAGCTGTTCTGCCTGCACTTCTCCCTCAAAAAACAACAAAAAACCCCAAAACCTTACAAACAAACAAAACAAAAACCAATTGGATTAAAATCAAAAGGTATTGCTTCAAAAGCCTAAAAAATGGGGAAAGGAGGGTAGAAATTTTGACCCTACAGTTTCTCCAGATGAATGTGCTTTATACTGAGCAAGGATGAGATTTTCCCTGCTCCTTTCCTTAATTTTCCTCTGTTTTCCTTTGCCCTGCATTCAGAGCTGTCTCTACTGTTTGCTAGAGTGAGGTGGCTGCCTCAGGCGGCAGTTGCTGAGGGGACAAGTAATTGTGGGAATGAGCTGGAGAACAGAGCTATGTGAACCACACATAGCCCGCCTCTTACTCTTTAAGCTAGCTTGCTTCCTTTAGGATGATGCTGTCCAACTGTCAGAATTGTTTTTTTAAAAATCAACTTTTGTATGGGGGGTGGGAGGGGACACTTTCCTGACTTTACCTCAGGTCAGGCTTTACTTGCATTCCACTTCTGCTGAATTCCAATTCAAATTAGAAAAGGTGTTAAATTAATTCAGCAACTGCAGCATACACAGTGTGCCAATGGTTTCCTCTCCACCACTTATTTGGCCTCTCTGCTCCATTGCTATATTCCTGATGACATCTAGGATGGCCTCTGGTTCCTACTTCACAGAAAGCACCCTGTATTTGAAAGATAGCCCGCTCCAACAAACCAGTGTCATATATTCACACCTGGGAGACCATGATTCAAATCCTCACTCAACCATGAAGCCCAACAGATGATGTGGGGCCAGTTACTGTCTCTCAGCCTAACTTATCTCAAAGGGTGAGGCTCACATGGAGAGCAGGAGAACCATGTGTGCCATCTTGAGCTTATTGGCAGAAAGGTGGGATATACAGTGGTACCTCGGGTTAAGTACTTAATTCGTTCCGGAGGTCTGTTCTTAACCTGAAACTGTTCTTAACCTGAAGCACCACATTAGCTAATGGGGCCTCCCGCTGCTGCCACAGCACGATTTCTGTTCTCATCCTGAAGCAAAGTTCTTAATCTGAAGCACTATTTCTGGGTTAGCGGAGCCTGTAACCTGAAACGTATGTAACCTGAAGCGTATGTAACCCAAGGTACCACTGTAATGTTAATAAATAAATAAATAACTTTGTTTAAGGGTAAAGAAACGTACAGAGAAATTGAGCAGGGGTCTTGCCCCTTAGGGATAGGATATTCTGTCAATTACGGTTTCTTTCTTTTTCTCATCTTTCCAACCTTAAGTTGAATCTTCCACATTTGCACACTTTCAAGGCCTTTCATGAAAACTCTTAACGGCATTTTAATGCAAATTTCTCCTAAACATCGTTATATGCAATTTTACCTAATATGCAGCCTGTTGCAAGCACTTTCCCCAAATACAATGAGCTACATTGCAAAATTAGGAGAAAAGCACATTTTGAAGGACACTTGTGTTTTAGTTCACATAATGATTTGCATTAAAATGCAAGTTTCTGTCTCGTCATTGCTCCAAGGTTATATGATATATAAGACTGCCGCCTTTGGATTTTATAATAATACGTTTTAACGGTGCTCATCTCCTCTGTAGTGTTTATTTAGATCAGGGATGGGGAACCAGTGGACTATAACTCCCATCATCTCTCACCATTGACAATGTTGGCAGGGGCTGATGGGAGTTGGAGTCTGGTGCTATCTAGAGGGCCACAGGTTCCCCATTCTGGATTTAGACCTTCTTCTATCCATCTCCTTGTACTTTTAAACAATAAATTCAAGGGAAAAGAGGTAATTATTGCAAACTCTACCCATATACAAATGTACTTATTTCATACGTTTTAATTTTTATATTTTGTTTTTCATGTTGTTCTAATTGTTTTTCATGTGTTGTATGCATTGAAAATTGAAACAAATATTTTAAAGTAAGTTCAAAGCCAAAAATCTACAAGAATGAGCAACAAAATAAATATTGGAATAAAGCAGGGTAGCCAATGTTGTGCCATCTGGATGTTGTTGGACTACATCTCCCATTATCCCTGGCCATGGGTTCTGCTAGCTAGCGCTGATGGGAGTTGTAGTCCAACAACAACTTCTAGAGGGCACCACACAGGTTACCCCTGGATGAAAGCAGTACATGCAGTTTTTGCAAATGACAAGCAGATCAAATGAAATCTTTAATAATGACAATAAACAGAGTAGCAAAGCAAAAGGACACATATTCTTGCATAAGTTAATGTTATTAAAGGTGAGTCATATGAGTTCTACAGAGTTTGAGCATCAGTGAAAGTTCAGAAGTAGGATGCCTTTGTCTTTGTACCTGGGCATTTGGGGCTCTTTTGGAAGAACAAATTTGCCATCTAAATTATTCTGGAGATACTGAGAGACAGTTCCACATTTTGGTGGATTGTGACAGGATCATGTGGATGCTGCGTTCCTCATTTACATGAAAAATAAAATCTTGCTAAATAGAAAGTTACTTTAAAAAAACAAAACTTGATTTCTGCTTTATCTGAGCTTATAGCCAGTGTCCATACTTGATCATGCAATCTTTCTTTGTTTACGCCTTCAAAATATTTCCGGTATCTCACTTCTAGCATTCTTTCAGCTGTATATTTTAATGACAGCATCTTCTCTACTTCACCTGAGGGCAAAAGGCTAACTTAGGGAGCACAGATCAGGACCTAGCTCTGTCCTCCAACATATCATCACTCATCCCAGCATTTGCCACCTGTGGCAGCTGCTTCACTCTGCCTAACAGCAGGGCCAATCCCGGTGAACATGCTCTGTTCACAGCTTCAGATGAACACATGCAGTTCCAGTGGGTGCAATCCCATTTCTCTTCCCCAGTACCACCCTGGGAAAAGCAGAGATATGCCTATTATTAGGATTCACTATGGCTCCGCAGAGTGTTATATGCTCCTCTGTCTACACATTGACAGACAAATCATTCCCATGAGCTCCTTTTCTTGTCTTCTCTATCTTCTGTAATATAGTCTTCATTCAGTATTTTTGGGTGGTGCATAAAAACCTTTCAAACAACAAATTAAAAGTGTAATTAAAATAAAAATTAAACGTGGCAGGGCAAAGATGCAAAGATGCTTCCCATCCTTTGAGTGAAGGCTTTACTTGTCAATTATTAAACCACAGTGCCGTGGCTCATAAACGCAGGTCTGTGTGTGCACCTAGCTTTCAAAGCTCCATGGAAAAGCAGGCAACATAGACTAGGGCAAAGTCTTTCCCTGATCCTCACTTGTGAATTGCAGAGGCAGCTCACTGTAATGCTCTGAGGTCTCCCTGAGTTATATTTAATTGATTTACCTGTTAAATTTATCCCAAGAGACAGCAACTTGATTTGATCATTTCGGCTCAACTGCAATTGCTGCATAGCAATGCAGTAGTTTACCTCATAGAGACAGTTTCCTTTTTCCAGGGTCCAAGATGGTTCTCATCTCTGCTAGGAAGGGATATTTTCTTCTTCAACCCTCTGAACTAAGCCATTAGTTTGAGGTAAGGGTGGGAAACTTGTGAGTTTCCAGAGGTTGTTGGCGCACTGTTGCCATGCTAGCTGGGATTGATGGGAGTTGGAGTGCCACAGCTTACCACCCTGGTTTAAAAGCACATTGGTTCCTTCTTGATTTCAGTGTTGAATGTGACACAAAGGTAGCAACATTATGAGGAAGACACATCTGTGGTTTTTCAATATCCAACTTTGCCTCTGTCTTCTTACCTTGTTAAAGTCCCTATGACAAGATGTTTGACCAATTTATTCCGAATGTTTGTGATGACCAGGTCTAGACTCAGTGTCATCATCAATGCAGTAGTAATAGCCTTGCTATTACCATGCCATGTTTGTGCAGTATTTTAAAGGTTGTCCTGTAAAGGAAGAATAAGGTAACAGCAGAAGGAGGTAGACATTCAAGAGACAAGAAGAGAACGAGTGAGTTGGAGAGCTCCCAGTCTCCAATTATAATCAGGAGACTCATCACTTAACATATTGTTCCAGGATATGGCCTGAAGGCATATGAGGTCACCACTTTGCTGAAGCTAAGCAGGTCTGGATCAGGTCAGTGCCCAGATAGGTGAATGCCTGAAGGCCACATGCACTCTGCCTTGGTTGCCATGATGGAAGAAAGGTGGAACAGGTGCATAACTAAGGGTGCATTCAGATGTGGGGCTATTGCACTAGTTTTCCTTGTTCGAATGCCAATGCTTCTGTACCAGTTTCTAATATTCCCTTTACACTGCCTATTACCTGTTGCATTTTTGGAACCCTGACTTTTTAACCGCTACACCACCAGTAGACAACAGCAGACATAATCAGATATGTTGCCACCCTTTATGTGCATGCTCGCATCATGAGAAAGAACTGTATACTGGAATATACCCCTTCCCAATTTTGTGGCATGAGCCATGAAAACCCTGCAGCACAAAGCTCACAAAATTCTCTGGGTTACAGAGTCGCAAACTCCCCCCCCCCCCTGAAAGCAAATAACACAGAAATAAGTTCTAAACTTCTACTAGATTTCAGTAGATTTCTAGAAATGGTTGTTACATTGTGTGAAAGATCACATAAGACACACACAAAAATTCAGGTAAGTAAACATCAGGAAAGTGCTACAAAGTGCTGTCTGAATGCTACCTAAGACTTTTTTGTTCCAGCAGGTGTTTTAAGGTGGTGTTCAGTTTTATGATAATTTTTGTATTGTTTTATTGTATAATTTTCTCTGGATTGTTTTTATGTACACCACTTAGAAATATCAATAATTATGTGGGATATAAAGCCTTAAATAAAACAATGAGCAAAATGCAAGAAAAGAAAGAAAGGAGGAAAGAAGAAAGGAAGAAATATTTGCCCTTCAGATGGGTAAGTCTACAACCAAACTACAGTACCTATCTAGAAGGTTTGAAAGCGGTTTGTGTTCTTTGCTTATGTATTAAAATATGTCCATACCACCATTTATCCATAATAACTAAGTGGTGTATAAATATAAAGTACAATAAGATAACAACATTCAGAATAAAAATGAAGTTTAAAAGTTATCAGTGATCATGATCATGTACATTTTCTGAACTTGACACTGATTTAAATGTGTTCAGTCACCAGGTTCTAACACCAAGGTGGATAACCTTTTTCAGCAGAAGGAATGCATTTCCTTTAGGAAAACCTTTTGGTAGGTACATGATAGTGGGCAGAGCAACAAATATGATACTTCCTTTTGTACAGTAGACTACATTCTATACCCTACCAGGACATCACCAGAGGCCACCCTGAGGCTTCAGGTTTGGGCCCTGAAATCTCAGGGTCTGGGATGCTCCTGACCTGGCAACCCTATACAAACCTGAGGTTTTGTACCCCACTCTAACCTGTAAGGGACGCGGGTGGTGCTGTGGGTAAAACCTCAGCGCCTAGGACTTGCCGATCATCAGGTCACGTGACCCGGAAGTGTCTGCGGACAGCGCTGGCCCCCGGCCTCTTAAGCGAGATGGGCGAGCAACCCCAGAGTCGGACACGACTGGCCCGTACGGGCAGGGGTACCTTTACCTTTTACTAACCTGTAAACCTATTCCAAATCATGAAACCCTGGTTTAGTGATCCAATTCTAAGAGAAGAGCTAGACTGGGGGTAATCTTTCCCTAGCTAAGGCCTTCAAGACTTTTAGATGATTTATAGGAATGAGCACCTTATAGCATCATTGCTGTACATTGCAGTGGAACCAGGCATTGATCTTCCAACAGAAGAGCAAAAATACCCAGGGATCCATAAGAGATGGTTTGGAAGAAAGGCAGGGGAAAGGACCTATGCCATTCTTAGTGTGCTGGTGCAGATATTTTGTTTGTTAAGAAGACGTAGCTCATAAAGTCATCCCTATGTGCTTTTCTGTGCACTGTGGTTTGCTGTAACACTTGTTAGTACTGGACTCCCCCTCATCCTCTTTATATAGCAAATCATAGGGTATTAGGAACACTGAATGGTGATTTCATCCCATCACATTGCAACAAAGCTATGTCAACTACTGTACATCAACGTGCAGTGACTGTGCTAGAGCTGGTCTGGCAAAAAGCTACCTCAGCAAGCTGTCAATTCAATGTTTTGTACATTTTCTTTTTGTGTATGTTTGCTCTAAATTTCATCTCCCCTGTCTGATGCCATAGGCTACAAGTCTGTTACAAAACTCAGGCTACAACATGTCAAATATAATGAAAAGGGGGTAGCAGGGGAAGTCTTGCTTAAAACTTAAACCACCTGCCATCTTATTCCTGGAGAATGGAAACAAGCACTCTTCTTATCATCTGAGGAAGGCTAGGTGTCTTTCCAACATTGGCCAAGGACCATGTGGTTGGCAGACAGCACCAAGGACCAAGGATCAGGGGACCAGAGATGCAGGGATGAGGGCCTTTGTGGAGCAGGATCCTTCAGAGATAGGAAGGACATAAGAGCCCTGCTGGATCAGACCAGAGAGACCCATATAGTCCAACTTCTGTTCCCACAGGGGGTCAACCAAATGCCTATAGGAAGAGAGGAGAATGTGTGTGCAATTACACTCTCCTGTTCAGGGATTTTTTTTCAGCCAGATTGCTCCGGAACAGCATTCCAGAATCTCTCAGGTGACCCCAGGAAGTGTGGGGAGAAACCTTAACAGCCTAAGCAAAGCCCTGCTGGACCTCTGGCTCATGAGGAAACCCTCCCCAGAGCTCTAAGGCAGGGGCCAACAAACTTTTTCACAGGGGGCCGGTCCACTGTCTCTCAGATCTTGTGGGGGGCCAGACTTGATTTTGAAAAAAATATATGAAAAAATTCCTATGCTCCACAAATAACCCAGAGATGCATTTTAAATAAAAGCACACATTCTACTCATGTAAAAACACCAGGCAGGCCCCACAAGTAACTCAGAGATGCATTTTAAATAAAAGGACACATTCTACTCATGTAAAAACATTCCTGGACCATCCATGGGCCGGATTTAGAAGGCGATTGGGCTGGATCCGACCCCCTGGGCCTTAGTTTGCCTACCCATGCTCTAAGGGGACATACTCTATGGGCTCCAGAGAGGGTCTCCTCCCGAGTTGGAGGCACAGCGGAGCTTTGATGAGGCTCTTCAACCACCCAGCTAACAGCTGATGCACAGGGAAGCTGTACCTCAGCTGAGCAAACCCCCAGCTGTTCTAGTTCACACAAGGTGGGGGGGCGCTTTAAGCTGCTCAGCTCAGGCAAGGAAGGTTCCGCTTGCCTCAGCTGAGCAGCCTCAACTACCCTCTGGCTGGCAAGGAGACCTGCCCCCCCCCAGCCCAAATACATCCTCTTTGGACTCTGGGGTGAGTCTTCTGAGGGAGGTGCATTCCAGCACCATTTTGTCTTGAAAAACAACACTGCTCCTGCTCTTGTTCTCCTGCAACTGGTATTCAGAGGCAAACTGTGGCGATCACACAGGGCCCCCGGACATTTCACGGTCTATTGACCCTGTGCCACCACTGCGGTTAGCTTTCTTCGCTGCCACCACCCCGCTGCTCACGGGGACACACGGAGTCCAGACAGTTGTTAACATAGACAAATAATCAACTTTATTTTTAAATGCAGGAACAAGCGTATGGTTACAGTTTATTTTTCTCTTGTCAGTTTCCTAATCTTAGTTCCTAACAACTCCAAACTGATTATTCCAACTATCTATCTGACTCAACCTAACAATTCCTCTCACTCTCTCACAATACAACTCTACCAACCCACACCTAAGCCTCCCTCTTCCTTCTCCAACACCCAAGCCTCAACTCCCAACTGACAACCCTCAACTCCCAACTCCCAAACCTCAACTGACTTTCAAAACCTCCCACTCTATCTTTTACTCCCCTCTTGCATTCTCACTGGCCAATCACATCACACCCATTTTAACCCTTCCCTTGACGCATCCTAGGAGGCAAACACCACACAAACCATCTTTCATACTGGAGGTAATATAGACTATAGTCATCATGACTAGTAGCCATTGGTAGCCTTCTTTCTCCTCGATTAATTTGACTGATGTGCCACTTTTCAAGTGCTACACAATGTTTGCTCTTCACTTGTAAGGAATCATTCTTTTAGTGTGGCAGCCCCTGTCCTTTGGAAGTCCCTGCTTATTGACATTAGGCAAGCACCTAATTGTTACTTTCAGACACCTGCAGAAAAGATCTCTGTATCCAGACACATGATTCGGTTATGCCTGTTCTTAAATTTGCCTTGGATGCTTTATTGCGTTTTTCTTGCTTTCAGAAGTTTTTAACAGTTTTCAAATGTTTTAAATTTGTTTTTATATTGTTTTTTAATTTCTCTCTGTGTGTTTGCTGCCCTGGGCTCCTTTGAGAGGAAGGACAGGATATAAATGTCATAAATAAATAAATTGTCCCTTTTTAAAGCAGTCCAAGTTGGTGACCCGCACTGCATCTTGTGGTAGTAAATCCTATGTTTAACTGGGTGAAGAAGTACTTCCTTTTTTCTGTCTTGAATCTCACAGGTTCTCGGATTTTCAGAGAGGGACAAAAAATACATCCCTGCTCACTTTATCCACACTATGCATAATTATATACACCTCTGTCATGTCCCCACCCATTATCATCATTTCATCATCATTTTTTATTTGTATGCCGCCTTTCCACAGTTAAAAAAACAATGCTCAAGGCAGCTTACAGCATAACAAGATTTGCATAATTACAAAAGCCATAAACAGTAAATAAAGGTAAAGGTACCCCTGCCCGTACGGGCCAGTCGTGTCCGACTCTGGGGTTGTGCGCCCATCTCACTTAAGAGGCCGGGGGCCAGCGCTGTCTGAAGACACTTCCGGGTCATGTGGCCAGCGTGACAAGCTGCATCTGGCGAGCCAGTGCAGCACACGGAAACGCCGTTTACCTTCCCGCTAGTAAGCGGTCCCTATTTATCTACTTGCACCCAGGGGTGCTTTCGAAGTGCTAGGTTGGCAGGTGCTGGGACCTAACGATGGGAGCGCACCCCGCTGCGGGGATTCGAACCGCCAACCTGACGATCGGCAAGTCCTAGGCGCTGAGGTTTTACCCACAGCGCCACCCGCGTCCCTACAAACAGTAAATAAACCACATCAAAAAATACACAACCAAATGGGAAACAATTTCCACATAAATCAAAATCTAAAACTAAGAATACAGCATTAACATCACAGTTTAAAATGACATAGGTAAAAAAATAACAGCAATTTAAACAAAAAACAAAAACAAAACAAAATGGAGCCTTCTCTGCCCAGCGGCAGCAGCGGCAGTAATCCCCTATAGAGCCCATAAGGCCCCGCCCTGGGCCAGGTGGTGAGTTGCAGGACTGGGGCCCTCAGGTACTGAGCAGGGGAGTCCTCCTGGGTGGGAGCCACAGCAGCAGTTCCTATAAGGCATGTAAGGCCCTGCCCTGCGCCAGGTGGTGAGTTGCCTTTCTTGCTCTGTTAAGCAAAAGCCCTAAACGTTGTAACTTTTCCTCATGGAGGAGTTGCTTTAGCCTTATTATCTTTCTTTTAAGTGCTGAACCTTTTATTTGTGAAGCAATTCTACCCAATTGCCAGGTTAAGGGACCCAATTAGCCATGTTGTTTTTTTGTTCTACCACGAAAATCTTCCATTGCTCCGGCTAATGAATACAAAGGGACTGAGACAACTGATAGTCACTAGACATGTCGTTTTACATTTTCTAAACTACATTTACTCAATATGGAATGCACGGACATAACTGGCTGTGTGGTACCAGACTGACTCAAGGTGTTGGTTTGTGAAGCCTAAAGAGCTCAGGGTCCCAGTAGTTGCAGGATGCTTCCTCCAATACCAGCCAACCCAATCCCTAAGGTCAGGTGGGAGGATATTCTGCTTGTGGACTCCACTAGGACTTATGGTTCAAATTGTGTGACCGGGTCTTCTTTATCCTGGCCCCCTGACATCAGAGCACCTCCCCCCAGGAGTTGCATTTGCTTTAACTCCTCATTTTTTACATTCAAACACCACCTGAAGATTTCCTTGTTTACTATGGCTTTTTAGAAAATGAAATGCTGCTGGGTTAATAACCAATGGCTGCAACTGAATTCTGTGCTTTAATGGCTTCATTCTTTTCTATTTTATCTATTTGATGCATTTGGTTGTTTTTAATCTTTTATTGTACATCACCCTGGGCTCCTTCTGGAGGGAGGAATTTATCCAGGTAACAACTAAATGGATAAATAACTTTATTAAGCTCTGGATATTTAGATTCTTACTTCTTTGCTTTGATTTACCTCACTCCACCCCCAGACACCCTTAGACCTCCTCTTGCCACAGCATTTCTGGTTATGAGCCTAATTGCACTACCATGCTCCAAAGGCTAAAGGCAGATTCCACAGTAGAAAGCTCATTCCCTATAACCAGAGTTTCTTGGCAATGGTAATTTCTTGCCTATAGTTGCCACCGAATATTGCCCAGAGGGAAACTTGCTGTGAGTTTGAATCATCCTGCTCAGGCAGAACATCTGGAAGAATCTGGAGGTAAATTCTTCCTGTGGGGTGGGACTGGCACACATGTACATGTATGCTCCCAACTCTCTCCTATTTCCCAGGGATAACCCCCACTTTCTGGCACCTGTTTCTGCTAAGACAATGTCCCAGTTTGGCATTTTGTGGCCATGCTGGGATACCATTTTCAAAAATATTGTTAATGTGCATACATTACATGTTTGAGTTGTTCAGATTTCATCCCCCTCCCCTGGAAGACATGAGAAGTTAAATCCCTGAGAGGAGGGTGGGCAGATGACTCTTAAAAAATGCATGGAAGTGTTGGCATGGTTGGCATGGTGCAAACAGACTAGTGAGGCCAATATGCTGCTCCTGCTGCTGTGTTTACACCACACCAGCCTCCCCTCTGCCTACCCACTAAGCAACAGGGACCCACCTGCCAAGAAGCTAGCATAACAGCTTTGCCCCACCTGGTGAGGCACTTCTTTTCCTAGTCCTCCCTGGAGATGCTTCAGATTTAACCTGAGGTAGTCTCCATGGAAGGCACATGCTCTGCCACTGAGCCATGGCCCTTCCCTTCCATGCAGCTCCAGACTGTAATTTTATTCCTGAGATTAGTATGAATGGGAAAGTCACTGAATGTTTTCCAAGGGTTTTTCACTAATGCAGACTCCATGGTGTCTTGAGTTGCCTGTGAGAAAGAGGCTGGTATTTATATTCTGAGTAATAGCCGCTTTGGGCCTGTGGCTATGGGAGTGGATTATTATGGGTATAATTAATCATTGAGCCCTGTAAATTTGCCTAATAGAACACCTTTTGAGGTATCTCTCTTAAATCTGTCTCCATCCAACTGGCTGGCAAAATGAAGGCTGTGGCCACTTCATACTTTTGCAAGTTGCATATATTAAACAAAAGAGGCATTGCATATATACTGTAGTTGTACTTATATAACTTCATCCAAAACTTCCTGTAAGCTTCAGTTACCAAGGCACAGCATAGTTCAGGTGCTGTGGAACAACCTCCCAGGTACTTCCTGAACAACCTGGCTCCCCTAGAATGTAGCCCAGTTCCCCATAATATTCTTATTGATATTATTTATTTAACATCTTAAAATGCTTTAACCTCTGAAAAACCAGTGAGAAATGAAATTATCCCAATTCTATAAATCAAAGGTTGAAAAAGGAAATAATGTTTTTTGCTTAAGAATGAAATTTTGGTATGTTTCCCCAGGCTCAAAGCAGTTTGCTTCTTGCTTTTGTAAAAGAGATAATGTTGCTGCATCTCTTTGTTTCATTTTCTCTTTTGTATAGATTTTTATTGAGTTTTGATAAATCCTACACATGAGATCAATTACACAATAATTCACACAACTAAGTTTTAAAAAATCATATCATAATGGGGGGGGGGGCAGGCACAAGCACAAACAAAGACCAAAACTAGGCAAGTATAAAAAAATGCATACAATAATCTTCAGGGTATGTATAGCCAAAAACAATTGATCCAATTACTTAGAAAACAATAACCCTTAAAGCTTTGGTTTTTGGACATTCCCACCATAGATGTAAATATGTCCCTATTGCCTAGCAACCCTGCCTACATTCGGCAAGGAATCAGGGTTCAAGTATTACAGCCTACACAGTGTGAGGTACTACTTATGTAGTAACTTTAACATAAGCTCCCTGTTGATTGCTGAAACAGAGCAAAATGGTGGGTACTAGTCTTTGTTGGGTTAATTGCTCAGAAATTGATTGATGTTCATCTTAGAGGTCAACAGATGTTTCATCAAGAATAATAATGGCTTCCTGATTTGGGGGGAATCTCTCCAGCCCTTGCAACACAGTGCCCAACCGAGGTGGGGGCAGCCAGGAGATAGCATCATGCAGCTTGAACTGGGAGGCACAGAAGCCCCTTTCACATGTTCAATTGAACAGAGGCAAGAGGAGGATCATGCCCACAGGCCCTGCTTCCACTCACACAAACTTATGTGAAAGTGATGATGCAAAAGAGTCCACATGCATACAGATTGCATGTATGTGTGATCATGGGCCCTGTATACACCCTGTACACATCAGCACAGTACATTTAAGGCACTCTTACACCACTTTAACAGTCATGGCTTCTCCCAGAGAATCCTGGGAACTGTAGTTTGTTAAGGGTTCTCACCTCACAAATGTACAATTCCCAGCGCCCTTAGAAAGCCATAGTTTTCAGGATTCTCCATTGCTGTTAAAGTGGTGTATAAGAGTGTTTTAAATGTATAGTGTGGTTGTGACCAGATTTTCTGGGTGGTTGACAAGGATTTCTGATTTCCAGTTTTTTAACAATAGCAGCAGAACAACCATCCCTCTGTCACCATAAATTTTGATGAAATGAAGAAAACTTGGGATAATTGGGAGTGGATATATGTGTGAGCCTGTGAGCTCCATTGAGTTCTGGTACTCAGAACAAATTCCTGTTCTCAGAATTCTTTAATTATTAATAATTGGAAGCAGGCCAGGTTTGGTGGTTCTCACTTGAAGACAAAGCTGAACCCACTAGCCTGAAGTCTGCCTGCTCCTGATTTGCAAGATAGAAAATTCTCATCTAAAATTCATGCTTCTTTTAAATATATATATAAAAGTAATGTATGAACCAGGTGAACTTAATCAAAAGAGTGACTGGCATTAAAACCAAGGTTGCATGTTAGATCCTCATATGGGACAGCTGTATATTCCTGCATTGCAGGAGGTTAGATTAGATTATCCTCAGAGTCTGTTCCAACTCTACAGTTCTGTGACTCTAAAAAATGAATCATAATAGCATAGGAAGAGCCCTTCTGGATCAGGTCAAAGGCCTATCTAGTCCAGCATCTGGTTCTCACAATGGCCAACTGGATGCCTACAGGGAGCTTGCAAGCAGGACCTGAGCATAACATAACACAACAGCATAACACAACAGCTGGGGATGGGCAAATCTGACAAGCTTTGATTTCTTTGTTTCTCATTTTCCCAATCTTAAATTCAGTACCCCAAATTTCCACGTCAGTTTGCAATTCTTTTTGAATCTTCGCGAAAATTCACCAGCATTTTAGTACAAATTTCTCCTATTAAATACATCTCTGCATGCAATTGGGCCTATTTAAATGCATTTTTGTATATCATTTTCAGTGATATATGCTTTTCAAACATGCTTTTGCATTTGTGCATACATTACTTTGCTGGAGAACTGCATGGAAAAATTCGGAGAAGTGCGAATTTTGAAGGATGCGTGTGTTTTTGGTTCACAAACTGTTTCAGAAAGTACAAATTAGGTACGCTCACCTTTAAATGCAAACTGAATCCCCACTAGCACTCCCAGCAAGTGGCATTCAGAGGCACATTGCCTCCAATCCTGGTTGGTCCATCCTTCAGATCCCTCTTTCCCCCACTAAAACCAGTTCACTCATCTTTTACACTTAAGAGGCACCCTTCCCTTCAATAAATGTCAAATAGTTGCTGTCTCTACTTCCTGCTTATGCATTCATTTTCTCAGGCTCCCTCTGCCAGTTGTCGAGTCAATTAATACAGATATGAATAAGAAGCCATAGTAATCTCATTAATATTAATAAATGTTAACATTGTAATATACTTCTTTTTATTACAATATCACCTTCATTAGAATTTTGTTTTGCTTTTCTGCAGTATCCTCAACAACAGTATTGCTCAGTGGGGAGAAGAAAAAGGAGAGGGGTGGAATCAGGGGCAGGGTGGTTTGATGCATGCCTCAGTAACATGGAATTCAACCAGTTAAGTACTTTAAATGGAAGAATGAAAGATTTGGAGATTCTGACTTGTGGCGGGGGAGAAGGCAACATGATCCGAGGCACATTCAGAGAACACATCAAATGCACTTCCCATCAAAGAAAGTTTTTATTAACTTTATAATGGCCTGTGATATGTATCTGCAACTCAGTCATATTGCCTTCATTTGTTTCTCTGTGTGACAAGATGCAGCCTGATCTAGCCTGACAAGCCACAATGAGTGCAATGCCCATACATCATGATGACACGTTTAAAAAAGGAAAGGAAAGGAAGACAAGCAGCCCCCAAACCAAGAACACACGCACAAACACACTGAACTTTTAAGGCCTCCTGTTCATCAGATGGAAAGCAGTTACAGATCTCCTATAAGGATAACCACCAGAGAACACAGTAAAGGCTTTTGAGATGAAATGCAGTATAGCACCAAATGGCTTAAGTTAAAGAGCCCACCTAAGATGTGTAAAGACTCCCAGATAATGAAAGAGAGATGTAACCATGTAGATAGCCACACATAGGAAGATGGCCTTATGCTGAGTGAGGCCATTGGTCCTTCTAGCTCAGTATTGTCTATGCTGACTGGCAGTGGCTGTCCAGGTTACAGATACAGGTCTCCTCCAGCCTTACCTGGAAATACCAAGGAATTGAAACTGGGACCTTCTGCATACAAAGCAGTTGCTCTACCATGTAGCTATGGCCCTTCACCTTGTCACCTAGGGTGAGTATACTGTACATGGTTCCCAGATAAGTGGAGAATGGTGTTTTACAAAATATACCTTTTTTTTCCATTTTGACCATGCCAACCTCCCTGGTGCTCCCCCCCCCTTCCCAGTAAGCAACTGTGACCCACCTGCCAGGAAGCCATCATAGCAGCTTCGCCCTACCAAGCAAGTCACTTCTGTAGCTAGTGTAGAATGCAGTGGCTAGATTTTTAGCTGGGACAGGCCTGAACCTATAACATTGGTTCTGGCCTGACTGCACTGCCTACCAATTTGTTTCTAGGCTGAATTTAAAGTTTTGGTTTTGACCTTTAAAGTGTTATACATCTTGGGATCCCTATACAGTGGTACCTCGGGATGTGAACGGAGACCCGTTCCGGAGCCCCATTCACATCCTGAATAGAGCGTAAGACACGATGGTGCATCTGTGCGTGCACGGGTCGTGTTTTGCCACTTCCATGCATGTGCGTGACGTCATTTTGAGCGTATACGCATGCGCGAGCGGCGAAACCCGGAAGTAACACGCTCCGTTACTTCCAGGTTGCCATGGAGCAAAAACCGAAAGTGCTCAACCTGAAGCACATTCAACCCGAGGTATGTCTGTACCTATATGACAGCCTTTTCTCGATATGACCCTTCCCAGGTCCTAAGATCATCTTTGGAGGCCCTTCTCTGAATGTCACCTCCAAGGCATGTCTAGAGGGTGGTGGTGAAACCATAGGCTTTTTCTGTAGTAGCTCCCATCTATGGAATATTATCCCCAAGGAGACCTGCCTGGCATCATCATTCTGGCACCAGGAAAATACATTTTTGTTTTCCTGGGCATTTGGACAGCACCCATGATTTTCTTTTCTTTTTTCTTTGGTAGGGTTTTCAGTACGTTTATTGATTTTTATTGGTATATTTTGTTTGTCTTAAATTGCTTCCAGACTTCTTGTTGTGGGAAGCAATTTGTGAATTTAATACAACCTAACCTAACTTTAGCTCATGCACAAGCCTGGCTCCTGAATACTGTGGAATGGATAGGAGGTGAGCTTTGCAAACAAGTTCCTTAAGTCTTTTAATCTGCTTCCCATCTAAAGCGGCTTCTTTCATGGTCAATTATAGAGTGTTCCAGAGGTGTTTCACTGGGAGAAAGAGTGAGGAAAGGGGATCATTCTTGTACTACAACTCTCTGGCCCTGCTTCTTCCAGCAATTGACTCACAAATGTAATTTTGTTTTATGGCTTCCTGTCTGCACTAATGAAGTATGATTAATCAGGGCCCATAATATGACTCTCCTCCTACACGACCTTTTTCCATACTCCCTGGTAAATATAATGCAGACTATTAATTTGGACTACAATGTTAATTTGCACAATAATGTTTGTATTATTCTAATGTGATGTGTTTATCATAAAAAATATGAGATAAATTAAATCAACACCATAGTCACCAATAAAAGCTGATGCTGCGGTGAAACGAGGAAGACAGTTCCTGGACAAATATAGTTCAGCTCAAAAAGGGGTATACACAAAAAAGCATGCAAATTTGCATACAATTTGCATGTGCTGATTTACGCAGCTCAGTGCAAAGGAATAATTGCTAATGGTTATAATTTCAATAGAAATACTATACATCTTAGAGACTGTAACCATGCCCCTGCTTGTTCTGTTGTTCAGGGGCTAACAGTTGACAGGTAACTTCAAGTTGCCCCTACTTTGCCTTCCTTCCATTCTCTATCTTGAAACTGAACTTGGACTGGACAGTCCTTCAAATAGAGGGTTGGCCTTTGTAATGTAGGACACCTGGCCACCCAAATTGGCAGTGGTCCAGGATCCTGATTTCAAATCACTCAAGACTGCTTTATACATTATCTGGTGCCCATGTAGTTGCTTCCCCTCCATGACTGCTCCCACACCACTCCAGGAATGTATAAGGCTTCCACCCACATGGTTTAGTGGCATATGCATGCATTTATAACATGAAAAATAACCCCCGTTTACTGCCACGCTATGTAGGCATACAAGTTCAGTTTAACCACATGGGTGGAACCTGGAATAGCTTGGAAGCAATGCCAAAAGGACCAGCAACCATGCCACTCCAGGTGATCTCTAAAGTGGTCCCAAGAAAATATTTTTAGAATATACACATGCTGCCCTTTCAGTACTTGGAGTAATAACTTAGTCCCAGAAGTAGACCAAGCAAGTTGGTTGTCTGCAAAATTCCGGAATGTTGAAGCAGCTGTGGGGGGTGGGGGTGGTAGGTTAATTCCTTGCCAGTCCATTCTCATGCTGCTCCCTCTGTCTTTGGTCCTCAATGTCTGTGTTTGGTCTGTAGCAGATTCAGATTTGGCTCTGGCCAATACTGTCCTTGTCCAGAAGTCTCTTAAGCCAGAACTAGATAAACTTTAAGGTGCCAAGGGCTCCAATGAGTATTTTTTTAAAACACATATTAGAATGTGGAGTCCAAACCCTAACCCCTTATCAGTTCAAGATTAGTAGCTACTGATAGCGTCATCTGCCAAAGCCTCCCTTCTAAAGCCATACAAACTGGTGGGCATCACTAGCTCTTGTCAGATCAGATCCCATAGTCCAACTCTGTGCTGTACAAAGAAGTACTTCCTTTTGTCTGTCCTGAATCTTCCAACATTCGGCCTGATGTGCTTGACCTGTATTCTAGTGTTATAACAAAGGGAGAAAAAGGAAGCTGCCTTATATCATTTGTTTATCTAATCCAATACTGTCGCTTCAGCTCTACGTGGATTTAGGCAAAGATCTTACAAAGATCTTACCTCTTACCTGATCTTTGTAAATGGAGATGCAAAGTAGTCGACATGGGTTGCCATACGCCCAGGATTTTCCAGGACACTCAGTGATTTTCCACCCGGGCAATAATCCCGACTGCCTAATCTGGGAAATTCAACCCTAGCTGAATGCTTCCTCATGAGCAGTAACCTGCTTGTGGGCCTACTCATGAGCAAGATAATGGAGGCAGTGGGTGTGGCTAGAAAGCTGCATATAGATGGCAGAAAATGAAGCTTTGTGGCCTCCTCTAGTCAGGGAGAGGGACCCCTTCTGCCTCCTTGAGACCAAAGGAGGCTAAAAGGTTACCTTACCCAGAAGCTGCAGGCTTCATGTTATTCTTGTCTCCTCTATTATCTGGCAAAGCAAGATTCATTCTCCAGACACCATGTTGAAAGGCAGTGTGGTGCAGTGTCGGATTAGGAAACCCAGGTTCAACCCCCTACTCAGCCATGAAATTCCTTGGGTGGGTGAGTTTGGGTCAATTACCATCTCTCAGGGTTGTTGTGAGGATTTTTTTAAAAGGGGGTTGGGGAAGAACTGTAGTCACCACCTTGAGCATTTTAGAGGAAACATTGGAAATAAACATCATTTTTGTTTCTAAAAAATAAAAAAAAAAGCAGCTCGCAATGGTTCCTGCCTCAATAGGTCCCTGATGGGCTGTGAGTTTCCTACTGTGTTAGTCAGAATGAATGAAATGAAAGGCTCTGAAGACTAATACAGCACGTGAGGATTTTTCCTCACTGCAAATGACATTTTCACAATATGCCGATGTGACAGTAATTTTCATCCCTCTCCCATTAAAAAAACAAAGAGACACAAGTCTAATGGAAATGTCACTTTAGGAAGTTTGTTTGTTTTGCAGCAAGTTGCAGAGAGGAGGTTAAATTTAATTCTCTTTGTGGGGTAGCTCTTCTTTGAAAGACAGCATTTGGAAATGAAGAAGGAGAGTGTTTAGCCTGCGTGGGGGAAGGGGATGCCTTAGTGACACTGAATCACTTCTCTCCATGACAGTAATCTCAAATATATTTATTTATTTATTTATTTACGGCTATTAGCCCATAAAGTATGTACAAACATAAAAGCACAGAGGCATAAAGACTAATATATTCGGCACCAGAAGATGAACACCATGATGCAGGGGTGGGTCATTGAGCAGAGCCAGATAACAGCTTGGGGCCCGGAGAGCTCCAAGGGACGGATCCCAGAAAAGGAGAACTGAAGACGAGATCCGACATGCACTCTCTTCAAAACTGTCCGATTAGTTTTTGATGTTGTTGTTTTTGGTGGTTTTTGTGTGTGAGATAACTGCATTCAGGAATCTCGCCACCTGCAGAGTTACAGAAGGATCTGTATCCTGCAAAAGTAGTGCGGCATGTGACTCAGCAGGCCTGCCAACCAAGCGCAGTAAAGCAGGGCCCAGGAATTTAGTCCTGGCTATGCTATGTAGGGGACAGTTGAACATTATATGTGAGAGAGAATCAACAGTTTTCCCGTCACACACGCATAGCGGAGACACCAAACCCTTGGAAAATCTGTGGCTCAGCAGGTTCGATGGAAAGACATTGAACCTTGCACGAATAAATGCATGTCGGTGTGGTACAGATGAAAGAGATGACATGTATGATGGAAGGCCAAGTGGTGAGGTTATTCCGTGATACCTGGGGGAGCAGACACCCTCACCCCCGGCTCTCAAATATATATATATATAATTTGCAAGCAATGCCATTATGGAATTTGGCTTGTGCCAACCTCACAGTTATCTTTTACTTTACTCTGAGAAATAAATTAAACTGAGCAAGCCCCAATTGCAGATACGTTCGTCTCCATCTGTTTTCTTATAAATGAAAAATATTGTAAAATTGCTTTCCTTAAACTATTGCACCGGTGAATCAGGAATTATAAACTCACAGTCAAAGAGAGGATGCCAGAGCATTTTTGGTAAAGTGCCAAAGTTGTTTAAGCTTTTTTCCCCCATTTTTAAAAAAACACTCTGGAAATAACTGCAGTAAACTGATGACTGCTAAGGTTAAACAGTCATCGAGTTAAGTTAAATTCAATTTAGCTTAAATATTTTATTAGAAAGGAAAGCAAGCATAAGTGCAGAAGACCAAAATCTTTATTTCTTAATTAGCTTCTTTGCCTTATTTCCCCATGAATGTTAGGATGGGGTGGGGAACAATAAGGTCATTTTAAATTTTTGGTAAAACATCAACACTGGAGTGTGGTATAAAATGCATTTCACAGTAGGAGGGGAACTTGAGTCTCCATGTCCCTGAGATTAATGTAGAGGCTTAAGAATACAAATCTCTATTGTCTGAGAGTGAAAATATTTAGCAAACGCATGCGTCAAGGGACAGATAGGTTACCTGGTCAGCAATATCCAAGTTGGCTTGTGTTACTACGTATGGGAATATACATGCAATAGCTTTAGCAGGACAAACTACTTGCCAATGAATTAACCTACAAACATAAAATCTCTGCTGAGAAAGAGGGGAATTCTCAAAGACATTGCATTACAAGGTTATACCAATATGATGCAGCAATTAGAGTGATGTGCTAAGACTAAGGAGACCTGGGTTCAAATCCAAACACAACCATGAAGCTTAGTGAGCAACCCTGAGACAATCATTGTCTCTCAGCATAACGTTCTTCAAAGGATTGTCCCTCTCATGTAATGCAGAAAGGAGGGGGAGAGAAAGAGACAGAAGCTGGAAAGCGGTCTTGTGCATGTTTACTCAGAAGCAAATCTAATACAGCCTTGCCTGCACATGGAGAAAGAGTGCCTAGGCTCACTTGAACTAAACAAGGCTTGCATGCATAGGGTCAGGCTGCACAAGCTACAGTGAATTGTTAGTTTAATTAATTCTGAAACACTTCCCATAAAACATCCCAAAGTGATAAACACACACATTTCAAGTCCAGTATAGAGTGGGATAGAAAACTCCGGTTAAAATGAGGATTGTTTGGAAAAGGAAGATCTTTAATAGGCACCAAAAATATAATCAAGACAGTGCCTGCTCATATGTAAGGTGAAGAAGTTCAAAACTGTAGGTGTCCTAATAAGGTGTTTTGGTTCTTAAGCTTCCATTCATGGTGTTGGTTCCTGGGAGAGCAGAGGTCAAGTCCCTTCTAAACCATTAAGTTTTTTGGTGGCCAGTCACTCTCTTTCAGCTTAACTTACCTCATAGGGTTGTTGTGGAGGTAAAATAAGGTGGGAAGGGGTGAGAATAGATTACTTCTTTCACAAATCAAATTGCAGCAGGGGGAGAATGGTCCTTCTCAGGGCAGCAAGATAGGTGTTAGCTGGTTGGTGCAAGTGCACCCATGGGTGCTGGTTTGGTATCCCTAGGCTCTTAGGGCTGCCATACATCCAGATTTTCCCAGACATTACTGGGATTTCAAAGGAGTAATTGACGTCTGGGGGGAATTTCCAAAAGGCGGTGCTTTGTCACAGATCTTAGGCAAGTCAATTGGAAAATTGTGGGTCAACAATTTCAGTGGTTTCGTAAAAAATAAAAAAAGTTCTTTGTGGGTGTCCTGGTTTTTACTTTTTGAAATATGGCAACCCTACCCTAGGCAAGCCAATATAGATCATCAGTGCATCCATTGTAGCAGTTTGACCTGGCAGTTGTGCTTTGCAAGTGGTGTTCTGTCACTTTCTGTATGGAGTCTGTCCTATCGTAGATTATTCTCTTTATTGACCTGCTTTTTTGGTCCACTTTTTGGATCATTGGCTGGGTATTGTGATTTAAGAATAGCCTCTTTGTTTGTGCTGCAGCAGACTAACATGGCTCCCCCTCTGTAAGATGGAAGCATTAATAAAGTGCATCAACCCTTGGAGATATAAAAGGTAGCCTGGGAAAGGCAGTATTATAGGTACTACTTCCTACATCTCTGTAATAAGGAGGAGATCTAAACTGGCAAATTATATATTTGTTAATTTAGCCTCAGTCAGAATATAATTACCTCCCAGAGATTAGCAGGTCTGAGATCCCTCAGGCTGATCCTGCACAGCCATTGCCTCTAGCCGTTGCCTGCAGCCGCCAAGATACCCAGTTTGGAACAAATTGAAACATTATTTGGAGGCCAAGCCTTCCAGTCTTCCCATGGGATTCCCAGTAAACATTTTGCATCCTCTGTGTCCAACCAGCCAGAAAGGGCTATTTAATTATCTCAAATGACATTCATTAATGAGTGGACCTCACCCTGATCTTGAAGTGATTCCGTGATATTCACAACAGAACTTGTTTTGCTTTTCTCTTTGGTCAGAAGTCTTACAAAAGGGACCAACATTTCAGACAAGAGAGACAGATTCACTAAGGTGTGGACATCTACTTGTTGGTGATTCTGAGTGGTTGGGAAACCGTCCGATGGGAATAACAACAACAGCAACAATTTATTAGGAATGGACCCCAATAGTGATTGACCCTTCTCATTTTTCTTAATATGACTGAGAAGCCAACAATTTCCATTCCCTATAGATACACCTCCATCACCAGGTCAGAAACTAATTTTCATTCAGTTAAATGGGTTTGTACCCACTGAGTTCTACTCTGAGTTCTACTCAGAGCAGAATTGATGGACATGGCTAACTTAGGTCCTTTCCTTTAAGTGGGCCTGCTCTGACTCCCAAGACAGCATAATTTCCATGCATAGGTGTACTGATGTTGAACTGGATTTGGCTAGAGCTCTATGCATCATTACCTAAAAATATACTATGGATTGGATCCAGACTGTTAGTTGACTGTAAGTCCCACTGAACTTAGTGGGACAAGTGAATAATTATGAATAATTATGATTTCACTGGACACTAAGTTCAAGTTATAGATGATTTCACAGAAAAATAATTTTATTCTGTTGTCATGCTGATGAGCTTCAAAATGACAAATTATCCTAGGCCAGGCTTCCTCAACCTCAGCCCTCCAGATGTTTTTGGCCTACAATTCCCATGATCCCTAGCTAGCAGGACCAGTGGTCAGGGATGATGGAAATTGTATTCTCAAAACATCTGAAGGGCCAAGGCTGAGGAAGCCTGTCCTGGGCTAATCTAAAAGTGCCTCCCATTTTCAACAGTTTTAAAGTACTTGCTCCAAACATAGTTGTGTGTTGTTGTGATGCAGTTCTTTTTGTTACCATATTCGTTGTCCCTCAACTTCATTTTCCCCAGACTTCCCAAGATGCCTATTGGATGTGGTGGTCCACATGATTTTGCAGGTGATGCCATGATGTGATGGCATCATGGACAGCCATAAATACATTACATGAACTTACCACAGACAATCAGACTAAGGAGAACTGTGGACCAATGAGGATTACAAGAACAAAAGCAACAAAGAAAAATGAAAATGGCAGCAAGAAATAATAACCAAAGGAACAGAAACTCACAAAACAACACAAATGTTTGATGAGCAATAAACACTCACACACACTTCCAGTGATTTGGATAATTAATCCAGTGTTCTAAACCTGACAGAACTCCTTCTGGATAAACCCATTTTATTTATTAACTATACTTAGGGTTTAATTTTTTTCTTTACACATTTTCATGGACTTATTCTTACACGTTTGTTACCCCTGTTTTGGATAGCCATGGTGAAACATGTAAAAAATTAATCAATGAAAGAAACCTTGAGGGTTGATGAACTGAATTGCTCTTCTGTGACAATTATCACACAGCTTTAAGAGATGAATGTGTTGCACTTGTTTGTCCTGTATTTCATAATGTGCAAAAGGCCTTTTGCAAAACCAAACATTCTTACCCAAGATATAATTTTCAAGTGATTTTGCTATGTACCTGCTTATTTTATCTTGTGAAAAATCTGAAATACTATTTTCTTTAAAGATTAGTTGAGTGTATGTTTATTCCCCTTAATAACAGGCACCGTGTGACTGTGTTTTCTTTCACCACCTTGTGTCTGAAGCATTGTGGGCTCACACCATAAAATCACAAGCTACAGACCTAAACTAAAAACTCTCCCTATTTGGGGAAGGAGACACCCTGTGTTCAAGGTGATCTCCTTCCCTCTGGCTTTGAAAAAGAATCTCCCAATTTTGCCTTTGTTCTGGTCAGTTTCACCTTCACTTGTGATTTGCGATGCCGTAATATCATCAGTTAAGGAAAACTGGCCCTAGGCTGAGTTGAATGTTTGAGATCAAAGCAAACAGACTGTTTGGTTGCCCCACCTTTGTACCCCATTTCATGTTAATTAGGATAATTTTGCAGTATCTGAACTGCTGCATAACTTGTATCCAGAGTCTTGAAAAGCCTGGTTCCAAGACCTGAGATCCAAGAGTGGCTTCAGGCATTGTGTAATGTGAGAAAACAGGAAGTGCAAGTACTTTATGCTTCCTGCTCTTCATGTTTCTCCACAACCTAGTAAGAGACACTTTCACATCTCTCTGCTCTGTGAGCTGTATGTGTTCCTGTCCTTTCTTAGCAAAATGAGAAACTACATTGCTGTCAGTGGATGCTGGTCCATTAGGGCATATGGGACACTGCCTAACCAGCCTCAGTCTTGATTCCTCCAAACCACCGGCCTTCTTACAACCAGTCCAGAGGGTGGTCCTGGCTGTCTGCTTCTTCCTCAGACTCAGTTTTGCCACTGCAGAACTCAGTTTTGCATGTATATATTCATAGGTCCATTCCGTCCTATTTTAATGTCAACCTGTTATTGGAGGGAACATTCATATTATTTTTGTAGATATTTTACCCTAAATTATGTGCTTCTATAGACCCCTATAGACCCTGATGTTGGGAAAGATGGAGGGCACAAGGAGAAGGGGACGACAGAGGACGAGGTGGTTGGACAGTGTTCTCGAAGCTACCAGCATGAGTTTGACCAAACTGCGGGAGGCAGTGGAAGACAGAAGTGCCTGGCGTGCTCTGGTCCATGGGGTCACGAAGAGTCGGACACGACTAAACAACTAAACAACAACAATATTCCTATTATCCTGAAAATATACATTTTCATACTTACTTTACTCAAAAACTGTATTGTGCCATCTCTGCTTTATTTTGGCGACCTGCTGAAGACATTCCTCCCTCAAGTTGAGCCTTTTAAGTAAAGATCTTTCCCAGTCTGTGCCTATAATGGAATTGGTTTTATATAGTTTCATCACTTGTGTGTGTTTTGCCCTGGACTCCTTTAGGAGGAAGGGTAGGATGATGATGGTGATGATGATGATGATGATGGCAAAATGAATAAAATACTAACCCAGGAGCACAAATCAGGAGAGTTTGCTTAATAATATGGACCGAATGAAATTATTCAGCATCCTTACTTCAGTGTAAGGGAGAAGTATGTCTGCAGTGCTTTCCAAAGTTGCCAAATAAAAAGTTACAAACTGCATTTCTTATGTGATGTAGCACACTACATCTTTGGGGTGGAGGGTGGGGAGGTAAAACAAATGACCCAGAAGAGTCTGCCCAAGCCAAGCCAAATTATCCTACATTATTCTTCTTATTTCTTTTTGATCTTAAACTCCTTTTTATTTATTTAAAGATAATGTTCTCTAGAACTTGTGTTCTTTTGAAAGGGTGAAGAATTTGCATGAACCAATTTCTGTTAGTTCCCTTGAGAATGTTAAAAACTTCAATTAGGTCACTCTGAAGTCTCTTTTCCTGGGAGAAATTCCTTAATCTTCCTTAATAATGTACGTCTTTGAGTGTTGCTGCTGTTCAAGTTGCCTTGCAATTTTCTTCAGAAGTAATTATAAACCAGCTATGATACACTTCATAATAAACCACGACTCTTAAGTATAGTCATTTTTTTTCTGGGTCCTGCAAAGCCAGATGCTCCTGATGCGACGACAGTACATGACATTGTTTTTTTAATAAAGGAATGTGCTGGGAAATGTCAGGACGCCATTCCTTAAGAAGCAGGATGTTCTTCTCTATAACAATATTTTAGTTAGCTATTTACAAAAGTTTCTCTTACCTAATTTATTTTCTAAAAATGGCAGGCAGCTTATAATATGAAAGAACATAAACATGCTAAAATCAACAAAAAGTAACTATGTTTTATAATATTGAATCACAACCGCTTCTGAAATCACTATAACAGCAAAAGGCTAGAGGTGGAGAACCTTTGGCTCTCCAGATGTTGTTGAACTACAACTCCCATCAGCCCCAGCAAGTACAACCAATGGCAGCCCATCCAGTTTTGCAGACTGAGGCAAAATTGAAACATGCTGTTCCCTCTGGCTGCCACTCCTCACCCCCACTGGTATTGCTACTCTCTTACCTGTGTTGTGTGGCAGCGGCTGCCACAAAACACCAACAGCAACACTTGTGGCCGCAACAGCAGTTTCCACTGAGATCTTGGGGAAGCCTCACAAGATCTCAGGTGCTCTGTGAGGTCTCACAAGATTTTGGTGAGATCTCGCTGGAAACCGCTGCTGGTGCCACTTCTCAGCTACAAGCAGAGACAGCAGTGTGGCAGCAGGGGCATGGCAGGCAGTGCCTCTTGGGTTTCCACTGCTTGAGAAAGGCACCTCACCTTCCTCTCCAGTGGGTCAAACCTGAGTACGGCCAAAAGCTAGGGATGGTGGGAGCTCAGCAACATCTGGAGGGCCAAAGGTTCCTCACTACTCATTTAGAGGAAGGCAACCCAGTTTCAGATTGGGGTGGCAGAGACTGTAAACTATCCACATAATAGCTGAAAAAGTAGTAGTTTTTCCTTGTCTATATATTATATTATTATGTCCATTTTGCTCAGAGCGTTCTTTACATATACTGGACCTCAAGGACCCCATCTCCTCACAGGAGCAAGCCCAGGCCCTTTGATCTTCATCAGAGGTCCTTCTCCATCTGCCTCATCTAGGGAGGTGCAGAGGGTGACCACACAAGAACAGTCTTTTTCAGTGATAGCTCCCCATCTATGGAAGGACTCTCCAGTTTAAAAAAAAAATGCTTGGTGTTATCGTCAGGTTTAAGGTGTAAGGTCAAGACATTTTTATTTACCCAGGCTTTTAGTAGGGTAGGGTAGGACTTCTCTGTCTGATTGTATTGCTAGGTGATCATTTTAGGAATTTAGTGCGTACAGTGGTACCTTGGGTTAAGAACTTAATTCGTTCTGGAGGTCCATTCTTAACCTGAAACTGTTCTTAACCTGAAGTACCACTTTAACTAATGGGGCCTCCCACTGCCACCGCACCTCCGCAGTGCGATTTCTGTTCTCATCCTGAAGCAAAGTTCTTAACCCGAGGTACTATTTCTGGGTTAGCGGAGTCTGTAACCTGAAGCATATGTAACCCGAGGTACCACTGTACATACTTTTAAAATTGACTTTTTATTCTTTTTAGCTGTTTGTATTTTATTTTATTAAGTTGCTTGGAGACTTTTTGAAAGTAAGTTGACTAACAAATGCAATAAATAAATAAATAAATAAATAAATAAATAAATAAAAGCAACAACTCTCAAAGCTGGTTAACTCTCCTGTTACCTCATCAAGGGTCTCTGCCACTATGAGCTGGGGAGTCTCTCTTCTGCTTAATGAACCTCTTAATGAGTGCCAAGTTACCTTGCCAATAGGGATGAGGGAGAAATTCAAATCAGTTCACATTGAAAGGAAAACTCACCAAATTTACACTTCCTGAAACAAGACACGAACCAAATTACCACTGTGCTTCAAAAAAAAAAATATTCTCCTAATTTTGCAGTGCATCTCTCCAGCAAATTAAAAGGGATAAAAAGGATAAAGTGTGCATATAAAAGCATATATTCATAAAAATAACATACAAAATACATTGTATTAGGGGGAATTGCTTTGCAAAAATTGTGCATATTGGGCAAAACTGCATCCAAACTTGTTTATATTGGGGAACATTTGCACTAAAAAGTCTCTAATTTTGCCTTTGTACAGTAGGCTAGTTTCTACACACACATTCCTACCCCTTTCTATCGTCCATCCAGACAAGCAAGAGCCATTATCTGAATTAAAGGATTAATTCCACCGCAGCAAAATCCTCAAGCAGGGCATGGCCTGTGGGTGCCATGGCCTGGGGAGAGTCCGAAGGGTCATATAGAAAGGCCTGGAGAGCCACATTTGGTCTCCAGACCTGATGTTCTTCACCCCTGTCCCAACATGATGTTGTTGTTGTTGATGATGATGATGATGATTAAACTGGTATTCTGCCTTGGATACTTAAGGTTCCCAGTGTGGGAACAGAACAGTACACTAAGATATAGAAATCAATATACGAACCATAAATGGGAACCACACGTATATTGCCTTAAGTTCTGTGATGGAAGAAAGCGAGGAAATAAATATAAGAAAATGAAATATCAAATATGTTTTTAAAAATCAAGAAATCAGAAATTAAGACAACATAGCAGCAGTTTGTTTCTTAGGATATCAGTCTAGCTGTTACTAACAGCAAGAAACTTTCAAGTTTGGTTTCATGAAATCGCCTGACCTAGAGTCATTCAGCTCTGTGAAACTTTACAATGTCAGTTCTTTCCTACTTCCCTTGAGTGCACATACAGCACTGATGAGTAGAACATCTTCCGAGAAATGCCAGAGGTTTACCACGAGTCACCGGGCATCCCACTTGCATCAATAAAGATTTTATAGCAGCACCCCCAACCCCTGTAATTCTGTGTATTCTCAACGTGTTCTAAGCAGCAATACATCTAGCTAAGCTTATCAGCTTCATCACCATGCCAAGTGCGAAACCCAACGTACTTGTCTGGATACGGTCCAGAGAGTTGTTTCTGTTGTGATCTTGTTGATTTCACACCCAGCTCAGCTGAAACGAGAGTTCCATCCTTTCTTTAAATGGCTTCTGAAAGTAATAAAGACATGTTGCTTCCTTTCAAGCTGGCTTCTAATTACACCTTGCAACCATATGTTGGCCTGGTTTCTCTCAAGCTTCCTTAGGATGACTATGGTTTTATTATTTCAATTTAAAGGTGCTTCTGTTGTTAATGACTTGGACAATCTAGATATGTATTTTCTCTATTAAATGAGGCGAGGATCTTTTCTAATCTGAGTTAGCGTGCTCAGTGCATGATCTCTTAGTTGTTTTACAGTGATTGCCATTGTAATTGTCTTTCCAGTTCCCATTGTGCCTTAAAACAAATCTCCCCAACGGGTTGCCGAGGCTCTCTATATAATTTCCTATTGTGGTTAGATGTCCTTTGGTTTATGCAGCAGAGGAGTCAGTAAGACTAACAGCTTCTTATGAGTTGCTACAGCCACTGGCGGACGAAGGTGGGGGTGGGGGAAGCAGTCTGCCCTGGGTGCCATCCCGGGGGGGTTACATTGTGGCCGCCCCCACCCCCTGGGATGCTCGGCACTCACTGCACACCCCCAGGACATGTGCCGCTCACCAAGCCCCCCCCCGACGTGAGCCACGCCCCCACGGACGGCACGTCACGCACCCTGGGGACGTCCGCCAGCCATGCCCCAGGTGTATGCCGCTCCCGGTGCCGGAGCAAGTAGCTTCGCCATTGGCCACAGCAGCCCAGGAGCTCACACGGATGTTTTATACAGAGTTAGTCTTCTGGTCCAGCTAGTTCAGTACTGTCTACACTTAACAGCAGGAACTGAATAGGATCCAGACATGAACCTATCATAGCCCTACCTGGAGATGCCAGGGATTAAACCTGGGACCTTCTGCATGCACAGGTGCTCTACCACTGAGCTATGTCCCTTTCCTGAATGATACCTCTGTCCCTTTCTCAGCTTGGACATTGAAAGGTGAAGCAGGTGAGGAGTGCAGTACAGGGAGAGAGAACATGATATTCTTGTGGAGAAGCTGGTGCAATATGGGGTGGACGAGGCTACTGTTTGGTGGATTTGTAGTTGGTTGACTGACCACACCAAAAGCATACTCACTAATTATTTCCTTGTCATCCTGGGAAAAAGTGAAAAGTGGGGTGCCACAAGGTTCTGTCCAGGGACCGTTGTTGTTCAACACCTTTATAAATTACTTGGATCACACACAGTGTGATGCAGCAGCCCCAAAGCCCTAATGCTATTTTTGGCTGTCCCAAGCAGGATTGCCAGCTTGACCCCACAATCATGGATGCCCAGGGCCATGGGTACCATGCACTGTGCATGGCCCTGGCGATGAAATTTGTGGGTGCCTGGCCCCTTCATTTTGTAGGTGCTCAGGCACCCAGAGCCCCAGGGAGTTGGCACCTATGATCCCAAGCAAGGGAAGTAATAGTACCACTCTATTCTGCCTTGGTCAAACCACATCTAGAGTCCTGTATGTAGTTCTGGGCACCACAACTTAAGAAGGATGTTGACAAGCTAGAACATGTGCAAACAAGAGTGGCCAAGATGATCAAGGTCCTGGATAAGAGGAGACTGAGAAAAGAGATGATAACTATTTTCAAATATCTGAAGGGCATAGAGCAAGTTTGTTTGTTCTTGCTGCAGAGGCTAGAAGCTGAACCAAAGGCTTCAAGTTACAAGAAATGAGATTTCTGACAGCTGTTTGACAGTGGAACAGACTTCCACGAGAGGTGGTAAGGTAAAGGTAAAGGGACCCCTGACCATTGGGTCCAGTTGTGGCCGACTCTGGGGTTGCAGCTTTCATCTCGCTTTACTGGCCGAGGGAGCCGGCGTACAGCTTCCAGGTCATGTGGCCAGCATGACTAAGCCGCTTCTGGCAAATCAGAGCAGCACACAGAAACGCCGTTTACCTTCCCGCCGGAGCAGTACCTATTTATCTACTTGCACTGGAGTGCTTTCGAACTGCTAGGTTGGCAGGAGCAGGGACCGAGCAACAGGAGCTCACCCCATCGCAGGGATTCGAACCACCGACCTCCCGAACGGCAAGTCCTAGGCTCTGTGGTTTAACCCACAGCGCCACCCGCGTCCCTATCTATTAACCTTAATGCAGCATCAAATTGGCTGCCTTTGGTCTTGATATAGACTTCTTTGCTTTCAGCTGTAGCTGCTACCCATGATGTCTATACTCTGGTGGAATCTACACACATATAAAAACCATTCTGAAAATGCTTTTTTAAAAATACATTGAATTTTCCATAAGGCTCGCCATTGCCATCTAGCGTCACATTGTATATTGCACTTGAAACACACTTGAAACGTTTTGTTTGCAGCTGTATGGCTGGGTCCTCTGATTACCAGCTACTGGAAATTGCAGGTGGGGGGAGTGCAGTTGTCCTGACGTCCTGCTTACAAGCTTCCCAAAGGCGTCTGGTTGGCAGTTGTGAGAACAGCATGCTGGACTAGATGGGCCTTTAGCCTGATCCTGCAGAGCTCTTCTTATTCTCAGCTGTTGGCTTAAAAATATTCAACAGATGCAGTTTGTATTATAGCAAGAGAAGTTGCACTGGTTGAACCAGTTCCTGAAAGGCACCTTAAATGCCCACATACTTGTTTTTAAGTGAAGAACTAACCTCTCCTCTTGTTATTCATGTACTGCAGGAGAACAAGGGGAGGGCCCATCTGAGCATTGCTCAGGTGTGTGAAGGGGAAACAGAATTTCCATAGCCCAACTTTGTGTCCTTGTGGTCCCCACCCTTTTAAACTTCAGGGGCACATTTGGACCAACTGAGTGCAGTGGAAAACATCCTCTCTGGTAGGGTTGACCCAAGATATTTTGGCACCTGATACAAACCACAAAATGGCCCATACCCCAGCCAAGGAAGAAGGTGAGTGAAGATCTGCATCAGGCAGGAATAAAGAACTACACTGGGGAAAATGGTAGGAAAAGACCAGCAGTGCCTCCTATTTGCAAAGAAGCCACTGCAGAGGCAGCATGGCGGGGGTGGGGAGGCTGCTGAGGAGGCAGCAGATCTGGCCTTCAAGGAACATGCCACTGTAGTAGCAGGTGATACATGCCTTGGAGACCAGATCTAGCTGCCTTTGCGGATACTACTGCCAGAGTGAGTTGCTTTACCTTGGTTTATGGGCCCTCCCCTTGGTCACTTCTCCCCTCCCCCCCAATCTTCCACAGAGACAGAAAGAGAGAGCAGTAGCAGCAGCCCCCACACATGGATGGGGATCAGCAAACAATTTAAAACTTTTGGAAGGGGTGTGTGACAGACATTGTTCTTCACTTTCTCCCGCAAATTGCAGTACAAAATGAACCAGTGGGAATTTGCACCTCACTAAAGGAAAGTAACTCCCTCCCAGAGAGAAGTAACTCTCTGAGGCCCAGTTCACAGTGGGGAGACAATGGGCAAGCACTGTCGCGGCTTATATACACAGTGCTTAGCAAGATTTGGGTGCTTTATAGACGTTTTAAATGATGGAGACAATGAAACCACAGGGCTCTCAAAAAATAATAATAAGGTGGGAGTTACTTTTTTATTTTAACTACCATCTAGCTAAAATGCTATTTTAAGCAGGGTAACCCAAGTTGTTGTTGTTGTTGTTGTTGCTTTAATTTTAATCATAGCAGATTCCCCACTTGAAACAGGAAGAGAGGAAATCCAATAGTTGATAAATGCATACTGTCAGGAAACACAAATCTTTTTAGGATGTACATCATGTAATTGTGTCTCAGAGCCCCATGACTTTTTAGAGTTCAGGGCTGTAATTCTTGGATGGATAAATCTGCCCAGTCTCAGTATTTGTGTTTCTGGGAGGTGTAGGGTGCCGCAATGGCTAAGAAGCCTATAAGGCCTGACCTAGAAAGTAAACCCAGACAAGAGGCAAAAACCAATGCACAGTTTCTGTGGTTGAAGAGCATGGTCTCAGCCATGCCATATAGTGAAAGTGCACTTAAAGCACATGGATTCCTCAGAGCTCTACTTTGTTAAAGGTGCTGGGAACTGTAACTTAGAGGAGCCCAGGATTCCTTGGGGAAAGCCATTATTATTAAAGTGGTATAAATATGTTGTATAGTGTGGAAGTGACCCATGGCAGCACCCAAAGAGCAAGGAAGCTTTGGAATGATATACAAGCTGATGTTTCCAAACGGCAGATGCACATTGGGCACATTACAGTATTCTAGACAAGGTGTAACTTAAGAAGGCATTTGCCACCATGTCCAGAGATGAATGGCACAGTTGGAGCACTAGGAAGCTGCATCACTGAAGCCACCACAATTAATAATAATAATAATAATAATAATAATAATAATAACAATAATTTATTTTCAATGCGACTTATTCTCAAGTAAATGTGTCTAGGGGTGCTACTATTTTTAATATTGATGCTTTACTATTTTGTTTTACTGTTTTACTGTGGTTTATTCATGATTTAATTGTTTCATGACTGTTACATTTTGTTTTTGTAAGCTGCTTTGAGAGCATTTGTTAATATTCCTGTTTAGAAGCAGGTAGTGCTAATTCCAGCAGGTATGTAGAAAGGGGCATTTAGTTAAGTGTAATGAGCATCTTCTGTATATGCAATTTAGCAATGCTATGTTTTTCTCCACCAAAGGGAAGGCCATCGCTAAATGGTAAGATATCTGCTTTGAATGATGAAGACCCCTTGGTTCAATCTTCAAGATCTTCAAGATAGGGTTGGAGAAGACTAGACAGCCACTGGCGGTAAGTGAAGACAATGTTTAGTTAGACTGACCCAAATGTCTGACTCAGTAGAAGGCAGATTACCTATGCTCAAAGTGTTCTAGGAATAGTTCTGATAAAATCAGAGAACTGGATGGGCACCTGGAGATAACCTAGTTCAATCCCCTGTTCAAAGCAGGAAATTAGAGCTAGACCTTCCCCAAAATCTAGCTTTTACTTGATGGCTGCCAGAGACAAAGGAGCCACAACTCCCCATGGTAATTGGTTGCCACCATAAAGCTTCTCCTGATATTCCACTGAAATCTACCTTCTTGTAGAGTAAACCCTTAGATCTACTCACACCCTCTGAAGAAAACTTATATGGCAGAAAGGTAACAACCCACAGAAGAGAACCATTTTTCCACACTCCCTCCCCACCTCAATTCCCATAGTGTTTTCTGAATGTTTGAGTCCATAGAAATCATTCCAAAAATAATTCTATGGAGAAAAAATATTGTGTAGCTTCCTAGTAAATGAATGTGAGAGACTCACATGAATGTGGACATTATGCAAACCTGGTCCCAGATGTTTATGATAATTTTCCCCACCAAAAAAAATTATGAAAACTTTAATGACTATCCCTTACAATTCAATTTGTCTACATTCATCTCAAAATAAAATGGAGTTTTAGTGCAAACAAAAATGTTCTGAGAATGGGCAAACTGCAGAATCACTATGCATCCACATTCTAAATGGAAACAGTAGACCCGGTTTTTAAATATGCATACACATATATTTCCCTTCCTAGGATGCAAATTGATTTTCCAAAACAACTATGCCAAATCCAGTGTTTACAGTGGGCAATCGGATCAGTTAGTCTGGTCTGGGCAGTAGCATTCCATTGCCTTGAAGCAAACAATGTGCAGCCTGAACTCTAAGTGACCCAGTTGTCTCTACTAATCACTGGCTGATTACTAGCTAATCAGTGTCTTGTTTAGAGCATGGAAGCCAAAAACACTTTGGACTGTGGGCTGCCTTTGGGAAGCAAGACACATTTTTGCAATTTTCATTAGCATGCTGCAATTACACCAGAGGTGGACAAAGAAAACCCAGGGCTGAAATCAAAGCAAACTAAAACCCGGAGCTATAAAGGGACTCTGGCAACATATTAGAATGACTATAAACCATCTCAGACGTCTGTTGTTCTAAATATGCTGGACCCCAGACTTCTAAGTCCCCTGGAGGCCTTATTGTTGCCTTCTGTTCAGAACGGTCATCTGAATAGGGCTTTAGAAGGAACACAAATCTTACATCAGCTGGGGCTCTGTCTGAAATGGATCTGTGAGGCTCCTGAAGCTTGGTGCTCTAAGGTCTCCTTTTGGACTGCCCATAGGAAAAACAAGAGAGGAAAGAGTGACAGGGCTAAGAAAAGTAAGATTAGCAGGAAGAAGCAAAAGGAGAAAAGAGGAACAAGCAAGCACACCCTTGCCTCTGACCAAGATGTTGTTCACATATCACTCCCAAAGAATAGGTGGAAGTGACTGCTTCATCTCTCCTTGGCCCTCGGTATCTGCTCAGACAAGGGGCTGTCAACAATACACACACTGCACTCCTCAACTATTAAGAGTGCTTCAAATACTGGAAACCCTACGATCTTTTAATCTTTCCGTTTCCTGGTCAGCACACCCAAGGATACATGCAGATCCAAGAGCCTTGGAGAAAGAGAAAAGGAAGCTTCCAGCCCCCACAAATCTGTACGTGATAAAGTCAGCATTGAGAGAGCCAGAACAGGGACATAGGAAGCTGCCTTGTACTGAGCCAAGCCATGGGTTCATCTAGCTCAGTATTGTCTACAGCTCTTCAGGACGTCAGACATTGCTTTTCTCTGAGCCACAGCTGGAGGTGGCAGGGATTGAACCTGGGACCATCTGCATGCAAAGCAGTGGTGAGTGAGGCCACAGGCAGAAGCAGACAGAGCAACAAATGTAGATTTTACCTTTGTACCGTTTCTGTGCACACATACTGCTCTCTTTCCTCCTTCTAAGGGAGCAAGAAGCATTATCAGAAATCAAGGTCACATTCAAGCCAAGCAAAACACTCCAGAAGGGCAAAAAGGAACAGACGAGAGTGTGGCTTGAAAAGAGGGTGTCTTACCTGGTGAGGGTTTTGAGGGCCACACAGAGGGCCCCATTCAGCCCCCAGCCCTGGGGATCCACAGCCCTGGTCTGGCAGTGGCTCTCCAGGGTCTCAGAAAGGGATGTTTCCATGCCCTACCTGCAGATACTTGGGACTGAACCAGCAACCTTTTGCAGGCAAAGCAAATGCTCTACCATTCCTGTAAAATCTCTTCAGCATCCTTCAGTAACTTTTAATAGCTGCATGGCCACCAGAATTTTGCTTAAGCCCAAAATAAATTTTGGAGGTTTTTCCTCAGGAGAAAACATCTGAGAAATTTTGAAGGAAGCCAAAAGGATCAAAGAGAAGCAAGATTTCTCTGGAGAGTTCTGCACATCCCTCGCTGGTTTGAGTTTGAGTTGTTTGTTTTTTGCTTTTGCCTGCTGTGAAATTCAGAGCAAATTTAGAGGTTCTTCCTCATCTGAGAAATGTTGAAAGAAGCAAAATGCCTTGATGAGACCAGTGGGATTTATTGGAGTCAGGAAGCCTGATTCCCAACAAGGATACATTTGTCACAACCATATAGCCGTCCCTGGGTAAACAGGTGCTAATTAAGTCTGTACCTAGGACTTCAAAAAGCAGTGCTAGCAGCTGAATTATCAGGGGAAAGTAGGGGGACCCTTAATGAACGTCACAATCTCCACCCCTTGACTCCTTCCTATGTTTAGCCAATCATGCTTCTCCATAATGCTTCTGGCAACAGTAGCTATGAAGGCCATCAGAGGCCAGGTCCCCCTCCCGCCACCACTTATAATTCGGGCAGTGGGCAACATCTGCATTTGTCTGAATAAGGCAACTTGAAATCTTGGATACAACCCCCACAAATACCTTTAAAAAACAGATTCTAAGACCCCAGCTCACCTTCTTGCTACCAACACGACTATTATTATCTACCATTTTGTTCATCTGCTAACCCTTTACAAAAGATCAGGCCATCCCTACCATTAAGTAGAGTCCCAAGTGGTGCAACCTGGACTGTATCCTAGGGCCCTGATGTCCAAGGCCCCACACCCAATCCATCCATCCATCCATCCATCCAGGGAGTTAGAAATGATGACAGCAGTGACAAACAGAGCCCCAAGTCAGCAGTTCGGTGTTGGCATGCCAGGGCCCACTAGGGCTGATCCTGCAACATTCTTTGTTTCTTCCTATTTTAAACAACATTTTATAGATTATTGGGTGGGGGGACAACTAGACATCTACATGTTTACTTTCTTCAGGGATATAGGAGAATTCTGACAAAAACAGAAATTGCAGTTTGTGTGTTTGTCTGATGTCAGGTACTAAAGTGAGCCAAATGAAAACAATCAGTATTCGTTCACATCATTGTCATCCCTCTTTTGTTTTGTTTTTTAATTTTAATTTTTATTCTGTTGTTATGCACATGACACCTAATTATACATCCTCTGTTACATTGCTTTGACATTTCCTTTACATTGAATTGTAGGGACGCAGGTGGCGCTGTGGGTTAAACCACTGAGCCTAGGGCTTGCCGGTCGGAAGGTCGGCGGTTCAAATCCCTGTGACGGGGTGAGCTCCCGTTGTTAGGTCCCTGCTCCTGCCAACCTAGCAGTTCGAAAGCACGTAGATAAATAGGTACAGCTCCGGTGGGAAGGTAAACAGTGTTTCCGTGCGCTGCTCTGGTTGCGCCAGAAGCAGCTTAGTCATGTTGGCCACATGACCCGGAAGCTGTACGCCGGCTCCCTCGGCCAATAAAACGAGATGAGCGCCGCAACTCCAGAATTGTTCGCAACTGGAGTTAACTGTCAGGGGTCTTTTTTCTTTTACATTGAATTAAATGCAATGTGTAGTATTTGGCAGAAACTGGACTGCAGCAGAACAGAAAATGTGCTGATTGTGGTGAATACACGTTGAAATGGAAACCACTGCCTTCTTACATCCCTACTCATTTTATTACGTTTACTTTTAAAAATATATTATCCTTTTCTACAACAGCTGCAGAAGCGAACTGCATTTTACTCTTGTAGCCATGAGGATGTGATGATTTAATTGTGTTTAAAATGCAAAACTGCACATGTTTAGAGTAAGGTTACAATAAGTCCCATATTTTCTGGACATTTCCAGGATTTGGCTGTTGTAAACAGTGTCTGGGCAAAAACTGCTTAGATGGCCGGGAATATCCGGACGTATGGCAACCCATGTTGAAAGTGTAGATTTTGGCAAATTTCCTTAAAAATAGCTCAAAAACTTCTCTTTTTTTGGTGATATCTTGCAATGAAAGCTCAACAACTTTGGACAAAGCAACCTTTTTCATCCGGATTTTCACTTTTTGAAATACGGCAACCCTAGTTTAGGGTATTCTTTAAAATAAAACAAGAAGTCAGGGAAGGAAAACAGTTTGGGGGGCATTGCTCTGTTGGAGTCTAACATCTCAGGAATGTAGAATCCTTTATGAAGTATAAAATAGTTAGCAGGGGGTAGGGAGAGGAAAACTGTTTCTCAACAGAAGTAACACACACAGTTGTCTACAGTGGAAACCCATAAAACTACTTTATTCAGGGTCTAAAAGTACCTAGCTACAACACTGGAGCCTCAAGTAGAAAAGCTTTTGAGAGGGAGGCAGAGCGGCAGCAAGATAATAAAGGGCCTAATTTAGTGGGAGAGGGCTGTAGCCTAGTGAAAGAGCAAGCACTTGGCATTCAGAAGATCCCAGGTTCAATCCCTGACTTCTCCAGGTAACGCTAGAAGCCCTGGAGAGTCATTGCCAGTCAGTGTAGAGACAGACCTGAGCTGGATGGGGCCAGTGCTCCGGCTCTGTAGAAAGCAGCTTCCTATATTCCTAAGGACAGAGTGGTGTGTGCCATTCTGCCTGCCCTGCTGCTGTCAGGTGTAGTGGAGATGTACGTTGAAGGGGGGCACCATCTTGCCCTTCACTGTAGGCTGGCCCTGAGAAAACCACATCTCCTCCTACTGCCGTTTGGCACAGCAGCGACTGGTTAACAATCCAGCTGCATTGTTCAGGACACATAGCCAAACAAAGAGGAGAGTAAATAGACAAGACTTTTGATCTGCTGGAAGGCAAGGAGACTGAATGTCTGCAGCAGGAGAATTCATTTGACAAATACACCCCAAGCTGCAAATTAAAAGAAAACGGCCACTTGTGTTTTTTCATTGCCATTCCCCCCCCCACCGCCCCGTATCGCCCCATAAAAACTGGGGCATATGCTACACACAAATTTGAGATTATCTGCCACTATTATCTAAAATTAACTGTGGTTTTGTAATGAAAAACATTAAAAGGAGGATCAGATAGTAATGGGGCCTATTTATAATACTTGCTACAGGAAAAAGAGAGAGAATCAGATCTGATGCTTTAAATGAAACCAACATGCTCCGTGTGTAGAGCATAACATACTCATTGGCTGGCTTTCTGCTGCTTTATTAACAACACGTAAGAGGGTGTTTTATCACATCCATCAGTGGTTAGCAGAAATGAATCAACTGCAGAAAGACGCTCGTACCTCTTCATGTCCTACCACTGTCTCTGTAAACATAATCCTTTTGAGATGCTAACTCAGACAAATGTAGACAAGTCATGGATTACCAAAACCACTTTGCTAGGTGAAGACACACTGACTGGGGGCAGGGGGATAGAACACAGTCATATGGGAGTTATGGAAAGATGCTCTCGCCCCATCTGTACTCCACCTTTATTGCAGTATCACATCGCTTAAACAGCCATGGCTTCCCACAAAGAATCCGGGCAACTGTAGTTTGTTACAGGTGCTAAAAGTTGCTAGGAGACCCCTGTTCCCCTCAAAAAGCTACAGTTCTCTGTAAAGAGGCACTGATTATTAAACCACTCAAGGAAATTTTGCTCTGTGGATGGAATAGGGTCTGCTGGACTAAGTTCCTGCTTGTGGTCTTCCTAAAGTATCTGGTTGGGTTGGGTTGCCATATGTCTGGAATTTCCTGGACATAGCCGGAATATGGCAGTTGAAAACCATGTCTGGACAAATGGCAACCCACAGCTTTTGTGGCCAGATTTTCACTTTTTGAAATATGGCAGCCCTACCACTGTGAGAACAGAGTGCTTGACTAGATGGGCCTTTGGTCTGATTCAGCAGGGGTCTTCTTAGGATGGGACATGTGGTGCACCCAACTCAGTCCTTGAACGCCTCACAGTGCCTCCCCACCCACCAGATTCGCATGTGGCAGCCATCCCACTCTGCTTAATGGCAGAGGTGGTCCTGCTTGCAAGAGATTTTTCTTCTTACTATTATGGGCAACCACGTCAATATGGTTGTGTGCGTCAGCACCAAGGGAAGGATAAGAACAACCTGGTCATTTATGAAAAAATTAGTGTCTCCATTTTTGCAGATTTTTTGGTATGCATCAAAAATTGCAAAAGGGGATCCCCAAACACTCACCCCTTTAAGGACACTTAACAGAGCAGGCCATAGGAAACAGAAAGGGGCCTTATATGGATTCCATCTGACTTTGTATTGTCTACATTGGCTGACAGCAGCTCACTAGGTCTGTCCCGGATCTCTCCCAGCCCTTTGTGGAGAGGCTGGGAATTGAACCTGGGATCTTTCATATGCAACACAGATGCTCTACCTCTGAGCTATGGCATTCCACTTGCTCTTGATGCAAGACTGCATCAGCTAGGAAACACTGTGCTCTGTGCAGCACCATAATAAGGGTGAGGGGTTAGAGTAAGGCAAGAATTAGAGCCTGAATTTTTAAAATGCCAGCCCTAGCAAAGGGATGTGGGGAAGTGTGTATGGGAAGTGACCATGTGGTGACCTCTTCAGGCAAGACAGCCACATCCCCCTCTCCAGGTCATAGGTGGGTCTCTCTCTCCCTAATGGACAAGTGGTAACAATGAACCAGCAAGATGCATCTGATGTACTGGAAGAGAACCGCTTTGACTGGCACCCACAAGCTGAATGCCTCTGAGCACATGTAGGGAAAACATATCATGGAAAAAGCAAAGGGCCAGGTATCCCTGAGCACGCGCAGAATGAAGGGGAGTGCTGCCTCAACTGCTGATTATAGCTCCATGTTGTTAACTTGTATTGATTTTAATGTGGATACTGATTTCGAAAAGCAGAGTTCTCACAGCGCCTCAAGACCAATGTGGCACACGAGAATGAAATGTTTTAATAAGTAAATACTGTAATACATAAATTTGGGTTACAGGCAATAGAATGCCATGTGCTAGAACTGTTGACAGATAATAGAGAGCATTGAAAGACTTGGAGGGAGAGGGAGAAGCAGATGGGGTGACAGAGGGGGCGCTCAGTGTTCTTTCTTAAGCATTTAGGCTGTGGTCGTAGGGAATGTTGGCAAATAGTTGGAGAAACCTGCATCTCGGATTGCCGGAAGGCGTTTGTATATCTGACCGCGTCTTTGTTTTTCATTTTTATAGAACCACTCTTAACTCTCCCTTCTTCTATTTTTTTTGAAGTTTCCACATGAGAAATGTTTTCCCAGCTGTTGGAACTAATTAGCCGACACAAGGAACGGCTTTGTTACATTTTTTCCTCTGGATAGGAGCGAAGTTATTTCGTGCAATTTTTATTTATTTTTTACACAACTCTGCGGCGCAATGTGCTGCATACAGAGCAGTTTATTTATACTGCTTTATCTCACACCTGTTTGGATCCTGGCTGTTTTATGGTATTTAAACATACTATTTCTTGCCAATTGCTTTATCTCCACAATTCCCCACGTTTGCTGCAAATGTTTCTTATTAACTCTAAAAGGAAACTTCAGTTGCTCCCCAAGCATGATTAGCACGGACAAAAATAACATAATTGATAGTTACGTCCGATGTGTTATCACTGAAGACCTATAAAGCAGGCGTTCTTTTAGAATACTAGAGGAGCTATTTGACTTCTCTGAGAAGTAATAATGCGTATGGGAAGCACTAGCTATTTCTGGGGGAGTTTGTTTTTCAGTGAAAAAATACTGGAGCTTGTTTTTAAGTCCTTCTTTCATTTATGATCATTTTAGGTCTGGTCTTACGTACAGAATGAGTTAATAGAATCCTTGGGGTGTCAAGTGGACAATTGGGCTCTGCAACAAAACACTGCAGCTTAGAGAGTTGTTCTTCAGGATTCCAGCCACCCCATAATTCCTCTCTAGTTTTCTTCCCCCACACTGTGCCTCCATCAATCAGGCAGCATTCCAGGGCTACTGAGCATGCTCAATCGTTATTGGGCTGTTTGGAGGGATCCTTCCCTATGGATGGGGAAGAAATTTAATTCAGTATAAATTTAAAGGTGAATCGCCCTAATTCGCACTTCCCGAAACAATGCGAGAACCAAAACACAGTCTTCCTTCATGAATGCATTTTTCTGTATTTTGTAATGCAGATCTACAGCCAAGCAATGTGAATATTGTTATAGGTTGTAGGCACTAGAACATAATTAAGGCATCAAACCCCCAAGTGTTAGAAAGGGTGGTGTCTGTTTGAATCCAATTCTGTGACTATGGGGGAAGCAAGAACCTCTTGGGGTATGGTTGCTGCGAGCCTCTCAGGTTGTTTATATGTGTATATAAAGCATATATCATAAAGACCCCACAGTCTTCAGTGTGCTCCATTTCCAAAACAAATACAAACCCTGGGTAACACATGCCTGGAATTCCCTGAAATCTCACACTGCTATGGAGATTGGGGGTGTCGTGTAACAATATAATGCAGTAAAGTGTGCATTATAATGCATATATTGGTTGAAATAATGTACGAAAATGAATGGCAAGAGGGGAAATTGCTTTGCAAAAATTTGTATATTAGGCAGCGTTGCATACAAACAGATGTGTATTAGGAGAAATTTGCACTCAAACCCTGATAAATTTTCACAATGACTCTTTTTTAAATTGCAAACTGATCTGAAACTGCGGAGAACTGAACTTAAGTTAGGAAAAAAGAGAAATGGATAGAAACCAAAATGGACAGATTTGACTCTCCCTTCCTTCCCCCATAGTGTTTAGATCATAGATGATAGAATCATAGAGTTGAAAGGGACCCTGAGGATAATCTAGTCCAACCCCCTGCAATGCAGGAATATGCAGGTCTCTTATATGGGGATCAAACTTGCAAACTTGGCATGATCAGCAGCAAGCTCTAACCAACCGAGCTATCCAAATTTTCATTTTGTCCAGCTGCAAACCTTGGGGCAACCCCCAAACCTACTAATACCTCTTTCTTGTGCCTGGATGACGCCATTCTGGCTACATAAAATAACACTCACAGCCTGATCATCTGAAATAGAAGAAAATATAGTACTGTTTCAAACTGCAACTGGGTAATAGTATTTTTAATGCTCTGCTACATTAAAAATAGACTCCTTGCAAATTGAAAACTACCATATCATGGAGAGAAGTTCAGGCCCAGTCTTCTGCCAGCTGTTCTAGGGCCACATCCCCACAATCCTTTTAAACACTCTTATACAACTTTAAGCACATACATTGAAACGTAAGAAGCTGCCTTATACTGAGTCAGACAACTGGTCCATCTAGCTGACTGACAGCAACTCCTCCAGGATTTAAGACAGGGAATCTTCCCCTGCCCTACCTGGGGATGCCAGGGATTGAACCTGGGACCTTCAGGATGCTGTGGCCTTTTAAAAGTCATGTCTCCCCCCCCCCAAGAATCCTGGGAACTGTAGTTTATTAAAGATGCTAAGAGTTGTTCAGAGAAGCTCAACAGAACCATGTGGGAACACTGGCCCTGTTCTTACATGTTCCTATAAGCACTAGTATCTTGCACAGGTCAGCTAGCTAGGAAGCTGGGGTCAGATTTAGAGCGCAGTTTTCATATAAGTCAGAAGCTATTATTAGAAGGTTGTGATGGAAGCTCATCACTCTCTTTACTGATAGCTCTTTATGATTCATTTCTAGCAATCCTGCTTCAAAAGGACGTGCCATAAGAGCCTCCCCAAAGGGTCTCATTTGCTCTCCAAACAAATGTTTTGCACACACACACACACACACACACACACAAATGCTCCGATTCATTCTGTATTTCTGAAGTAGCTTCTTTTATCCACAGCCAGAATACACATCCTCTTCATTCTTTCTTCCTCCACCCCCCTTTTTTCTAATTCACATCACTTTCCCCTCCTTTCCTGAAGATTTTTCTGGGCTTTGCTCAAAGTTTCTAATCACTTTCTCACAGATGTAGTTTTGGAGCTAAACACTGCATTGCCCTTTTCTTATTAAGGATAAATTTGCACACATTTTGGGGTCTTGAAATAACAGAAACAAAAAAAGTCAAAGTCAAATAAAATGCAAATGGCTCAGAGTTTGAGGTTTGCATGTCTTTGTAATAGCCCAAAGTAACGGCTTATAAAAGAACTTTAAAGGACTGAGTGCAATGTCCACTCACCATACATTTCAGTAGGGGTTAGGCTCATCAGCTAGAAACATAAGAAGGCCTTGGTGGTGATGGTGCCACCAAGAGCTGCCATCTTGGTGTTGACCTGTAACAGGACCATTTGTGGAATGCCTTCTCTAGTGAAGTGCACTGCCTGTTATTACTGATGCTCAGGAGGTATATGAAAACATTCCTGTTTACCCGGGCCTTCAAAGGCTGAACAACATTGTTCTGGCAACCCTGAGATCACGGAATGAAATCATGTTTTTACTATTTACTCATTGGTTCAGGAAGTGAAAACTGGGTAGTTCCTCATTAAAATGCAAATAAAATCAAATTCCTCCCCCCACCCCCACCAGTCGTAGATGAATGAATGATTAAACACCATGCCAGAAAATCAGAATGAATGCTCATTATATTATAACCTCCCTGTAAAGAAAACAAACAAATGCTCAGGAAATCCCTGGTATAGTCTAAACCAGTTGTGGCTGGTGTCCACTGGAACTGGTAGAGCAGAAGACATGGAGACCAACAGTGGGTGGAGCCAGAGCAAATAACAGGTTTAGTCAATTAATTCCAGTTTTGTCCCCATTCTCCTCCCTACTGAGTTCTACAAGCACGACAATGAAACTGAGAAGGAGGAAGCTGACAGCCAGGGTCACCCTCTGGACTGGTTATAAGTAAGGCAGACAGGTGGGAGTTGGCTGCAGATAGACTGGGCCTCCACTGGCCAAACACCTGTGTAAGTTCTGTGCAAGCAAATCAGAATGAACGGTCAACAAATAGGTCATCTGGAGGAGCCCTTTTGAAACCCTGAAAGCTCAGGGAAGGAACAGGAGTGAGATGTGTATTTGAAAGGATTTATATGTGAGTTCCACTGCTAACACACTGGTTGGTATTCAACTAAGTTTTACTCAGAGTCGACCCAATAAAATTATTGGATTTCAGTAGGTCTACTTTGAGTAAAGCTTAGCCCAGTGTCATAGAATCATAGACTGGTAGAGTTGGAAGTGACCCAAAGGTAATCTAGCACAACTTCCTGCAATGCAGGAAACACAGCTAAGGAATCCCCAACAGATGGCCATCCAACCTCTGTTTAAAAACCTCCAGTGAAGGAGAGTCCACCACCTTCCAAAGTAGTCCATTTCATTGTCAAATGGCTCTTACCATCAGGAAGTTCTTCCTAATGTTTACCTGGAATACCCTTCTTGAATCCATTAGTTCGGGTCCTACCCTCTGGAGCAGCAGGAAGGAAGCTTGCTACCTCTTCCATGTGATAGTTGAAGATGGCCATCACTCTCCTTTCAGTTTCCTCTTTTCCATGCTAAACATACCCAATCCCTCAACCGTTCCTCATAAGGCTTAGTTTCCAGACCCTTTATCATCTTGGTGGCCCTCCTCTGCACATTCTCAGCTTGTCAGTATCCTTCTTAAACTGTGGCAAGTTCCAATGCTCACAAATTCCTCATCAGATCATGTACTCATGTACTATTCTGCATCTGACCCCAAGGTTCTAGTACTCTTGGGTTGGGGTGTTGGGGTGGGTGGTTTTTTTTGAGTGGGGGGAGTTGTTGCTGGGGTTTTTAAATATTTATTTTAGATGTTGTGATTTATGTGGAAATTGTCCAGTTTAATTGTGTGTGTTTTTAAATGTTTTATTTACTGTTTACGACTACTTTCATTTTGCTGTAGTTATGTATTCTTTTCATGTTGTAAGCTGCCTTGAGCATGGTTGCACTGTGAAAAGGCAGAATACAAATAAAGTTATACATGTATGTATGTAGTGAAAAACACAGTGGATCGCACAAGCCTAAAGCTCTGGTGTAGTAGTTAAAGTGTAAGTCTGGGACTGTGAAGTGACTAGAGTTCAAATCCCCACTTAGCCACAAAGAGCAGTCACGGGGTGACCTTAGACCAGTCCTCCCGATCTCTCAGCCTAACCTACCTTCCAGGGTTGTTGTGAGCCCAGAGCTCCTTGGAGAGGATAAAAATGTAACCAGTAAATCAACGCATTTGACATCCATACATAGCAGCCAATAAGGCTGCTTGTAGTTTATTAGCATTGCACGAAGAGGCTGGCTGAATTAAGTCCAGCCTGTAGGAAGGTAACAAAGGCAATATAAAGCTGTCTGTCCAGCCCATGCCTAAAGCTGACAACCAAGATGTAACTCACCCTCGTCTTCGGCCGTGCTGACAAGCCCATCTCATAACCATCCTCTGCCAACAGTTGGCAGGTTTACAGTCCCGTAACTCAGCCAGCTCATTGCTCCACGCTGCCACATGAGCGGCATTTCCATAACCCCCAAACAGTTAATTCCTGGCTTGACCGTGCTACAGTACATGGAAAGTTTCTTTTCTTTTCTTTTTTTGGTAAAAAGCAAGTCACGAGAAAAGGGGGCTACTCCCTTGCACATGAGGGATATGCTGTAAGCACGCACACCTCGACAAGCAATGAAAACCAGCTGCCCAACTCCCAGCTGACATTACGAGCCATGAATCCACACTGCCCAAGAGCGAGCCTGCTTCTCTGGAGCTGTGAATCTAACCTATCCCTTTTGCTTATGAAGCGGTGAGGGGGTGTGTGTGTGTCATATATCTCCCATTATGGAAATGCCTCCTCCTTCATGACACATGGCAGGGGAGAAAGAGATCTGTGGCTCAGTGGTAGGGCATCTGCTGCAGCTGTTCTTCTACCACTCTGTTCAAAATGATGTTTCCCCACATGGAGGGCTAAGGAAAGAGTGCAATTACACATCTGTATGATTGATCCCCATGGGAGCACAGAAAGCTGCCTTATACCGAGTCTGACCACTAGCCCATCAAGCTCAGACAGCTGCTCTGCATGGTTTCAGACAGGGGTCTCTCCCATTCCTACTTGGAGCTGTTGGGGATTGAACTTGGGACCATCCACATACAAGGCAGATTGTCCACCACTGAGCTACAGCGCTTCCCCAATTTGAACCTCCAACATGACCCGATGCTCACGCTGTGGATTGTAGCCAACTGAGTTCTATTATGAGTAGACCCAAGGAAATTAATATACCAAAGTTAATCAAGCACATCACTTTGAATAGGTCTACTCTGAGTAGGTCTAGTGTTGGATACAACCCAGTTGCTTTATTAAGAAATGGAATGATACAATCTCAGTTCAGTCTCTCAGTCCTTCTGGTGGTAGGACACCTAGGGTCTGCAAAGACAAAGGGGAGGAAAAATGAATTTCTGGTTTCTCATTCCCCACTCCAGGAATAAAGTCCTAGAGGGTCTGCAACAGACAGCTCGTGTATTTTAGCTTCTTTAGGATACTTCATCGTGCAGAAGAGCTGTTGCAGGTACTAGGGCGATTACAAAAAAGTTGTTCTTTAACTGCCTGAGGATCATTAATGGAGGCATCTAGAGAAAAATTGACAAAAGGCAGAAAATGCCTTTAATTATTACCTGTCTCCTTTTTATGTTTTCATTCTGTAATTCTTTGTCGTCTCCCCTCATAGTTTCACATCCATACTCAACGGCAGGGGTGGGTGGGAAACCTTTTTAACTCTAGGGCTGCAATTCCTTCTGAGCAATCTTCTGCGGGCCACAGCCAATTGTAGGCATCTTCCTGCATGCAAACACTATCCATGGAATATAGGAAGCTGTGGAATATTCTGTAGTTAAAAGTGCAGAGAGGCAGATAAGTACCACTAACCCTTCCTGCTAGTTGCTACAGTTTACTGGGATGGGCAAGTCAAGGAGGTCAGCATGATACAGTTACCCCAATGGAACCAATTCAACACTCCTGCTGGTGCATTTTTTGAAACATACACACATACATACAGTCGTACCTTGGATCCCAAATGCCACAAACTCAGAAGTGAGTGTTCCAGTTTGTGAACATTCTTTGGAACCCAAACATCCAATGCGACTTCTGCTTCTTCCGCCAGGCTGCTGGAGCCTTTTGGAAGTCGAATGGACTTCTGGAACGGATTCTGTTCGATTTCCAAGGTACCACTGTACTTTTATTTCTATGCCATATACTATTACTTTGTACAGTGGTACCTCTGGATGCAAATGGGATCCATTCCGGAGCCCCATTTGCACCCTGGAGCGAACGCAACCTACGTCTGCGCGTGTGCGGGTCACGATTTGCCGCTTCCGCGCATGCACGTGACGTCATTTTGAGCATCTGTGCAGGCACGAGTGGTGAAACCTGGAAGTAATGCATTCTGTTACTTCCAGGTCGCTGTGGAGCATAACCTGAAAATGCTCTACCTGAAGCATATTTAACCCGAGGTATGACTGTATTTTTATCCTGTGAACCGCCCTGAGATCTTGCGATGAAGAGCAGTATATAAATCTAACCAATCCATCCATCCATCCATCCATCCATCCATCCATCCATCAATCAATCAGTGTTAAGAGATAGCCTGGAGAAGGTATAAACTGCAGTGGGTTGGACAAATTGCTGCTGTTGAGATGAACATTCTTCTTAAGTTCTTATTTTTGTTGTTTGAAATACCAAAAAAGAATTTGAGACAAGTGGCACAAAATGATTAGAGGCTTTATGGAGGCAAGAAAGAAAGCAGGCATTTCCTTTGACACACAGACATGCACAAAATAAAAGAGGGTTTGGGAGTTCCTAATATAGTGATTTATTATTAGCATCACTTATACTATATTTAGTTGCAGTCTGAAATGAAGCATGTATCTGATTTGATCTAGCACAAAGCATTTTGGGCTGAGTTCAGGGCCTTTTCTCACAACAAACAAAAATGGAGGATCAAAAATAGGGATAGATTAAAAAAAAGAAAAAACCTTGGCATTGTAATCTGCACTGATTTATTCTAACGCCTATCTCAATCCTTAATCTTGACAAGAATTGAGTTTTCCCTCCCCCATTGTCAATTCTGCCAAACAAATGCACAATTTTCACATACTGCATGCATTATTATACAGATAATGGTATATGCATACACACACCAGGTTCCCTAACATAACCAGCCCACAAACCGATACCTGCAGTCATGCATACACCTGTATAAAAATACATATGGACTGAAATACTCTTTCCTTCAAAACGCATTGGAGGTTGTGCTCTGAGAGGAATTTTCAAATTCACTTCAAATTTTGTTTTGGGTGAAGCTTCAGTAGCAAATCCAAGAAATACAATTGCTAATCATATCTCATTACATTCTGTATATTATATTTATTTTTTAACAGAAAGAAGCCGTGCTTTTCTATAACTATAGTCTTTGGATGTAATCTTAGATGTATATTTTTGTGCCTACCATGAACGAATCTAATTAAACCTCTAAAGTGCCTCCTCATTGACCTAAAACTCTTGAAAGCTGAAGGCTGGAGCTTTTTGATCATGCCTAGGAGCAATTTACCTCCCCCCCAACCCACCGGCACCCATTTCTCCCCTGCCCAATCTCTCTCCTTTGAATACCTAATCCAATGAAGAGTCAGGGAGCATGGGATCTGTTGTTTTCTCTGTCTCCCAATTCAGATACAAACCCTGTGCTTCCCAGGATGAAACAATATCCCAGAGCATCTCTAAGAACATGAGGATGAGAGCCAGTGTGATGTAGTGGTTAAGAGAGGTGGACTCGTAATCTGGTGAACCAGGTTTGCGTCTCCGCTCCTCCACATGCAGCTGCTGGGTGACCTTGGGCCAGTCACACTTCTCTGAAGTCTCTCAGCCCCACTCACCTCACAGAGTGTTTGTTGTGGGGGAGGAAGGGAAAGGAGAATGTTAGCTGCTTTGAGACTCCTTAGGGTAGTGATAAAGTGGGATATCAAATCCAAACTACTACTACTACTACTACTATTCTTCTTCTTCTTCTTCTTCTCCTCCAGAAAACCCTTCCCATCACCGAAAGGAAAGCTAGCTGCTAGAGGAAGTGGGGATGAGCTTCATTGTGAGCTTGGCCTGGATTCAGAGGCATCTGACCCTGGCTTGTAAAGAGATGAGGTTTTCCTAATTTGCCACCGCCACCCACACCCCCTATTGCTTATTTCTTTATAACTTTTTTTGTTGGTCCTAATAAAGGTATTACTCTACCATTACAGTTATGAGTGTCATCCAGCTCTAGAGGGTACTTCTGTGCCTGGAAGGGTTGTGTGTCAGGGAGCCGCTTGACAGGTGCATTGACAGCCCTGCCAAATTTTGCCCTTTCATGCAGCAATTAATTAAAGACAAAGGAGACGTCTTCGGGTCAGAAATTGGCAGTCTCAGTCTTGCTATGTGGCTGCAAGTTCTGCTGTGTAACATCTCTCCCTCTTTTGAAGTATATGCTTTCCTTTTCATACATCGAACATGGAAAGGGCTGTCAGATGATGGCGTATTGGCCACTTGGGCCCTGAAATGGGCAAGAAAAGGCATTGCTCGTTATCCTGTCAAGGACTCCCGTGCCAGTCTATGCAAACTGATTTGCAATCAATGGCAAGTGATTACGCATTGTTTCCTATCGATTGACACAAGGAATCCTTGAGAGAATAATGAGCTACAGCTGATGACAATCAAGAACTACTGTCTCATGGCAAGTTTGATTGCACACTCCTCCATGGAGGCAATGAACACTCAATACCACAATGTATGTACAGCACACATACAAACACAAAATTATATATTGTTGCAGGCTCATCCCACTCTCCTGGGCACTAAAGAATTCTGGAGATGGCATCACAGGGTTTCATTTCCTTTGGTTCAGACACTTATGGTGACTTTGTTGTAACATTTGCTTCATTTACAAATGGGCAAGCATTGCTCAGCCAGGGCAAAATACCTCTCCAACGGGTCAGCAGATCCTCAATCCCACATGAGAGCAGGTTTTGCTGCCTCCACCAGGCTGCATTCCAGCTTAGCTAACTACACTCTCGGTTCTGTTCTCCGGCTCAAACGGAAAAGTCTTGTTTCTCCCCCTGATCTAAGACCACCCTCACCCCACTGGAGATGCTGGACAATTTCAATGGAAATAGGAGCAGAAATTGCCAGTGTCCACTTAGTCACCCATGTCCAGAACATGAATCAATCCAAGGAAAACAATCCGTATTCACTGCTGCTGCTGCTGCTTCCAGTCCACCAACTATCCATAATTGATTACATTCCTCCCCTCATTTGCACTGCATTTCCTTTGCATTGAAATGAATGGAGTGGAATAACATAATCACAATCTAATTTACATAATTAATTATGTAAGTTTTGTAATTTCATCACAGTTGACAGCAAGAGACAGGTTTGGGTGGAAGATAAACTGCAGCAGAATGGAAATAGCGCTGCATGTGAAGAATACAGTGTGGAACAGAAAAAAATGTCTCCTTACAACCCTACCCCTCTATACTCTCTGGACGATGTAGACCACTTGGTGATACTCTTCTGTCATACCTTTTCAGTTCAGCACCTCTTTACTGTTGAAGTACTATTTTAGTAGAATCCTCAATTTAGGGGGGAAAAAACTTTTTTAAATTGCACCAATCACTTTTTTGTTGTTAGTAGTGGTAATAGTAGTAGCAGTAGTAGTAATAGTGCTTAAGCAACAAAAAGCATTATAGCATAATTTTGTTTGATTTTTGAAAGGAACATAAGAAGTAGGGGCACATTCATTTCTCAATACCTCCTGCTGAGTTTTATGAGACATAAGATTGGGGGTTCCTTGCCCTTCGGCTTCAAAATCAGGAGGTGAACTGACCTCAACTGACAGGGAACCCATGAGTGAGGGTGTCACTTGGGGGAGTCTGAAATATGAGGGGCATTTCACTATTAATCTAATAAAGTAGGAGGATATAATGAAATGTGCTTGACTTGAGATAAGAGACACTGTTCCTTTAAGCTGCTCACTATGTGTGTACCAGAGGCTCTCCTTCCTGTTGCTGAAGCTGCTGCTGCTGCTGCTTAGAGGAGAAAGAAGAACTACTGCTCAGTGGTGGAGCCTCTACCTTGCTTGCAGAAAGTTCTGGGTTCAATGCCTGGTGTTTCCAGGTAGGACTGGAAAATATTCCCATCTCCCAAACTCCGGAAGGATGGTGCCAAGTCAACATAGGCCATACTGAGCTAGATGGGCCATTGATCTGACTCGGTATACAGCTGGCCCCTATCTTCCTATGCAACAAGAGGCACATTTTTTTGGAAAGGTGTCCTGTGCTTTTCAATTCCTTTGGTTCTTCTATGGCAGAGGACTCCTTTGTGTTTAACCTGCTGTGGACATCTATCTTTACAGAAGCTAAAGCAACAGGGAAGCTGTAGCTCCATTAATTGTGCATTTGCTCCTTCCTCAGTCCTCCCGTGTATGTGGCAGAGGTGGAGATATTTTTTAGCATGTTGTACTTCTACAGTCCTCAGGACTCCCCCAAGTATGCAGATACGACCTTCCTCTTTGTGGAAAGGGCCACTTTGGCCACAGAGTTGTCTGCACCCACCATCTTGAGTTTGCTATGACAGGGAGTGGTTGGGCAAATAGGCTACTGGGATATCTCTGCAGGTGTCTATAGATGCAGTTCTCCAAGGATTGTGGTAGTTAATGTTAGACTCTCCTCTCCAGCAGAAATTTCAAACAGAAACAATGACCACTTGAAAAGCAAACATATAAATCACTAACATAATGTAACTGTCCTGACTTAGAGTTTTAATTAAATACAGGGATTTATGAGCCTTTAAGAACCAATAAGAAGCGCTCCTATAAAGTGCAGTGACATGTACAGGGAGGTGCTCAGGAGGAAGCAGAGACAAATGTGAAATAGGAAAGGGAGGCAGTCAAAATAGAGGGTATGATTCCAAGTAAAGTGTAGCTAAAAACAACAACAGTGTGAGGATTCTGAGATGGGGGAGAAATTCTGCTTCATTTGCATTTTAAGGTGAATCTACCTAACTCAAACTTCCAGAAACAATGCGGACAAATATGTCCATCCCTACTTTCAAGCAAAGAAAATGACATCAGATCTAATTTGCCTTTTAGTGTTTGAATTGTGTTTAATATCCTACATCTCTCCCTGTCCGTTTGGTAGCATTTGTAGCTTGTTTCAGGCAGAGTCTGATCATTAAAATGAGCACATTCTTCCATATGCATATGAGATCCCCATGGGAAGGGTGACACTTAGAATCTTATTTGCAATTATTTGTTTTGGAAATTAGGTTATGTTGAGGGTTTTAAAAACAAAAACTTAGACGCTCGGGGGATTTGTAGCCTAACTGCTACTTATTTTTCACTAAATCAGGGGAATAAATGTTTCAAGTAAAACAGCAGAGGCAAAACTCCTGAGTCACATACATTCTCCACTAGCTCTGCCAGAGGTATGCCTTGAATATTACCCAGGCAGGGCAAAGTGAACCACTGCTGTCCTAACTTCTCTTGGCCCAATGTCTCAATATAGTCCACCCTCCCATTTATCCATCTGTCTTCTTCAAGTCTGAGATACACAAAATAGGAACAGGTATCCATTATCTGGTATCAATTCTGTGTACAGTGGAACCTTGGTTTTCGAACATAATCTGTTCCGGACGTCCATTTGACTTCTGAAACATTTGAAAACCAAGGACCAAAGGGCTGTCAGCAAGTTCAATGGGGAAAATTGAGAAACACGCCTCAGAAGCCGTTCGACTTCCGAGGTGCGTTCAAAAATGGAAGCATTCACTTCCAGGTTTTGGGAGTTCGGCTTCCGAAACATTCGGCAGTCGAGACGTTCATAAACCAAGGTTCCACTGTATTTAGAAAAAAACTTTTGAACCAACACATAAGGCTGTCATCAACTAATTTATACTCGGAATAGACCCATTCAAATTATTGGACCTAAATTAGAACTGTGTAGCACTAACATTAGCTACAACCTAAAAAACAACTTCCAACATTACACAAATACAGCAAAAGTAGGTGCATTTGGGCCAGATACGTATTACATTCAATTTGTGATCACATTTAACCTGTTTGCACTTGTTTGTTTTTCTCATATAGCAGCCAGAGGGTGGGGAAGGGAATCAGCATTAGGACTGTGATGCATGGGTTAACTATTTCTCCACATTACCATTCCAAACAAAACCTTCCTCCCGCTATCCCACGGCAGCTGCTATTGTCTTTTATGTTAAGCTCTACAACCCATGGTGCAGTGCAACTGTAGTCCAATTATGCACATGTGAGAATACCCAAGGCCTGCCCAACACTATAAATGATAAAGTATAAATAATAAAATTGTTGTTGTTGTTATCATCATTATCATTAACATTATAGTTAAGGGGAAACAGTGTGCACACAGGCAACCAGCATAAAAGAGGACAGGATAACTCTTTTATGGAAGTCCCTCGTTCTGAAAAATGTATACAATTTTCACAGCAGAATTCTGTTTGGGGTTTTCACGCATGCCTGCTTAAGAAAGCAAACTGCAGACTTGTGTTCTTTCTGCTCTGGAAAGCTAACTCAGGCATGTGGAAGTCAAACTAAAGAACACTGAATCACACGCACCCAACATATTCTGTAGATCAAGCTGTTCATTGTGCCTTAAATATGCATTATGTAACTTGCCTGTTATGATGTACTTAGCATTGTGGAGATGTGTGCGGAACTATGTGAGATGTGAGAAAATCCACAGGCCATTCCATCTTGAATCCATCATTGTGTATGTATTTTGGAGTTCCTCTGTCTGAACTTATGATGATGAGCACAACAAAACCCTATGTGCAATGTGTGGGATTTATGGGGTGTGTATGTGTATATGCTGGGCAGATGTGCTTTGGAAGTGCTTGTCATATTTTTCATATTGGCACATGTTTTGCATTGCTTAGCCACCATATGTAGGTGCAGCCATGCCTGGAGCTCCATAGTCTTTATTGTCTCATATTTCCTCCCTAACAAATGAATTGGCCAGTTCTAGCTGAGTTCAGCTATCTATAAAGCAGATTCACTCATAAAGAGTTATAAGGCGGTACTCTTATTTGTTTTTTTAGGATGCATGAATGGTTCTTATGATGAATAGCTCTCCAGGGAGCGGGGCATGCTTCTCTATTTGAGTGCATGCTTTGCATGCAGAGATCTCCAAGATCAATCCCTGGTATCTCCAGTTAGAAGTCTCAGGTCAAAGGTTGGAAAGGCTCCTTCTGGAGACCCTCAAGAGTAGCTGCAAACCATCTGGGTTGACAGACTCATGGTCTGATTTGATACATATTCCCATTCAGTTGTGGGTTATGTAGGTCCTTTACTCCAACTGGGTTATTCTATGGTCTGCCTCCAACTTTACTGTTCAGTGTAGACCTGTCCCATAAACCAATGTTGGTGTGTCTGTGACCTTCCAGTTGTTGCCGGACAACAACTTCCATCATTCCTGAACCTCCTGATGCCCACAATTTCTTCACCTCTGCCATTTCTTAAACATTAACACCTTTAAGAAAATGAGTCAATATTTCTTCCATTATTTTTAATCTTCTAAGTGCAGGCAGAGGCTTTTGTAATGGATAAGAGGCTAGTCTGAGGGACAGAAAGCCACCAGTTTAAATTTTGCCTAAACCTCATATTGGAAATGGCTCTGAATTGGTGCCAGGATTAGGCATCTCATATAGTCAACAAAGACATTAGGCCATTTTACCTGTGGCTTTATTATTTTGTATGTGATAGCTTTCCCTAGAATGGATCTGGGAATACAACCTAATTCTCTTTGTGCTGGTAAGCCTCAGTCCAGGCACGGGAGCAGTCAACATGATAACCTCCAGATGCTTTGAGAGTTCAACAGCTCTCAGCCCCAGCTGGTCCTTGCCTACTAGCCATGTCCCCAGCACCTTGATTCCAGATTGTCTGAATGAGCTACACTTGCTTCACAGAGGACAATCTTCTGCTTGAAAGATGTTCTGTCTGAAGGAGCCCTCTGTTTGAAGGGCAGCTGAGTGCAAATCCAGTTTCAGTTTAAAGATAAAGAATCATAAGAAGAGAGACCTGCAAGTTGCCCATCAAGAGGGAGCAACTAGGCACCAGACTGAGCACTCAGGTCCCCTGACCATAGGCTTCCCTATATAGTATATTGTATAACTATTTAAATTAATTAGCAGATGCAAATTCCATGTAAGGGTATAGTTCCAACCCCCCCCCCCAAAAAAAACACCATAGTGCCTTCCAGACATTCCAGGACTGCAAGTCAGTATTATCTCATTTTATTATTTATACTAGCTGAGGCTAACCAGAGTTGTAGTACAATGACTTCTGGAGGACACTATGTTGGCTTCTGTGCCCTTTTGTCCTTTTTATAATTATGGTGATGATTTTTAAGTGGTCACACTAACTTGGGGGGTGTAGCCAGTGAGCACATCAACACTGTTGAGCATAGTCTTCCTTCCACATTTGGTGTATGGATCTGGAGAGTGTATTAAAACCTCTCAGGAGTTAATTGGAATGTCCATTTGGGTCACATTAAACCAGGGCTGGAGAACCACAGAACCAGGGTTAAATGTGGCCTTCCACTCCTCTCTATCTGGCCCCTGGGGCTCCCCCATACCCTCTCTCCAGGTCACACCACACACCAGCCTTCAGTGTTTTTGCCTGGCAGGACTGTATTATTGAACTCTGATCATATCTCTTGCTTGCCTGAATGAATGAATGAAGGATAGAGAGGGATATGTGAGTGAATGTAGAAACTGGCCTACAGTGCAATTGCATGTCTTTCTCTGGCCTCTTCTAAAACTGACATGTGACCTTCGACTGTGGTCCAGAAGAGAATGTGGCCTTCAGACTGTAAAAGGTTCCCCACACCTCACTTAGCATAACTATGTCTTTACCAGCCAAAGAAAGACAGGCAGACAGGGGGCCATCCAAGCTTCACCAGGCAAGGCATTGTACAATATTGCTGGAGGCATTCTCTTTGCTCAGAACAGACTTTGCACAGGGTTGTGTTTGCCCCATCTTGCTCTTGCTGGCATGTGGCTCCCAGAAGGTTGCCCAGAAGGGAATGAGGTCCTGGGCCTGTAAAATGTTCCTCACCTCTGGATCAGATCATACAGTTTGTTTTCCAGTGAAGTCCCCCGCCCTTTGCTTTTGTTTCTTGCTTGGTCTGTGTCTGTTTCCAAAGGAGACAATGAATCCCTTTGACACTGGGAGACAACCAACAAGCTCTGTTAAACACAGTCTGCGGTGAGTAGCTGTTTTGTGTGTTTGTTTGTGTGCCTGCAAGAAAGCCTAACCCCATAATGAGATACTATACATTGGCCTTGTTAAAATGTGGCACTTTCCATTGAACATTGTCAACCCACATCATTATAAAGCCAGAAACCTCTGGATTGCCTCCTTGAAGAGTGTTTGCAGAAGGCTATGATTATAGTGCATTTTAATATGTAACCTTTTATTGTAAACAGCTCATTCAACAATGTCTGCATTTTGTTTGTCACAAAGTGGTACATTCTAGCTAAGTTAATGATTGATGAGGCTCTACAGTAATGTATTGCATAGACTAAGGAGGTACAACTTGATTGCTGGCTATTCCTTTCTTTTTGTCCTCCTCCCCCCCTTCTTTGGGAAGAAGAGTATTGGTAACTTGAATCCCTGGTTAATACATTGCATGCTTCTGGCATATGCATATATACATGGAAGAAAGGGCTTAGCAAAACTGAATAGTGACATGTACTTGGCCTGTAATAAGAGTCCGTGCAGATCAGCTGTTGACATTTTCCTGTACGCTTCCAGATTCTGCTAGGAAATGTTTCCTTCCCAGTTTTGTTACTGTGGTTTCCCTTCCAAATGATCAAAGATTTATGGGCACACCACCCATTCCTCCCTTCTGTGGGGCATATAGCTTATCTCAGCAGAACCATGACTGAATACAGTTCTGCATGTACATGACCCAGCCAATAAATGCCAATTGAAAACAAAATAGGGGCAGTAAAAAATGTGTCCCCAATCACAATACTGATGATGCTTTGATACCGGTGCTGTTATTCTACCCCGCAAAGGTTGAATAGTTATTGTTGCCTCTTTATCAGGGATGGGAGAGAAATATGATTCCGTTTGCATTAAAAGGCAAACTTGCTAAATTTGGACTTTTCGAGACAATACGTAAACCGAAACGCAACCATCATTTGAAATTTTGAGTTCATCAAATTTTCCAGTGCAGTTCTCCAACCAAATAACATGTACAAAGGATGGGTATACTCAGGTAAAGTGTGCATATAAATGCATAGATTAGTGAAAATAACATAGAAAAATGTATTAAGTTTGGGGAAATTGCTTTGAAAAAATGTATATGCTAAGAAATATTGCATGCAAAAAATGTGTACATCATGAGAAATTCATGCTAAAATGCTGACAAATTTTCATGAGAACATTTTTTTGAAAAATAATAAGCTGGCTGCTATGGAAATGTGGAGGATCAGACTTAAGATTGGAACTGTGAGAAACTGATAGAGTGTGGTTTGGCCCTCAATAAACTCTCTGTCACTCATGGGAAGACAAAATATCCTCATTTATCCTAAGCCCTCTGGCTTTTACCTTTCACAACCAGTAAGTAATAATGCAATAAATTGACGGGAAACTCAGATTTGGGAATTGCCGTTCTGTGGGTAAAATGACGAGCAACGGTTCGTTACAACTTGTTGTTATGGCCAGAATCCCAAGCACAAATATTTGAAGAGTCATAAAAACAAAAGCACAGGGACAGGTCAATGGAGAAGTGGGCCTGCCTCAACATCTTGACTTGGTCTGAAGTCAATTCTACGTATGAAAACTGGGCACACACAGACAAATGTAATGTAATGAGTCATGGAATGAGTCATGGAATCACTGGGTTGTTGCCAAACAACTTTTACTCAGAGTAGACCCATTGAAATTAATGGCTCTCAGTTAGCCATGTTTATTCACTTTTAATCGGTCTCCTCTGAGTAGTACTAGCATTGGATACAACCTATTGAGTTGGAGGGAGCATTATAGGTTCTCTGCTCAATACAGGGAAACAAGAGCTGGGCACTCCCAACAGATGGCTGCTCAGCCTCTGCTTGGAAACCTCTAGCAAGGAATTGGCCAGCAAACACCAACCACATAATTTTTTCCATTATAATATTGCTCTGATCTTCAAGACATTTCTGCAGATGTTCAACAGAAATCTACCCCTCTATAGGAATGGGCAGATTTTTGAATTTCATATTCTCTCAATTTCTCACTTAAGTTCGGTTCTCCACATTTCCACATCAATTTGTGATATATTTTTAATTAATCATGAAAATTCATCAGCATTTTAGTTAGTGCAAATTTCTCACAATATACATATTTTTGTATGCTACTTTTCCCACTACACACATATTTGCAAAACTATTTCCCGAAATTTATTGCATTCCTATAAATTATTTTTGTCAAGCGCACCTCTTTACTGTGGCCTTTGACACATGTGTGTGTGTGTTGTGTGTGTATTAGGATCTACCTTATTCTTCCAGTTGTAAATTGTTTTAACTGATTTTAATCTGGTATTGTGTGTGTGTGTGTGTGTGTGTGTGTGTGTTTGGAATGCATGGAATTTTTAATATTTTATTTTTCATGGGGGAAGGACAGTAGCTGAGTAGCAGAACATCAGCCTTGCATTCAGAGGGTCCCAGGTTCAATCCCTGGAGTCACCTAGTAGAGCTGAGAGAGAAGCCTGCCTGAAATCCTGGAGAGCTGTTGCCAGTCAGTGTAGACAATACTGAGGTAGATGCACCAAAACCTGACTCACTATAAAGCAACTTCCTAGGTTGTCGTAACCTGCCCTGGGACCTCATGGGAAAGAGCATGGAAGAAATCAATATGAATGATATTGCTAATCTTTTTTTCTTGTATGTCCCTTGTTTGGCACCGCGGTGTACCATGAGAAAACTGCCCTGGGACACACTTGCAGTCGCTCTGGAAAAATCAGCTTTATGAATCTGATTGGTATTACATCATTTCCTGCCAGGCAGAGAGACCAGGAACAGCCGAGAGGAATCTCTGAAATATTTCAGGACAATAGTTTTGAGGGTGTTTGATTTACTATTCAAGTGCACACAGCTGCTGGTGGGGAAGAGGGAGGCAGCGTGCCAAGCGGGAGGGAGGGCAGCAGGAGAGAGCGGAAAATTGTTTACAGACAGGGCCATTAAAATGACTTAGAAATAGTTCCCTCTCATTCCTCTCTGCATAAAATAGTTGTCTGTTTCAAATGGATTACCACTTACTCACTGATACACCATTTTAAGTGATGTTTACATAGCACGCTAATAGCAGCCGGTGAATCGACCGCTGCAAAGCTCCAGTGTGAGTCCTTCTCATCCTGCCCCCCCCCCACAGCAGTGCTTCATTCTGTAGTAAGGGAAGGGCTGTAGCTCAGCAGCAGAGCATTTGATTTGCATGCAGACGGTCCCAAGTCCAGTCCCCGGCTTCTCAAGGTAGGGCTGGGCAAGCCACAAGTCAGAAACTCTGGAGAGCTGCTGTCAGTCAGTGTAGACAATATACTGTGCTAGATGAACCAACGGGTCGTAAGAAGAGCTCTGCTGGACCAGGCCAATGGCCCATCTAGTCCAGTTTCTTGCTCTCACAGTGGCCAACTGAATGCCTATGGGAAGCTCAAAAAGCAGGACCTCAGCACAGCATCACTCTATCCCAGTGGTTCTCTAACTTTTTTCTCTGAGCCACACTTTCAGAATAATAAATTCTTCTCTCCACACCAGTTTTTTCCTTGATAAGAAGTGCATTGGAAAACAAAAAGAAACGACTCCTAGCAGTTCTTTATGTTGAAAAGATATCTATTCATATTCTGCAAATTAATAAAAAATAAAAGATTAATACTTGCTGGATTCCCTAAAGGGACAGCTGCATATTCCTGTGTTACAGAGGGTTGGACTAGATGGTCCTCAGAGTCCTTTCCAACTCCATGATTCTGTTCTACACTGAAGTGTTTAGATGTTTCTTGGATTGTCCTTGCATTTTCCCACCACACTTGCCATCCTCTCCTGCCACACCAGTGTGGTGCGCCACACCCTTTGAGAGCCACTGCTTTATCCACTTGTGCTCCCTAGTGCCTGATTAAACTCTGTGGAGGCCCCTAGGCAGTCAAAATTGGGGGGCAGGGGAGGCCCTTGTGTGTGTGCTCTAATAGGATAACCTTGAAATAAGAAAGCTTGGTTGTAATTTACTTTCAAGATCAAATCAATATTATATTGATCCGTTGTGGCGGGGCCCCTAGAAGGCATGGGGCCCATAGGCCAGCAAAGCCTCCAAGTGTTCCTATTTTCCAGGGATGTCCCTGATTTAGAGAAGCTGTCCCAGTCTCTGATTTGATCCTGGAATGTCCCACTTTCCTTAGGATGTCCCTAATTTCATTTGAGAAATGTTGAGGGTATGGAGTTATCCGACCCCTGAGCCATCTGAAAGCAATCCTATATTGGGAAGTTTCTTAAATGTTTGATGTTTTATTATGTTTTTACATATGTTGGATGCTGCGCAAAGCGGCTGGGGCAACCCAGTAAGATGTGTGGGATATAAACAGTAAAATTATCCGTATGGAATGGGATGTCCCTATTTTCATCGGAGAAATGTTGGAGGGTATGGGCTGGTGCCTACTCTGCCTATTTGATAATCTGGCACTGGAGCTTTCAAGCAACTGGTATTCAGCCTCCGACAGTGGAAGTGAAACACAGGCATCGTGGTCAGACGTGGTAGAAGGCAGCTTCCCATGATTGTTTCTGAAGTGAGGTTATGCTCTTGGGGAAAGGACCACAGGTCAATGGAAAAGCATTTGATTTGCTTGCACAAGGTCTCATGTTCAATCCTTGACATTTCCTGAGAAGCCTGGGAGAGACCCTGGGCTGAAATGTTAGAGAGCTGCTGCCGGTCAGTGTGGACAGTAACAAGCTAGATGGACCAATGGTCTGCTTATAAGGCAGCTTCCTATGTTCCCAGCATCTTTTATGTCTCATGGCTATTGAAATGGCTGCGTAATAAGAGGGCTTAGCTGTTATCAGTACTTCTTCACACAATACGTCATTAACTGATGGAATTTGCTGCCACAGGAAGTGGTGATGGCTATGGGCTCAAATAGTATTAAAAGGGGATTAGAGAAATTCATGGAGAAGGAGGTTATCGACAAGGATAGCCATGTTTCCTGCTTTATAGAGAACGGTCCTCTTCTATTTGAATGGTTGCCCAGTCCAAGTACATTTAAAGATATAGCAGGAGGGGCCTTGAAGTTGCCCATTAACAATAGCTCCTGGACAACAGACTGAGCAGGCACACACACACATACACGTGGCACTACTGTGTAGGCCCCCTCCTGCTCATTCTGCTGATTTGGGCCTGGGCTTCTGCCTCAAAGTCCTGCCTTGATGGTGAAGCAGGCTCTTCTTCGCAAAACTCTGTACCTGCTTTAAGTCCAGGAGAGACATGTGTCAAACTACTTCAGACTACAGATGAGGTGGGAGAATTGCATTAACAGCTACCCCAACATCTTTTTAATTGGCAAAATATAGAACACTAAGGGTCAAAATAGATGACTTATTTATTTATTTATTTATTTATTTATCTATCTTAATTAAGAGACATTTAAACCACTTTTCAGAGCACATTGCTATTCCAAGTCAGAGTACAAAAAGAAAAGTTAATAATTTATTAAACCGTCAATTTAAAACCTACAAATTAAAACCTACCCTTTTAAATTCAGCACTAATGATCCTCAAAACAAAGCCATTAATAAAGAGTGGATTTAAATAATAATGTCTTAAGAGTCCTCCTAAAAGTCATCAGTGATGGGATCATATGCATTTCCTAGAGAATAAGATTCCAATTGGGTGGAGCCACTGCAGAAAAGACCCCGTCCCTTGGTACCAAACAACTATCTACCTTCAATGTGCTGGAGAGCAGGAATAATCCTAAAGCTGCATGAGCTTCATCAGGGTCAGGACCACAGTGCACAGAGAAAGCAGTTCATGGTCCCCAAAACCCTTCTCCCTGCCCAAAGTGCTATTTGCCAGTGACAGTTTCTCTTCCAGGGAGAACAGAAGCTTCAGCAGTAGGATATTTTTGTTAACATTTAGGTACAGTGATTCTTCCTTCCTCTTCCTCCTTGTCTCCTTTGGGGAGACAGTCAAGCATGTTCTTCCATTAGCCATCTGATGTGGGACGGTGCAGGGAACAGTTTTACCGTGTGATCAGCTCTTTGGACAGACAAGAGCTAAGCAAACATTGAAAACAGCCAAAGCCGACTGCTCAAGCCAATGGCTCATTAGGTAGTTCTCCTGCTCACTTATTCATTGGCTTTGATCCCAGGGAGGGAAGGGGAGAGAGAGACTAAGACAGTGTTTTTATTAAGCCAACTTTTATTGCCAGATTTTGACATACAAAGGCTTGTGGAGTCTACATTCCTAAAGCTGCATTCAGATGGAAGCATCTTCTTTTTCTTTTTTCATGAGTCAAGTGCAATGAATAAGCATTAGGGGTGTGCATTCATTTTTTTTAACAAATGAAAAATGAAAATGAATGGGCCCCATTGTAGCTAAAGTGTACAGCACTCTGATAGGCCTTTATTCCACACAGAACGCTCCAATCACAGCAGCAAGGAAAGTGCCTTGAAAGTCTATAAAAGAGGGAAACAAAGCTTTGCGCCTTGCCTGTGTAACTTCTTTTGCCCTGGGAGCAGTGTGTTTGCGGGCTCCTCTGTTGGTCTGTTCTTTACATTTGAATTAAATCAGTTCCAAGTCTTTTAAACAGGTCTTTTAAACATTTTCAGTCCATTACACATTCTGTTTCCTTACCTTTGACATTCCCTTGCAGTTAGTTAGTTAGTTAGTTAGTTAGTTAGTTAGTTAACGGCAGGTAGTTGGTCCTATTTACAATTAGTTCAGATGGCAGTTAGACTGTAAGTAACTTTCAGAATTTGGCAAACTAAGCATAGCATGATGATCAGTAGGCAGAGAATTGGCATGCCTGTTTCTGTAGCCAGATATGGGTTAGATAATAGGTCTACTCTGCATTTCATATCATCATATTTAATATCCTAAATTGTCTAGATTAAAAGTCATCTACAGTACTGGGATAGAGATGGACCAATCGATCAACTGCAGTTTCAGTCTTTCATTCTTCCTACCTTAAGTTCATTTTACCACATTTTCATATACTTTTGCTATTTTTTAAAGCCAGAAACTGTATAATGAAAGTGCCAGAAGCACCTTTGTGCGGTGGGAGTTTGGCAAAGCACCACCACAAATAATGCTCACTTCCAGTTTCACACCCCGCAGAGCCTCTGAGGGCCGAGGCACCCCAAGACAACCCCCTATGCCAATCTCGGAACCTGAGAGGGGAGAAGGGGTGGTCTTTCTGATATTTGCTGCTAAGTCGTTTATGGCTTATTCCTATAAAAATAAGTTTTGACACTGAAGTCTTCAGTTTGTGCAGCCTTTTTTTTTTTTTTAAGGAGAAGGGCCAGTGACAGAGCACCTGCTTTGCATGCACAAGGTCCCAGGTTCAATCCCCAGTAACTCCAGGTAGGGCTGGGAAAAGAGTCTTGGTCTGAAAACCTGGACAGCCTGTGCTAGTCAGTGCTGATAGTCCAATAGCCTGTCTCTGTATAAAGCAGCTTCTTATGTCCTGTGCTCCACCTGAGACTTAGTTTCCTCAGCTTGGCCATAAATATTCCACGATATCACGCATCCAGGTACTTATCAGCAATGCATGCCAAAAAAAATGTATTTTCCATAAGAAGGTATGAACTGCACATAACCCAGGTCAGCAACATTTACATACCTCCCCATAATGTGCAGATTGGACCTAAATTATGTTTTCTGCAAAGAGTCCAAACAACCCTTCCCTCTCCCCACTCTCTTTATAGATTTGCAAACAGCCTTCTTTAACCTTAAACTCAATTTGTCATGTTGCCAATCCTGCCATGTGTGGATGATTTACTGCTTCCTGAGGCACAAACTCCACCAGATTCCAAACTGTCCTTATTGCGTTTTGCTTAGTTCCCTCTGGTGCTTTGACCCTTCTCAAACTGTTTACTATAAGTAGGCAGCACAGACCAGTAAGGTGAGTCTTCTCTGTAAAATAAAAAAAATGGGGCAGTGGAAAAGGATAGCTGGAGAAATTCTATAATAGGGGTTGCTAACATGGTGTCCCCCAGATATTGTTGGACTCCATCTACCATCAATCCCAGCCAACGTGGCCAGTGATGATGGGAGCTGGAGTTGAACAACTGTAAGGCACTGTGTAAGGCACTGTGTTGGCTTCTCTGTTTAGGAGGGTATGGAGTTTGTTGTGAAAGGCAGAACTGGTAGCCGATGTGGTGCTCTGCAGAAATTGTTGGATTCCAAAGCCCATCATCCCTGCACATTGTTTGTGGCAACTGGATCTGATGGTAGTTGTAGCCCACAGCATACATCAATCAGTTAGGTTTATGTGTTTATTAAGCATTTAAATGACAGGCAGTGATGGGGCAGCAAGTACACAAATTATATAAGGGCACAATGTGCTGAGCTTCCATACTTAAAACGAACTGCCCAAACCATATCAAAACAACTTATTTTTGGCCCATACCTCCTCTTCTTCACCTTTATCTTTGGGTATCCTTGTAAATACCATTAAAGTACTCTATTTTGTGCCTGTTAGTTACAGAACTAAGTCAGATTCATAAATGAATTATGGCCATATAGTAGAATAGCAGGGAGTGCCTGGCATTGCCTGGGAATTTTCAGAAACCAAAAATGTAATTTTTAAATGGATAGTGTAATTTCTGAGTTTGGGCCTGTCCCATCATGTAAAAAATCAGGTGAAGTCACATCAAAGTCATGTTGCAGTCCACCATATTGAATCAATATGGTGGCCAGCATCCAAACATCAACAGATACTACTGCCCCTACTCTGGGAACCCTGATGCCAAGTTTTGTGGTGATATATTGAGAGATGTCCAAACACATAGAGAATGAACAGACAGACACACAAACCATTTTCAAAAATATATAGTAGAAGTACTGAATCCTATGAGGAAACCTCCACTGATCCAGAGTGTAAACAAGGAGCAAAGCACACTTTGTGTTTATTCGGCTTTTTAGTGTGGGGTGTCTAATGGTGAATTTGTGCAGCTGGAAAATCATCTTTCAGAGAACACTAACCTCCTTCAGAGGTAACAGGTTGCAGTGGACAAGAGGAGATCCATCCACTCAGGGTGTGTGTGTAAGTGTTGCTTCTGCACAGTTGCATTGTTCTTGTGAATAAAGATGGAGTGGATTTGTGTGAGTCCCAAGACAACCCAGTCCAAAAATAACACTTCAACAGTTTCTCATTTCCAGTATACAGAAGGTCCGTTCTTAACCTGAAACTGTTCTTAACCTGAGGTACCGCTAATAGGGCCTCCCACTGCCGCCACCGCACAATTTCTGTTCTCATCCTAAGGTAAAGTTCTTAACCCGAGGTACTATTTCTGGGTTAGTGGAGTCTGTAACTTGAAGCGTTACGAGGTACCACTGTATAATATTCCTCAGATGGCCAACAGGAGACATACAGCTACCCCAAGCAAATGTGAAAGGATTCTTGTAAATCCTTCAGGGCAGTTTGTGGACTCACAAACATTTAAATCTTGGGTGGAAAACAAATCTGTTTTATCACATCTGTGCCAAACATGCTATACTACCATGCACCCCTGAAGTTTCAGGGAGGGGATATATTTTCTTTTTGTTTTGTAAACAGACAAGAGTTGTTTCAATCGGGGCAATCCATGTTGTGTTCCAACAAAAATCTGCTTCTTCATCTCACTACAAGAGCTCCATCTTATATGAGATTACTGTAGTTATAAATAATGCCAGCCTCCTGTTTAAACATTTTTTTAAATTATTTTTACAAATCTGCATTTAAAATGGGCTTTTGTAAGCTGGTTAGGGAAGAAACCCATTCAATAAGTCCTGTTAATCTCATATCAACCATATTTTGTAAATACACAGACATGGCCAATGGTCCCACTGATACTTCATTTCCCAATAATGAGGGAAGTGGTATTTACAGGAAAGATTTAAACATTTCTTTAGCACCAGAGCATGCATTTTTTGTATGTTCTGTATGAACCCCTTAATGTAAAGATGACTAATGTATCCATCTAATTAAATTTTTTACAGCATTCCAGTGCTTGAGTGTCAAATGTTTGTTTCCAGTTTGCCTCCTAATAATACTGTCACATAAATATTCCCATTTTTCATTTAGTGCCTTCCCAATACATATTTTTACCATGGGAGAACTGCATTATAACCAGAGCTGGCTCCAGGGGTTTTATTTTGTGGGGGGGGAGCTTGGGCAAATGTATAGTGCAGATGTTGCCAGAAACACTACAAACAGGGCTAGTCTGAGCCATTTTGCTGCCTGAAGCAGTGCTATTTTTCTAGAAAAAGAAGTGCTGGAACTCACAGTGAATGCCTCCCTTACAATAGCAACAGCGCCCAGCTGAGAGGTGCTAGAACTGAGTTCTGGTGAGTTCCAGAGGAAGAAAAGCCCTGCTGAAGAGGAACACAAAACAGTTGCCCCTCCCTCTCAACTTCCCAAGTCAAGGCTCATGCTACCCCAGCTGGCCAAGTTATTTTGGCATCTGAGGCATAAAATCCCTCAAGCACTTCTTCCTAGGAATAAAAACACAACAATAATAAATAATTAGCCGTTTGCTGTCCTCTCAGGGCAATTACAAGGCCTATTCAGGCATTCGGTCCACCATTTGAGGGGCAGTGGGTAGATGTGGAATGTTGGGGAAGTGACGTGGGCGCCAGCCACAGACCGTGTTGTGGCGTAACACAAAATGGCTGCCACATCTGAAAGAGCAGAATAAGACACAAGAACACAAAATGGTGTGGGCACCACCCATCAATCTCATTTCATGTGGGATTTATGAGGAGATATTTACTGAGACATTTTGCAGGAGCCATAGGAGGAGCTGGCTGGTGCAGGGTTGGTAGACCCGAATTGTAAACAAACACACGAAAGAAGACAGGGGCGCACTGCCAAGCCTTGCCCCCTCTGCTGCGTCATCTTCTACACACTTAAGACATTTGCCCTGGTTGCTTCAAATGGAAGACATCCACTTAAAAATACCTCTGTTGATAAAGTTGCTGGAGACAGGCAGAGAGTGCCAAAAGAAGCCTGCAAGGTCTGGCCTCCTTCTGCTAAACAAGAAAGCTTTGTAAATGTGTGCCAAGAGGGTTACTCACATGAGTAGGAAAATGAAGGTGGCAGGGCAGTGTCTGCCTAATCTACCTTTTACAACCTAGTCAAGTCATCCTAAACTCACCAGGAATCCTTTGGTAAGCATTAAATCTTTGTTTTTAATTAGTTTCCAAGTTATACTTTAAATGGAATGACATGACATCCCAATTGGTATGCAAGATAAAGTCCCATAACTAAGGTCACAACCTACAATAGTAGACCAAGGCCTTCCTGGATAATCCCTCAATAGGAAATCTTTTTTACTGAGCTGAAGACCAGACGCAAACAGAAGAGTTTCCAGGGGTCAGTCTCTGAAGCATGTTGCTCCCTCCACTGAAATGCCTTTTCTAAATGTTCTAGAAAGCCAACTGCACTTTAATGATGGGGTTCATGCTGAAACTAAGCTGATATATCTATGTGGTATTTGCATCTATTTAGATAGCATTCATAAATATTTATTTGGCTATATTAAGACTTCTTGTTAATATGTGTCCTTTTTCTCTCTCTTTCTTCATCTGTTTGTAAATTCTAATGGCAGTTGACTTCTTATAACAGGGAGGGAGTCAAATCCATGAGCCAAGTAGAAACATTGCTACCCAAAGTCTTGTTAAAATTCAAAGCTTGTGTGCAAGAACGTGTTTCACCCGTAAGTGATGGTGCCAAGGTGCTACAATGGTATAGTCTTATTCCCCCCTCCATGATTTGGGGGACCTTGGATTGTTCTGTGTGGACTCACACCAACCCAGGAGCTATACTATACAGCTCCTATTTATTCTTAAAGTGTGTGTATATTAAATGCATGGATGGAATTGGGATCAGGCATGATGGTGCTTCCCCCAGTTTCAATACATCATTCCTGTGTGCACAAATCTATATGCAGGAATATAGGCTTCCCCAGCCTACTAAGGTATGGCAAATGGTTACCAGGAAAAGGGCATTTTCAGTGGTAGTGCCCCATGTATAGTATGACCTCACTAGAGCGCCTCACCTGAAGCTGATGCTATGGATTTTTAGGTGTCAGGTGAGGACCTTTTTATTCTCCCATGATTTTAAATTTTAATTATAATGGTACATCTATGTTTCATACCTTTAGATCACTACACTAAATTATTACTCCTCTTGCTTTTTTATTTTGGCTTTAAAATGCTCCTTAGTTGTATAGGTCTTGGCTGTCTTGATTTATTTACAATTGGTTTTAGTCTTCTTTTATCTTCTCAGTGTTGTATTCTATTCTGTGTTTTAAAGGTCTGTAACCCTGCCAGAGAATTTGATTATATGGGTGGTATAGAAATGTAATAAATAAATGAATGGCTTTCCCCTGAAGTCTTTATGGTTCTGCCATTATGACACTGTTTTAAAGTCTCCTTGCCAATTTTTAATCATATGATGCTGGTCTGTTGTTGTTGGAATATATAATGCTGTTTTAAACGACTGGTTCACAGTCATTGCAATGTTGTCTTTTTTTGATTGTGTCTATTGTGTCTCAAAGTTTTTATCTGAGTTACTCTGAGGAAGGATGTTGGCCCTAAGAGGTGGCCTAAAAATATTTAAATCAACAACTGCATTCATCAAACCGCTGATGTCCAGAAGCTCTGGTTAGTGCAGAATGCAATGGCTAAAGTGCTGATGCGGGCAGAGGGCTGACAGCATGTGAAATCTTTGCTAAAACATCTACACTGGCTTTCTAGGCTAGTTTCAAGGAAGTGTTGCTGTACCATGCCCTGAGCAACTTGGGTCCATGGTTCCTTAAGGATCACTGGAACTCTTGCCTCGCAACCCAGTAACTGAGCTCATACAGAGGCGTGCTGTTACTTGACTGACCTCAAGTAGGGTGCATTCGGACACGGGGATGATTACGTTAGTTTTCCTGGTTATAATGCTAGTGCTTCTGCCCCTGTTCCTAATGTTCCTTTTCACACTGCATTACTTGTTGCGTATTGGAACTGTGGCTTTTTGATTGGTATACTGCCATGTCAGACTGAATTTCATTCACACCACTAGCCATGGTCTGACACAACACTAGACATCACAGGACATGTCAGCACCCTCTATGCACATCTGCTCACTCATGATTCACCCATGAACAACGGTGAGAAACAACTATATGCTGGAATATTACCCCAAATTTTCTCATGTGAGTGGTGGTGTTATGAGCAATGAAAAGAAGCAGGGACAGAGCGAAACGCCCATGTTTTTTTCTGGGTTAATGGGGTTGCAGACATATTTTTCCCCTGTAAGCAATTAACATGGGAACTGGCACTAAACTTCTACAAGATTCCTCTAGATTTCCAGAAGTGATTTTTACATTGTGTGAAAAGATCACATAAAGCAGAAATTTTTCAGGTAAGAAGACTTTCGGGAAATTTAAGTGTCACTGCTCTGATGCTGTGGAGCTGTGGAGCTCCATTCCAGTAGAGATGTGAGGCAACCTCATTTTTTATTTTCAAGCATCTCTTCAAGGCTTTTTTTTTATGCTGACAGACCTATGCAGCTGTTCAGAATTTTTTTGAGTGGCCAGTTATTTTAATGATCGTTCTGTATAATTTTTAAATATACTGCCCTGATGTTTTGCAAGAGGGTGATATATAAATACTTTCATATACAGTAAAAATAAATGAATGCTCCTTTTCTACAGTAGGCACTTCAGACTGACAATATCCCTCTCTATCCTCGATTCAGGCGAGCAACAGGCATTATAAGAGTGCAGTGACATTCCTGCCAAGCAAAAACACTCAAGGAAGTTGAAATGCATAACTGGTGAGCTATGACTCAGGCAGCTGTGCAACCTAGGGAGAGTATTGAGGGCCACATAGGAAGACCATGAAGGGCCACATTTGGCCCGCAGGCCTAAGGTTCCCCATCCCTGGCTTAGCACAAAAGATGGCTGACTGAGCACAGGCATCATAAAGTGATCCCACAACTGTACCATAAATGAGATCCTTCTGCAAAATTTCAAACCTCTTTAGGGTGAGTTGAGCGGGGCTGTGTGCAGAATTGCAGGTGACCAGCAGCCAAGAACTGGGAGATCCATTTATATAGCATCATCACCCTGGTATTCTTTTATGGCTGCGGTTGACCAGGACTGCCATGCTGTAAAGGTTTTATAGAGTGAGATGTGCTATATGAACAGATCCCAAAGCACTTATGGTGTTGTGCTATAACTCTGGCCAGGTGCATCATTTAGAGAGTGGGGAATACGGCTCTTAAAAAGGGCTGCTTTTTCCCCAATTTAATATTGAATGTGTCCAAGACCAGGATTTTGAAGCCTGCTGTTCGTTTTTCTTTCAGTTCCTTTTCTAATTCTGATCTATTTATTTTTACACTCCCTGTTGAACCCTAAAATGGCAGCACCTCCGCCTATTCTGAGCCAACTTGATCTAGGATATTAAACTTCTGAAGATAACCAGAGTGTGTATTGTATAGAGTGTATATTGTACACTTGGCAGAAGATAAATGTTAAACAAATGTTGGTTATTAAAATATAATTTTTTATTGTATTTGCTTTCTTTTGCGTGTAGCTGATACTTATTTTGTTAGTTACTTTGAATGTTGTTGAAACAGAAAAAACAGGATGTGTTTTAAAACAAATGCATGTACATAAGGAACATAGGGAATAGTTTAAGCCAGACCTTTGGCCATTTAGCTCAGTATTGTGTATTCTGAATGGCAGCAGCTATCCAAGGTTTAAGACAAGACTCTTTCTCAGTTTTGCCATGAATTCAACATAAGACCTTATTTATTTATCTTTTTATAATATTTGTATTCCACTTTTCCTCCAAAGAGCACATGGTGGCATAAAGAATCATAGAATTGTAGAGTTGGAAGGGACCCCCAAGGGTCATCTAGTCCAACCCCCTGCAATGCAGGAACCTTAACTAAAACATCCATGACAGATGGCCATCCAACCTCTGCTTAAACACCTGTAAGGAAGGGGCGTCTGTTCCAGTCAAATAGCTCTTACCATCAGAAAGTTCTTCCTGATGTTTAAACAGAATCTCATTTCTTGTAGCTTGAAGCTATTGGTTTGGGTCCTACCCTCCATCGCAGGACGAACAAGCTTGCTCCATCATCCATGTGACAGCCCTTTAGATATTTGAATATGACTATCCTATCTCCTCTTTCCCAGAAGTGTGGTTTTCCACCTTCCCATTTTATTCTCACAACAACCCTGTGAATTAGGTTACGCTGGAAGGCAGTGACAGGCCTAATTTCATCCAGTGAGTTTCAATGCCAGGTGGGGATTAGTACCCTGGTCTCCCAGGCAGGTTCTAGGCAGACAATCTAACCATTACACCACACTGGGTTATAATAAGTATTGTCTGTTGCCCCCCCCCCCCATTTTGTTTGTGTGTGTATCTATGATTTTTCACATCTAGTTTGTTTCTTTTAATACTGACTCTTTGCTAAGTTCTTTAAACTTGCTCACAGCTGCTATTAGTCCTCAACCACATTGGTGGACAATGCCAATCCATTCCACTACCGCTCATACTCGAGTGTTAAAATTATTTCAATTCCTTTCTCCCAGGTTTTTATTGGTGCTCAATAATGTGTAAGTGGAAAAGTTTGTATGTTAAAAACCCCTCCCCAGACTTTGGATAAATATTCTATTTATAACCTACCTGTCCTCCAAGGAGCTTGTGCAGTATGGTTCTCCTTCTCTCCATTTTATCCTCACAACAACCCTGTGAGATAGGTTAGGTCCAAGGTCACCCAGTGATCTTTAGGGAGCTGAGTGGGGATATGAACCTTGGTCTCCCAGATCCTAGTCCAATGAGACCACACCACACTTGCTCTGGAGCACCTAGGCTTCATAATGAAACCACCCAGTGTCTACTAGGCTAGCCAATAGCTCCTCCTCTTCTGGAGGAACTATAAAGGCTTCCTTTTCAGGCTGGAACTTTGTCTGGGTAGCAATAGTAGGATTCACTACTGATCTTAGCCCAGCTTTGACCATTGTCCACAGGTTCTTTCAGAATAGCTTTAATAGATGTTATAAATGGCCATTAGCTGATCACCTATGGTGAACAACAATTAGTTCAGGTGATTAGATGACAGGTTTTCCCAAACTTTCTGAGAGAACACCTTCTCCCGTCTCAACCTACACACCTGTTAAGATCAGCAGAAGATGCTCTCCTGGTGGTCACTGACTTTAATGAACTGCAGAAGCCATGGAAGTGGTGACTCCCTGTCTGTGGAATGACCTCACTGAGGGGCATCTTACCACAACCTTCTATTAGTTTAGATACCATGTAAGAACCCATCTCTTTCATCCATCATTTAGAAACTGATGGGTTACATAATTTTTGTGGTGTTGTTAATTATGTAAGTTATAAGAATGATTTTAATCTTTCTGTTCATATGCATTATGTTTTTATAACGCCTCCCTTTCGCAAACCGCCTGGAGACCATATTTTGGTAAGGGCAGGATAGAACTCTTTTAGTGAATAAATTAATAAGCAACTGGAAGAAGATTGGGTTTTTTGTTTTTTAGGTTTTTGATGTGCCCTATAAACAACTAGCTGAAACCTGTGCATGCAGAGAAGCTAGTAGCAAACTGCGCACAGGAAACCTCTATGGGTTTATTTCTCCAAGGCTGGCTTTAAAATCTAGTTAAATTTGCAAATATCTTTGACTTCCCTTTCTTCTGGTTTTCTTTTCTTTCTCTCTCCTCCTTTTTTCCCTCCCTGTGTGTATTTTTTTAAACACCCCAGCATCTTTTCTTTGGCATGTTTCCGATTTCCCAAGCTGCAGCTGCGCGGAGCTGAATGGTAAATCAAACACCCTAAAATCTGTTGTTTTAACACAATGTCTAAGATTTGCCGATTCTCTTCCCCTCTCTCATTTTTTGTGATAACCACGCTGCCTCTTCTTTGTGTGGCATCCAAATAACTAATTGGGGTAGCTAAAGCCTGACCTGTGTTTTTTGGTGAAAATTAGCGGGTAGGTTAGGGGGTGAAAAGCGGATAATTCCCAAGCAGTTTAGATAAGTAGATATTATAGGCTTGCCATGTTAATTGGTATTAAATATTTTTTTAATCACTGGTGGCTTTCATCATCAGGCTCTCTTGTGGCAGACAGCATTCTCTCTTCTCTTACGGCCCTGGCTCTTTGCATCTTTGCAGTGCTCTTTCAAAAGACGTTGCTGTAGCTTCTTTTTCATAAAGGCCAGGTCACATGGTCCTGTCGAGCTTGATGGCTGAATGGTGCAAGACACTCTGGTTTTGATCCGAGGCAGGCATGTGACTAACCAAACATAATTATTTATTGATTTATTACTCTTCTGTTCCGGCCCTTCCTCCCTAAGGACCCCAGAGAGGCAAACACTAAAGTAGTAAAACAATGCAATTAAAAAAAATTAAAATGCAGTTAAAAGATTTAAACACAATTTTAAATCATTGGGCAGTATCCAACATTAGTTCTACCCTGAGTAGACCCATTGAAATTAATGGACACAACTAACTTAGGCCCATTATTTTCCGTGGGTCTACTCTGAGTAGGCTTAGGTGGATGCAGCATCTTAAAACATGTTTAACAGTCATGTATGCTCACAGATTATACAGTAGCACCTCGGGTTACGTTACCCTCGGGTAACAAAAACTTCAGGTTGCAAAAGCAGCAAACCCGGAAGTGTTTCGCCACGTGTGCATGTGCAGAAGCGGTATATCGCCGTGCGCATGCGTATAACAGTGATCCTCAGATTGCAAAAACCTCAGGATCCGGCCGGACCTCCGGAACGGATCCCGTTTGCAACCGGAGGTACCACTGTAATTTCAAAGTTGCCAGCAACAGTATCTTTCCAAAGCCTAGGTGAAAAGGAATGTTTTTTAATTCCTCTTGAACATTAATAACAAGGGAGATAGACTGACCTTACTAGGGAAGCCAGGGAGGCCATTCCATAAATAGGGAGCCACCACTGAGAAGGCGCTGTCACAGTTCAGTTCAGAACAGCACCCAGCAAAAACATCACCTGCCAGTCATAGGTGGTTGATATTAGGTACTTGGCTCTAGTGTTTGAAACTCCCATTGTTCTACACACATTTTGTGACAGGGAATTTCATTAGTGCGAGCAGTTTCTGAGCTCTGGGTGCAGTACTGTGCCTAAGATTTCAGATTAAAACTGCAGAGTGGATGGAAAGATGGACCTTTTTCTGCCTCCCCACTTCCAGCTACTCTCTGAAGACTGGAGAAGAGACCCTCTTATGAATATTAGGGGGGTGGGCAGGGGAAGGACTAGACCATGTGAAAAATGAACATAATATTTAAGCTGCAGTTATTTATTTTCAGCTTTGTATTGTTACATATAAAAAAACCCCTAGGCTTTCCATTGTTGTGCCCATAACCTAAGTTTAAGGTGCCATTTAGCTCCTAGCTTTCATATCTGTTTCTAACACTGCTTGGCTCCCAAACCTTTCAGGTCTTGTGTGCTAGTAGAGACACCTTAAATTGTGGGGTGTATCAAATGGGCTGCAATATTTGAAGTTCTATGAATAACATTTGATTTGGGCTCAGGAAATGCTTTCAAAGGGGAGAGTGGAGCCCACATGAAGGCTAGCTGAGCCTGGGCACAAAGGGAGACATGGATGAAAGGATGAGGGGAAATTTGCCAAACTAATGACTATAGTGATACCTCGGGTTACATACGCTTCAGGTTACAGATGCTTCAGGTTACAGACTCTGCTTACCCAGAAATAGTACCTCGGGTTAAGAACTTTGCTTCAGGATGAGAACAGAAATTGTACTCTGGTAGCGCGGTGGCAGCAGGAGGCCCCATTAGCTAAAGTGGTGCTTCAGGTTAAGAACAGTTTCAGGTTAAGAACGGACCTCTGGAACGAATTAAGTTCTTAACTTCTTAACCCAAGGTACCACTGTATAGGTTAATTATTAAGACATAGACAAGTTGCAATACTTTTTTATATAATAAAGAAGGGACTATGCTGAATTGTGAAGGATGGAAGATGATAGAAAAACACTGATGGGATGGTTTTTAAGTGAAGGGTAAATGCATAGGATTCTGAAAGCTGTAAATAAAATGGGGGTGGGGGTGGGATTTCCCCTATGGCCAGAATTAAGCCAGATGATGTGATTGAGGGAAGTGACCCTGCCTAAGAAGACTGGGGTGGATTGGGAAGGATGCAAAAGAATGAAGAGGAAGCCAGCAGGTAGAAAGGCTGTGTTAAGGATAAATAAGAGACAATACTAAAATAAAAATGCCACCAACAAACTCCACTTAAAGAACTAGTTCAGAGAACTTGCCAAAGATGGGGGAGGAAAGGCACTGAGATAAAAGATTTATAGAATCAGCATCCCTCCCCACAAACATTGTGAGTGGAGAGTGTTGGGTGGATTGGAAGATAAACTTCTCAATGAGCAAACTCCAGCTCTACTCCTTTCCCTCTCCCCATGCTGATGTTTCCCTTATATGGCATTTCCCTGCGCCCTGTCATTTTGTTGACAGGCTGTCTGGCTTAGGTCATGCATTTTTAAAACTCTGGACATCTTTAAATATCTGGGGGGGGGTGTATTTGCTTCAAATTGCTTCAGGGGGCTCATCTCAAAGGAGCCCTATTTTGATCCAAATGTGCCAACCTCATCTTTGTATTCAGGTTTTGGAAGAAGCATCTTCTTGGTGGCTTTTCCTCTTGACTTTGCACTCCCTTCCTAGAGAGACTAGCCTCGCACCCTCCTTGTTAACTTTCCATCTGCAGGTAAAAACTGTTTCTTTCAAGACAGGTCTTTGGGAACTGGCTGCTTTTAAGGAAAGGATGTTTAATATTGATGTGTTGTTTTCACTATTTGCATTTTAATTCTTTTCATTTTTTATAGTTTCATTACTTTTGAACTATTATCTTTTATTTTGAATGAGTATTATACGGCCCCTGTAATAGTGCCAGTTCTGCACTGTTTCGTTGTCATCGTTCAGTGTGTGTGCATTCAAGTGAACTATTCTGGTTGGTTTACGTAGGACTGGGGAACCTTCTTTAGCTTGAGGGCCACATGCCGGGGGGGGGGGCTTCCAAGAGCCACATGCCGGCTCAAAAAGTGGAGCAGAGCAACAAGGCAGATTTTACCTTTGTACAGCAGACTAGTTTCTACACATACACATCCTTCATCCAGACACGCAAGAGCTATTATCAAAGTTCAGGAACACATTCCAGCCAGCCAAAAACACTCAAGGAGATTACAACGCAGGGCAGTGAAGGTGTGGCCTGGGAAGAGGTCTGGCGACCAGGTAAGGAGCCCTAGAGGCCCACATTCAGTTGCCCATCTATATAGCAGCCTGTGAAGAGTCTTCAACAATGTATAAAGGGGAAGAGGGTGTTCAGACACCAAACCTTGCATTGATGGTAGATGAGTTACTCACACACCCATCCTGCAAAAATAAATAAATAAATCTGCATTTAATTTTCTGTCATTAATTTTTCCCTCCTTGTATTTTCTGCAAGACTGTCTCTGTTCTCATCTGGGAAATGCTGGAGAGTATGGAATGGCCATAAACATTTGCACATCAAAAGTTCTTTATAAATTGTTCACAATAAATGGGATATATCATGATAACTCCTTATTGTGTGAAGAGAATTTAATTATAAAATCACTAAAGCAAAAGAAATCACAGAGACAGAGGGAGGGAAGTATACAAGGAGATGTAATGGATTGTATAAACAGCCCATTTTAATAAGAGAACACTAGCAAAATTCCTGCCCCGTGTAGCTAATAACCAGAGCATTGCATTACACTCACAAACAAAAGGCAGGAAATTCAAAGATAAGGTGGACACCTAGTCCTTGACTCCAGCCATTGTCACAGAATGGCCCAAAGATTATGTGAAAGAGAGGAGGTGTCACTCATAACTTTGTTCTCTTCCTGCCTAACCTTGAGGAAGAGGCTAAATAGGGCCATTGCTGAATTCAATTTGTGGTTGCCCACAAATTTTTCAACACAAAGACCACATACTCATGGGCAACCTGACAGGTTCCACATGCCAGTGGAGGGCAGGGTCAGGGACAAAAGTGGGCAGAGTAATTGGTATGGTAAATTGCATTCCAGCCATGCAAAAGCCAGAGGTTTCTACACACAAGGACACACAAAGTGATTTGACAGCCTTTTTCAAATATCTAAAAGGCTGTCTCATGAAAGATGGAGCAAGCTTGTTTTTGGCTGCCCCAGAAGGTAGGACCCAAACCAATGGATATAAATTACAAGAAAGGAGATTCTGACTAAACATTCTGACAACAGGAGCTCTTTGACAGTGAAATGGTCTAAGCCTTTCTCAACCTGTGGGTTCCCAGATGTTGTTGAACTACAACTCCCATCACCCCTAGCTAGCAAGGCCAGAGCTCAGGGATGATGGGAGTTGTAGTCAAACAACATCTGGTGACCCACAGGCAGAGAACCGCTGTGTGACCTGCTTGCCAGGAAGAAATTTTTTGAGGGCCAAATAACAGATTTCTCCCCATGCTGTGGTTCTGGAAAAAACTGCTCCCCTAAAGATACCTCCTGAGGGAAGGAAGTTGCTGTTGGTGCCAGTATCAGCTTCCCTGCTACATCAAGTAGCACAGGGACATAGGGAGCTGCCTTCTACTGAGTCAGACCAATGGGCCATACTGTAAGCACCTACTTGCAGCAGCTGTGTAGAGTTTCAGGCAGCGCTAGCTGGAGACACAGGGAATTGAACCCGTGACTCTCTGCATGCAAAGTGTATGCTCTGCCACTGAACTATGACTCTTCCTCTTTCTTTCTTTCTTTCTTTCTTTCTTTTTCCTGATAAGCATTAATGGCTCCTTTACAGCAATATGTGCTCAAGGGTCTTTTCGAAAAGTGGATATTTGACCTGACAGACCTTGGCTGACAGTCAGGCTCCCATGTATGCATTCTGAAGCTTTGTGCAAAACAGAACATCTCAGCGGAATAAAGGAATTTACAGACTATTGCTTCATCACGTAGCAGCCTATGTTCCTCATCCCCCCGCTTCTGTCTTTTCAACTTGAAACAAAACCTCTCTTTTAAAACCAGGTTAAATGCAAAGCTTCTAAGTAAGACATTTAAAAAGTAAAAATAATTAGGGATGTGCAAGGCTTCCTGGCAGAATTCCGTCACAAAATGTGCGAGAGGCTTTTTTCCCCCTGAGCCATGGATTTTGGCAACAAAACCCTATCATGATTCTTGTTAGCTTTCTTTCACTACTCCATTTATTATATTTAATCCCATATTTGCTACATTTAGAGAACACATATAGGCAAGTTTACTCAGAAGTAATTCCCACTGAGATTGTTGGGCTTTAACCCCAGAAAACTGTCTTTAGGATTACAGCCATAACCTCATATAACCTATGTGTAATTCACTCACAATAGCGCTGCATCATGGGCATTATAGTCATAAGGAATAATAATTTTTTTACCATTACATAGAGAGAATCACCTTCAGTTTCACATTTCAGGATGCCCTAGGCAACATATTACTTGCCGGGCCCCTTTTTCTGTCAATAGGTGCTCTTCTCCATTTATACATCCTGGTGGGATTACCTGGCACAAGTGGTAGGCAACAGCACCAGGCTGGGGATAGCCAGTAATTTATTTTCTCACAAATGTTCAATGGCATTGTGGGGAATTTAAATGACAGCCAGACCCACCTGCCAGTTGGTGCTTTTAGCACCAGGTTTTTAAAGAAGAACCTAGGAGAGGCCTCAGTAGTGGGGCTCTCTCATTGTTCCGATCTATCACTAAAGAGCAGGTTTTCCCTTGGAAAGGCATGGGGCAAGGAGAGAACCTTCTCAGACCTGTTCCTAGAAAGCATGGGTCAAGTGGAAAACCACTCAGACCTATGCTTCCTAGGCACAGCACAAGCAGAAGTGTGGACAGTGTGAAGAAGCACTTTCTTCATAACTAACTTAGTTAAAATACGGAATTTGCTTCCACGAGATTTAATGATGGTCACCAACTTAGATTGCTTTAAAGGGAGGGTTGATAAATTCATGTACAGTAAGGCAACCAGTGCCTGCTCAGGTCCTGCTTGCAGGCTTTTTCTATGGGCATCTAGTTGACCACTGTGAGAACAGGATGTTGGAATAGATGAGACTTTGGCCTGATCCAGCAGAGCTCTGCTTATGTTCTGTTTTCCTTTGTTTCTAAAAAGACATCAGAGATCCAACAGGTATGCTGGGAGGGTGAAGAGATTAGGTACATTTTTGCACCCAAAACACACAGTTGGGTAAATGTCCAAATCCATCCAAATCTCACAATATTATAAGCCCCATGTATGCCACCATGATCTTAAAGGAAGAGCAGCATAAAAGTACGACAGATATTATAGCAGTGGGGGGAAATGCACATTTGTACATGAGTTTATTGAGCTATGAATATGCTGACTGGCCAACCAATCTATGTAGTCTGTCCAGGGTATGTTGCCACAGCCTCCTGTCCCACATTCCTGTTGTACTTTATATAGGTCATTGTGCACATGGTCTTTCATGTGCGAAAATTATCACATCCCATAGGAATCAGTGCTAAGGACATGCTCCACACAACCATTTTTATGAGTCATTGACTTGTTCAGTAGATGCACTGGTTGGATAAGTTGTGTTGAACCACCCACCAAATCTTAGACAAACAAATCAAGACATACTGTGTTGCAACACAGTATATCTTGTTTTGATTTGTTTGACTAAGATTTTTCCAGGGCATCTTGTCTTGCATAGAAACATGAAAAGAGCACTGCTGGGTCAACAAACGTCCATGTATCCCAATGTCCTATTCTCACAGTGGCTAGTGGGAAACCCACATGCAGAACATGAGCACAATAGCCCTCTGCCACATTTGTTCCCCAGCAACTAGTATTCAGAAGCAAACTGCCTCTGATAGCCATTGTGATTTGTAGGCACTGAAAGCCTTGCCCTCCATAAATTTGCCTAATCCTCATTTTAAAGTTGTCCAGGTTGATGAATATCTCTACATCTTGTTGTAGCAAGTTCCACAGATGACCTATGTGCTTTGTGAAGAAGTATGTTCTTTTTCCAGTCCTGAATGACCTAAAATTCCAGCTTCATGACTCCTTGCTTGCCTAGGTTGTGGTTAGAGAAGAGTGTGTGAGTGTGTGTAGAAATTAGCCTACTGTACAGAAGTAAAATTTACATTTGTTGCTCCACCCACTTTTGTATCTAGCCCCACCTACCAGTGGCATGTGACCCCCCCAGAAGATTCCCCCCAAAAAGGAATGTGGCCCTCAGGGTGAAAAAGGTTTCCTACCCCAGGCAAAAGGAATAGCTGTCAGGTAGTTAAAACACCAGTAAGCAAGTCTCTTAACAGTGATAGGCCAGAAATGGTCAGATGTTTCTACCTGTGGCTTAGAAAGTCCTCCAACTCAAGCTTCCTTATTGGTCTGAGCAATTAACAGAACTGGCCCAAGCCATTTTACTTCCTGAAGCAAAGGACAAGATGGTGCCTCTCCCTGCCCCCATTCCATGTACAGAAGGTGTCTGGACTGGCAATTGAATCCTACTTTATCACCAGTGTTGGATTAGCATCCTCCACTGTACGTGAGAGAAGCAGGCCAGAACACACACCTCTGATTTCCAGCAGCATCCTGTTTCTGACTGGAATGTGTTCTTCAATGCTGATGGTGTCTCTTGCTTAGGTGGAAAGGTGATGTGTGTGTCTGGAGTATTTACATTTGTTGCTCTGCCCACTTTTGCCTCTGACCCTGGACACCACTGGCATGTGGCCCCTGGAAAATCGCTGAGAATAGAATGTGGCCCTTGGGCTAAAAAGGGCCCCTGATGTAGGTCATACTAAGCCAGACGTACCAAGGGGCTGTTCCATTATAAGGAAGCTTTCTGTACTCTAAGGCAGGGGTTGGCAAGGTTTACCTCGCCTGGGCCGGTTCACTCCAGCGGAGATCCCTCCGCCTGGGCGCACCAGCAGACGCGATTTCCGGCACCACAGAAGCAAGTCCCTGCACCATGCTGGTTTAGCTCAGTGCACGGGGACTCGCTGAGTGAGCAGCTCAGTTCGGGGGTGGCTTGTGGGCCGGTTAAATGACCCCCATGGGTTGCTTGTGGCCCATGGGCCTTAGGTTGCCGACCCCTGCACTAAGGGGAACTCCTGCTGCCACCACCTCACGGTGATTGCCTCACTGCTGTGCCACCAACCCCAGCAATTAGCTGGCTCTGCTGTAGAGCTGGCTCCAGACTTCTTTTACCTCCTTTCACCTCTGACTCATTTCATCCTGCCCTCCGACGTGACAGGAGCCAGGTGCAACACCCTGGCGGACCTTTGAAAACCTCCTGAATGCCTCTCCTACTTGTAGGAAGGACGCCTAGGGAATGGACTGTATCTTTCTCTTTTTCCTCTTCTCTCTCTTTCTCTCTCTCTCTCCCCCACCCCCAGTCTTTCTTGTTAGGTTGATGACAGAGTCCCTCTTTCCCATCACTCGCCCCCACCCTCTCTCCCTCCCTCCCTCTCTCCCTATCAGCTGCCTAATCTGCCTGCATATTCTGACACACACAGCTGCGAGAGATGAAAACTGTGCTGTTGATAGATGAAACTTTGGATAAGATTACATGGTTTTGAATATCTTGATGACATATTTGTCTGAAAAGTCTTTTAGAGGACAGCCTAATATAAATGCACGGAAATGTTTCTAATGACTAGCATTTGTCTACGGTCTCCATTTGAAAGATGAAACATTCACATATCATTTGCATTTGTATGTGAAGGCAAACTTTTCAATAAATGCTTCTTCCAAGTGAGAAGAGTTAACTATTTACTCAAAACATGCCCGGACGATTACATTCCGGGTGTAATTGGCCTCCACTAGAATTGGCAGTTGCCACACTCATGGCAGTATAGACCTGATTAAGGCTGGAAGTTGTTAAAAAACACTGGTGATGTGTTATTTGCTTATGTCCCCAAGATGTTTCCAGAATAATTTCTTGATTTGATTTGCTAGTGAATTATCTGTCTCGGTGGTGGAGTAGATACTAACATGGTATCCCATATTACATTCCAATAGTTATCTGATCACAGACAAGATTGAGGGCATCTCCAGAGCAATGTTCTCTTTTGCAGATATATTCTGCAACATGTCATTGACACAATCACTGTGCAATAGTGGTGTGTTTATAGTGAACCAGCCACATGTCATTCCCTTCTTTAGTTGTTCTGTGATGCTTCCCAGTGTGATTGCATTATTGCTGTCTGGAGGGGACACGCAACAAGAGTGACACACACCCTGAACATTTGTGGTCTAAGGAGGTTCAAGATTTCAGCAGGAAGTTACAGGACATGCACTGATGGAAAACAAAGAAGTACGTGCACCCTGAAGACTTTGCAGGCACAAACAGTATTAAAAGCAGGATTGCAGCTAACCACCCTCATTCAGTCATGAGCACAAATAATCAAGAATGCACAATAAAAAGATATCTGGAGAGGGGGCAGTTGAAAACAACCTGCCAAATGAATTTATCTCTTTCTTGCTAATGGAGCATGATAGGAAATAGCATAGGACTGAGGTCTAAGTAGAGTCATTGCTAAGACATTAGCCTTCCACCCAACGGACATCAGCCACCATTACTGTTGCCTCTATGTGACTACAGGATCCAAATGACATCACATAGATGCCAGCAATTATGCCAGACTGCTCATGTGTGCAATTACCTAAAGTTATGTGGAATAAATGTGGGGGTGGGGGTGCATAAGTTTCTCTGATAGCAAAAGGAAAAAGCTTTATTTTTCAAACTCTCAGTGAAGTTACATTGGTAGCCTGATAATAGAGCCTTCGCTAAAACAAGCTGCCCATGTATCCTGGAATAACCTTTCCACCCATTAATTATTGCAATTAGGGAATGTGATATTTAGTTAGCTTTCCTTAACCTAAGAATGGCATGTTACATATTATTGGAAATGGCCAAAGCAGGTTATCTGCATGTCTCAATGGGTCAACCTTTACCTTTCCTATTACAGGTTATCCGTGTCATTCTTGGAAATCATTGACTTCCTGGACATTGACTCTGTCATGGAAAAATTGTGAGGGGGGGAGAGTCTAACTTGCAGAAAAATGCTGAATAACATTTTTCAACTCTCCTGCTGGTGGGGAAAAGGAATCATTCATTTTTGCTCCTCTCTGCCAAATCTGATTGTGATGTTCATATTAGATATGAACTTTTTTAAAAAAAAAGAAAATTCACCAGCATTTTAGTGTGAATTTCTCCTAATGCACACAATTTTGTATGCAATTTTATCTAACAAAGTGCATATTTGTATGTTGTTTTCACTAATATACCCAATGATATGCTCTACCAAAATACATGCATTTTGTACATGTTACTTAGCTGGAGAACTGCACTGTGAAATTCAGAGAACTGCAAATTTTGAAGGATGACTATGTTTCAGTTCATGTAATACTTCAGAAAGTGCCAATCCAATATGATTGCCTTCACTGCAAACTGGATCAGATTTCTCCTTCATCCCTAAATCTAGCGTTACACTGTTGTTCAAAAGGCAAGGCTAACTGTTAGTGCTTGTTATTGCAGTGAGATACCTTGCGACAGTCCCTGTTATGGTGCTTTTAATGCCCAGCGTATGATAGCAGGTTGGGTCAGGAATCTCAACCCTTGTTCTATAGACACCAGCTGAAACATTTAAACTTAACAGGGTCACAACATGGTGCAGTCAACAAGAAATTTTGCAAAGAGAAGACTTTGTTTTCATCCCACTCCTCTGCCAATTTTGGCAGCATCTATAAATTTATTTGATGCACTTTATATGTTTAATTAAAACATTATATTAGCACACTTACAGTAAGTGATAAAAACACTCTGGTGGTGGTGGTGGTGGAATGGGCAGAGAGCCTTTGAAGCAATCGGCAGATCTGAAATTGCTAGATGTGCACAAGTAAATCAGATACAGAATCCATAAATTGGAACGAATCTCTTCAAATTTTCTGCCACTTCATATATATTAAAATGACTTCTTTTAAGTGTTCGTCAGTGTGGACTTGGCATGTGCAGTGTATTTCATTAGGGTGTGCACCCAGGGAATTTGATTGATTGGTTGGTTGGTTGATTTAATGTCAATGAGGGAAGGGGGGGATGACAAGACAAACAAATACAGACTAGGAAAAGCTAAAGAGGAAACCAACCAACCACAAGGGTGGTCAAGAAGCCAAAATAATAGATATATCCTGCAGGAAAATATACCTCTGCCAAGATGACCAGAGGCAGGGCAGACCTGCACTGTTGATCCTTAAAAGTGCTATGAATCATAAACGTAATGCAGCCATTGGACTAAGTACAGGATCTTCTTTGAATGTGACAAATAGTGTCACATTCTCAGGAGGCTTCTGGTGGCCCACCTTTATGTGTCACACACATATGTTTCCTCACAGAACAAGCCAGCCTTGTGAATTTGATCATGAAAATGATTCTGGAGCTCTTCCACCAGGAGGAAGCAGTACTTCTAAATCCACCACCTGCCATCAAACAGCCTTGAAGATGATACTCTCCTGATCATTCCATTGTTTCAAAAACAGGTGATAAAGGAGATAATGAGCTTGTGAATCATTGCTGTTTGAGCAGAAAAACACACATACTCACTGGCCATTGAAACACTTGTACTCCTGACCCCAAGATCAAATCCAGGACAACTGCTGGATGTAAAGTTCACTTTGTCTGGGCTGGCAGAAGGAAAACAAGCAAGGCTGTTTATTTCCTTCATTAATGGGGAGACTGGAGATCAAGTGTCCTGCCAGTACCAAAACCTGGCAGCTTCTTTGCAGGAATCCGGTGTCAAGCCAAATCACTTCTTGTGGTCCGAAATTCTGCCCTTTTTTAAACATTTAAAAAAAGAACAGGTCATGAGAAAACATGAAAGTGACAGATTCTCACATAACTGTCAATTTCTCTCTAGCTTGGCTTTGCATTTTATTTTAATTTGCTTAGCAACGTAAGAGCCTGGCTGTTGGATCAGGCCCATCTAGTCCAGCCCTATGTCCACACAGTGGCCAACTGGATGCATCTGGGAAGCAGGACCAGAGTGCAACAGTAACACACTCTGTGCTTGAAATTCCCAGAAGCTGGTATTCAGAGCCATACTGGCTTTGACACTAGAGGTAGAACAAAAAGCTTGTTTGCTTATTCACTTGCTTGTTTATTTTGTTGCCAGATTAAAAAACACACCCACCCAAGATTTTAAAGAGAGCCAGCATGGTAGGTCTGCGAGGGGCTGGGCAGAAATTTAGCTGACATAAAGTCTTTCTCAGTGGGTTTTGGTGAGGCTAAGAAAAGGAGTGTCAAAAGACCTATGTCAGGCATAGGCAAACTCGGCCCTCCAGATGTTTTGAGACAACAGTTTCCATCATCCCTGACCACTGGTCCTGTTAGGGATGATGGGAGTTGTAGTCCCAAAACATCTGGAGGGCCGAGTTTGCCTGTGCCTGACCTATGTGTACTCCTGTGAGCTTTCAGGAAGAAAGGAAGAATATAAATGAAATATATAGTTATCTTCTAAAAAATAAACCCTGGTTCTTGAAAATAAAACAGTTCAATTTTATGCAACTATGCAGATTTGAATTACCGTATTTTTTGCTCTATAAGACTCACTTTTTCCCTCCTAAAAAGTAAGGGGAAATGTGTGTGCATCTTATGGAGTGAATGCAGGCTGCGCAGCTATCACAGAAGCCAGAAGAGCAAGAGGGATTGCCGCTTTCACTGTGCAGCGATCCCTCTTGCTGTTCTGGCTTCTGAGATTCAGAATATTTTTTTTATTGTTTTCCTCCTCCAAAAGGTCTTGTGGTCTGGTGCGTCTTCGTCTTATAGAGTGAAAAATACAGTACTAAGCATGTGCAGTATGCCACCAAACCTCCTTTATAAGAGCCTAAAATGTTCAAGACTATTTTTGTTATGTAGCCTACCACCTCTCAAACTGATGCCCCACCCTTCCCCTCAATGTTCCCCAAATGCTCAGGATGCTCATAGGTGAGGTCACCACTCTTTTGCCCCACAGCAACATTGTGAGGTAGGGTACATTGAGCAAGTGGCCCATTGTGATCCAGAGAGTTTCATAGCCCACCAGGGGTTTGAACCTGGGTCCGCCTAGTCCAAGTCCAACTCCCTAGCTACTGCTAGCTTGTACTTGTGTGAGCCATGATTTAAACATTTATGTCAGAGAAATTCTGATGGGCTGTATTCATGTACACAGAGTAGACCCACTGAAATTTACAGACCTGACTAACTTACATCTATTCATTTCAGTGGGTCTATTCTAAGTAGAACTTAGTTGAATACAACCCACCGACTTTAATGGAATGGTGGGGAGAGCTGAGGGCTGGAGAATAAATTATTAGTGTCCTCACTAAATCCTTCCAGCTGCAAAGTTCTGGCTCTGTACGAAAGTTAATGGCTACCCAATGTACTAGATAATGCAAAGTACAAACAAAAAGCAAAGTGGAAATGATGCCAATGTATGCTGGAAACTGATTATGTAGAAGTTATCTATCTAATTCTCATTAGTGATTCTGTGTTAAACATTCTGGAGTGTCCGGATGTGAATGGGACAGTGGGGGGCGGGGGACAATTGCTCTGCTCTGTCCAAATATTGACTAGGATTAGAAGTGATGTGATTCTGTCTCATCTCCAAATGTCTCCAGCACTTCAAATCTAAGCCTTTCATTAACATTCACCATTGGCTAAGGGGCTTCTTTAGTTTATCAGGTTTGGGGTTAGTTGGACACACGCCTCACATTCCAAGACCTCAATATGTTGATTGCTACAGAAAGTTGACTACCACCCATGATTCATCTAAGTTTTACTTTGGGTCGACTCATTGAAATGAATGAGCATGACTAAGTTAGGCCCATTCATTTCAACTGGTCTATCCTCAGTTAAACTTGGTTGGATACCACCCTTTTGTCTTGTACACTGGTGGCTAAAATGCTGTAACCCCAGCTTATCCAAGGTAATGCCTGCCAGATGTTGCTGGACTACAATTTCCTTTGGTCATGCTGGCTAGAACTGAGGGCAGCTGCAGTCCAACAATATTTGGAGAGCACCACCTTGTAAATTGGGACGTGGGTGGCGCTGTGGGTTAAACCACAGAGCCTAGGACTTGCTGATCAGAAGGTCGGCGGTTCGAATCCCCACGGCGGGGTGAGCTCCCGTTGCTCGGTCCCTGCTCCTGCCAACCTAGCAGTTTGAAAGCACGTCAAAGTGCAAGTAGATAAATAGGTACTGCTCTGGCGGGAAGGTAAACAGCGTTTCTGTGTGCTGCTCTGGTTTGCCAGAAGCGGCTTAGTCATGCTGGCCACATGACCCGGAACCTGTACGCCGGCTCCCTTGGCCAATAAAGTGAGATGAGCACCGCAACCCCAGAGTCGGTCACGACTGGACCTAATGGTCAGGGGTCCCTTTACCTTTACCTTGGAAATTACATTGAATTCAGTGGTACCTACTTCTAAATCATTGCTAACACAAAGTGTCTAAAATTTTCAAAGCACTGTACATATATTTTAAAGACCAGGGGCTGTTCCCCTGCTTGCATTGCTTGTCAACCCTGCCTATCTGCTACCCACTACCACAAAAAACCCTATGTCATTGCCAACCACTCTCCCTTTACACCTGGCCACCCCTCCCCTCACATCTCGCCCCAAACACTCTTCCCATCAGATCCCCCAACCCACTCCTTCAATTTTGTCTAATGTATTTATTTTTCCAAGCAAGCAATTTCTTCTAGTATGGTTCATTTGTATATAAATTATTTTCACTAATGTATACATTTTTGGGACGCGGGTGGCGCTGTGGGTAAAACCTCAGCGCCTAGGACTTGCCGATCACATGGTCGGCGGTTCGAATCCCCGCGGCGGGGTGCGCTCCTGTCGTTCGGTCCCAGCGCCTGCCAACCTAGCAGTCCGAAAGCACCCCCGGGTGAAAGTAGATGAATAGGGACTGCTTACCAGCGGGAAGGTAAACGGCGTTCTGTGTGCTGCGCTGGCTCGCCAGATGTAGCTCGTCACGCTGGCCACGTGACCCAGAAGTGTCTGCGGACAGCGCTGGCTCCCGGCCTATAGAGTGAGATGAGCGCACAACCCTAGAGTCTGTCAAGACTTGCCCGTACAGGCAGGGGTACCTTTACCTTTACCTTTACACATTTTTATTCAAAATTTTCCATAATCTACTCATTATTTGGCTGGAGCATTGCATTGCAAAATTCAGAAAAGTGTGAATTTCAACAGATAGCTGTGTTTTGACTCGTACATAGTTTTGAGAACTGCAAATTAGGTAGAATCTGAACTGAACTGGATGCTTCCCCCATGCCTACTTCTGTAGACATGGTAAGAACTGTGCTGTAAATAGATCTGCCTAGCCAAATCTGTGGGAAACAGAATGGTGGTATAGAAAGACCTCTAGACTGATCTATCAGGACTATTCTTGCGGATAGCACAAGACTGTATTTATGACTGGGATAATCAAGATATGGGGTTGTATCCAATGTAGCATTCAGTTAAAGTCACTTAGTGATATACTTGTTCTGCTGGTGAAATCCTTTGCACTTTTGGGCACAATCTGTTGTGCAAGGAGTTTTTGCTAGTACAACTGTTGTGTTGGATTCCTCTGTTGTGCAAAACAATTAAAACTCACCCATCTGCTAGTGTAAGAATCCTTGCACTAGCAGACAGAGAATGTTGCATACAGCCCTCAAATTTTTAATGCCCCATTTTATTTACACACACCCAAAAAGCACATCAACACCTCTGTGCACTGTACCTTATTAAACTTGAGGTCTCAAATTCTTTGGGCAGGCTTGCCCCCGCCCCCACCAAACCAACCCCTTGCGTTAATCTGACCACGGCAAAACTGCCCCCTTGAAATAAATGTATCCAGAGGCCTTACTTTAATGCTCTTAATTTTCCTCACACATTCTTTCTACGTTAGACATCCTTGGGCATAACGAAAACCTATGTGCCATTTCAGCAGCAGAGCACTGTGGGTTTTGACCTGTTCACTCTCTGACATCAGCAGATCTATCTCATTGGGTGAAAGTAAAAAGCTTGTGATTAAAAAATAATGACTAATACATGAGTAATGCCGGGTCCATTGTGCTAACGGCCCTCTGGACATCATTTGTTTTGATGGCAAAGCTCTTGGACAGCAAGTGCCTACTCTGTAGGGCAGGGCAGCATTCATGAGTGGGATGGTTGAAAGAGCTGAGATTGGGGAGTGTGATGGTTGGTTGCTTCCAGAGTTGCAGCTGCATCCCCCTGCTAAATATTTTCTGTTCATCTGCAAACTTTGAGGTTCCCTTAAGCCTATGGATACCTTTCTCTTAGGAACATAGAAAACTGCCTTAGACCAAGTCAGACTATGTGTCTATCTGAGCATTAGTTCTTCTAGGTTTCAGTCAAGGTTCACGCTCAGCCCTACCTGGAGATGCTGGGGATTGAGCTTGGGACCTTTGCATGCAAGGTAGATACTCTACCACTGAGCTACAGCCCTTGGCCTTCCCCACCATCTTATGCATGGGTGCCCCCATTTTGCCTATATGAGGGCTGAACATCAGAAACAGAGGATATGAAAGAGTAGTACCCAGATCCCAACTGATCAGAACACATTTTTCGGGGTTGTTAAGATACGACATATGGTTTATGCCCTATGTCCTACCTATTACATTCAAGTCCCCGCCCCCCGAAGGAATTACATTGGATCGGCAGTTTAACCTACAGTAAACAGCAGTTAATTTAACATAAAATCACATGAAAGTCATGTTCAAGCTGTAAAGAACAAAAACTTCAGTATGAGTTGTTGACTTTTGGCTTTAAAGCTTTATTTCAATTTATTTAATGAGGTTCTCTCTCCTCCTCCCCCTTCTCAGTACTTGCATTTTAAAAACAGCATACATATACAATTTTACATGAGAATTAACAATTTGTGTCTTAGTAAATGCTGTTAAAATTTGCCTGCCATCTTCCATCACATCTGATTTGCTGATTAGCAGATAGGTAGCTTTCTTCTTATAAAATGTGAAATCTCATTAAAATTCTAAATTTTTCCATAACTCAAAGATATTTCAGATGTATTAGCTACAACACGAGTCAGAATTTCTGATTTGGGTTCAAAACATGCACCAAACAATGTTAGATTTTTTTAGCAATGAAGTTTTAGAAAAGCATATTTTGTGGGGGATAAGTACATGGAATGGATAATCAAACTGTATAAATGCTGTAGCAAAAGGGAACACACACACATATATATACAAACTACATTGAGATTTAGACATTCCTTTTTTAAAAAAAGGAGGAGTTTATGATAAGGAGGGGTTGGAATCTATGTCTAAAATATGTAATAGATTGGGGTGGGGGCAATAGAGAAAAGAACAGGAAGAGAAAAGGAGGAAGCTACCACATTTACCAACAAGCAGAGTCCAATTTGATGCTCTGGGTAGGTTTAAAAAGATTTCATGAGCCTGGAAAAATAAAGAGAAAGTACACACATTCCAACTGGTCAGAAAGCTGTAGCCAGAGAAATGGATTATAGTAGTCTCAAGAAAAGTCAGGGAACAGCAAAAGGGTGGGGAGGGGAGATAGCACACTTACCTCTCTATTCTCCCAGATATACTAGCTGGGTGCTTTTATACAGTGGGGTGTTGTTTTTGTTTGTGCTTAAACTGACATTTGGGTCATTTCCCGCTGAAGTATATATTGTGCAATCATCCTGATTTGTTTTCACAAAATTTGCATGGAGGTTACATGGTGTCACCGTCAAATCGTTGTTACTCTGTCCTTTCCCTGCAGTTTTCAGTCACTTTTCTTATCACAAAAGGTTGTTTTTTAAGGCGCATTTGTTGTGCAAGAGTGCCACTTAGCCATTGCTATTTATTGCAACGTACCCACATTCTTTGTGGGGGGTTATGAAGGTGCACTCATATTGCACAGAGGGCATATACTGGCATCTCCTCTACCTGCTGCTGGACTACAACTCCCATTAATCCTAGCCAGCACTGCCAATGGCCAGGGATGATGGGAGTTGTAGGCCACAGGTTCCTCTCTTCTGCACAACTGGATATTGAACTGCATAAACAAAAGCTGCAAGCACACTTCCCACGATACCCACAAGCAGAGGTAAACTGTTATGTATGCATAGACCCAGTCAGTTATTTGGTAATAGTCTGTTCATAGTGTGGGAGGCAAGAGCAAAGGCTGGATTCATTTGCACCCTTGATCTCCCCCACCTTGGAGAGATCACTGGTTTCAACACTATTATCGCTGGTAATTCAGCTGGATGTGCTACATGCATGTACAACTCGATTGTACATCTCTAGCTAGCCTCTGCCAAAGAACATTGGATTGAATCCTAAGTTTCTCTTCTGCTCCCCTAAGGGAAGGGGAAATTAATGTCAATTCCCATCCATCTATAACTCCATGCACCATTTCCTAGTATTCCCAAGGGTCACTCTACCCCCAGGAGCAGATATGCAGGTGGTGCAAGGAGATGCAGCAGGAAAGCAAAGGCGGGGAAGTCGTGTTCCATGGATGTGAATTCTGTTCCACTGTATCCCACATTATATCTATAAAATATATCTTGTCACTAGCGATAGGGGGAAATTTGATTCAGTTCACATTTTCAGGCTAACATAACTAATGTTCACTTTTTGAAATGACACACGAACTGAAACACATTCACACTTCTCTGAATTTTTCAGTACAGTTCTCCAGCCAAGTACAGTAGTACCTCGGGTTAAGTACTTAATTCGTTCTGGAGATCCGTTCTTAACCTGAAACTGTTCTTAACCTGAAGCACCACTTTAGCTAATGGGGCCTCCTGCTGCCGCCACACCGCCGGAGCACGATTTCTGTTCTCATCCTGAAGCAAAGTTCTTAACCTGAGGTACTATTTCTGGGTTAGCGGAGTCTCTAACCTGAAGCGTATGTAACCCCGAGGTACCACTGTAATGCGTACAAAAATGCATATATGAAGGCAGAGTGTGCAAAGAGGGGAAGCTGATTTACAAATACGTGCTTAGTATGCAAATATGTGCATATTAGGAGACATGTGCACTAAAATGTTGCTGAATTTTCATGAGGACTTGCTTTAAAAAAAAAATCTACAAGCTGATGTGGAAATGTAGAGAACTGAAGAGTGGAAAAAAAATAAAATCTGAGAGAAACTAAAATGGACAGATTTGCCCATTCCCTACTCATCACAGATGAGTACACGCCCCAAGGAACTACAATCAACAAGAAGTTTCCTATTGTGTATGCCCATATCGCGTTACTATATTATTTTATATGCATACCTAATTAGTAAAAAATAAATAAAAATCTCTAGATTGTTAGCAACTTGCAGGAGAGTTTCAAGCATATATCAGAAATTTAGATTAAACTGAAGTGGGTTAAATTGCCACCCTGGTGCAATGGATCCCCTTAAAAAAAAACCAAAAAAAAATATTGCAGTTAGGAAAGTGATGGGGAAATGCACTAAAAAGTGTAGAATGAATAATTAACAGGAAGACGTATAGCCACCACACAAGCAAATCAGGATGAATGCATGATAAATGCTCATTGTCATATAATCTCACTGAAAGCAAATCGGGACGAATACTCTATAAAGAGCAGGCGTTGTGTAAGCTTTGTGCAAACAAATCAAGATGGATGCTCAATAAACAGGTCATCTTGTTTTTGATGGCACAGGCCCATTCACATCCAGCCAGCACATGAGTGCCCTGATGAACATTGTAACATAGCTTGCTTCTACGCATGGATTTCCTTTGCTAGATTTGGATGATAATGTATGAAGTCTTTAAATCTTCTTTAGCTAAGTCCCATCTCTCCCCCAGTACTGCATGTGGAAATGAGCAGATGCAGGCTGACCATCCACAGAACATTATGTACATCGACTTCCAGCATACTGCTGCAAGTCCTACTCAAAGCAGAATGCAAAAGGGTCGGTGTGCATGTGCCATCAGTGGCATCAGTGGGTACAATTTGAGCAGCAGCTGCTTTTGCCATGGTGTAGTCAGTTGTGAGAATCAGCCTTAAGAAAAAAGGGGAAAGGATTCCACTCAACACCCAAATCATATGGTTTCCCTGAGTTTCTCACAGTTGTTTAAATGGATACGCTGTGATGCAGCACATAATTATGCATGCTCGATTCTTATTGGTTTCGATGGGGCTTAAGCATGCATAACTGCACACTGGATTGAAGCCACAGTGATTAAGTAAAGGGGATGGAAATAGGAATTGGAATATGATTTCTACTCAATTTGTTATTGCAGCTGCATTTGGATCTAATCTGCTAGTCTCAGACCAAACTTCCAATTTATCCCAACAAGAAGCAGAATTATCAACAAAATACAGCGTCAGATTTGACCTCCAGACAATGCAATCCATACAAGAAATTAGAAAAGGGAAATCACAAATATATGTGTGTATATAACTGCTGCCTTTTGTTGTCTCATGATTCATGCCTCTGAAACAGACATGGGCATTCCTCTTTATTAAAGATAAACAGAAGGGTTGACAGGGCAAATTAATTTCATACATACAAATTAACTCAGCTTAGTCTTTCCTCTTCCCCACACTGAGACACCACCGCCTGGATCATTCTGTATTCCTTCCTGCCACCAGAAAACAAGAATTTATTGGACATATGTTTGTGTTCCACTTAATAAAATAATACGCCAATATTTTCCAGATCAACTTTGTTAGTAATTCATGAAGTGACTATTTATGCTAATCAGGCAGAAATATGTTTGCAGGCCTAATGCATTACATAAATTTGAATGCAGAATGTTCAATTATGGGGGAAAAAACAGGTGATACAAATAGTAAATTACACCCAATAAATATGTGTGTGTGATTAATGGATCTTCAAAGAGAGAGACGCATTGCTTGGACATCTGTGAGTTGTTTAAAAAGAAAAGGATTAATAAATACTGAATTACAGGGATGATTATTTCCATCATAATTCACCTATTTGTGATGGCTTCTAGTTATCAGGCTGCTGTTTCATCGCTATGTATGTGAAGTAAGACTTGTTTCCTCAGCAATTTTACCCCTATCAGATTATCTCGTCTGATTCTATTATTTCTTTCTCATAAATCTGCTAACAGTGATTTGTTATTTGCTTGCCCCTTTAACGGATCCGAAGCACTGTTAAAAGGATTTATCTAGCTCTGTGCCTAAGAGCTGTTGATGCCTTCGCCTTTTGTTACCCCGTGGAAGTCTTTGGGAAATCAATTTGGTTGCTTTTCATACTTAAATTCAGCGGACACCATTCAGTTCTGCGCCATAAAATAAGACACTGGATAAACAAAAGGTGCAGTAACTGTACTTAATGTGCTGGCCTTGATAGATGAGTTTGTTTAAGTCATAACAAATGACACTCAAAGTCAATATAACTCACAAGAGGTGTATTGCCTACTTTCTAAACCCTCCTCTGCTTGTTTACTCAGCTAAGGAAGTCTTTCATATGCACTTGAGGCTTCCCCTGCCCCCCTCACTGAGGCAGGGATGGTACACTGACAGTGTTACATAGTGCATTGAATCGTTTGTACTTTTCTGCAGAAAATAAATATAAGTAGAGATAAACAGATATATACAAACACGGACATACATGCATGCATCTACTCCAATTCAGGAGGTTTTTAAGTAACTGAAGTTAGCATGTGGAACCCCAATTTTAAACTGTGCTTTCTTCAAGAGGGCAATTCTTGAAAAGGAGAATATTAAAGCAGGGCGTTAGTGATTGTAGATTGATAGAAAGACTTCAAGCAAACAAAAAATAGCAAGGGGGGGCAGACTGAGGGGATTTGGCCTGTCATTGCTGCAGAAAGACAGAGGGTTGAATGCCTCTAATTGAAATGAAAGTGTGCAATTGTTAGAGAAGAAACACTCCTAATAGAGAACTGTAAATGTTTAGACATCCATTGTGAGAAGCTAAATAATACAGGAAAATGCTGCCAAAATGAGAATTATATGTTGCAGGAAAGAGGACAGTCGTGGTCTTCCTTCCAAAGGTTTTCTTTAAAACTGGTCACAGTCCCCATGGTGTGCTACATAATAGACAACATTTGACAGTCCCGTCACCTCTAAGAGTCAAATAAGGATAATCTGGCATAACCAGTAATTTGATTTGATATTTTGGGGGCCAGAGCCCAGTTGAGTTTACAGCACTTATTTGCATTGCTAAATATCAGCTCAGATTCTGTTAGCCACACAACACAGTACTTTGAATTCCCTGTTTTAGCTTTCAAAGCTTACTCAGGTTTGTGGGGGGGGGGACACACTAATTCTGGAGATATAGCATGTTAAAATGCCTCTGTCCCAAAGAGACTGGTTTTGTTTTTGTGCCCCTCCCACTGAGGAGATGTTTCTAATTCCATGCAATTGCTGCAAGTGTGAATTGCCAAAGAGCAATAAGTTTTCATTTAAAAGTATTCACACATGGCTGTGATTCATGGGAGGGAAGGAGCTAAGTGATCTATCGTGCAACATTCATCTTGCTCCGGGAAAAACCAAATAGAAGGAATTAGACTGTCGTGGTTGAGATTTATGGGGATGAGTGAGTAGTTTTTGTTGACAATTCCTACCAAGTCCTCCAAAATGGGAAATCAAACTGGACACATCCTATTAACTTTCTCATAAATACTGTTTTCTCAAGTTTCACCTGAGACCTCAGCTTTTACATTATTCCCTTATAGTGACCCCCAATAATTAGCATTAGCTTTGTTATCAACTTGTGACACACTCAAAAGTCTTGTGTAAAAGTCTGTGGATGACATATGTGGCATACCTTGATATTAAAAATCCTGACTGCAAAGGCTGAGATATGTCAGAATACGCAAACCACATACTTTCTTTACCAACCTGGGATTTTGTTACTACTGGGAATGAGGACTTCGAAGTCAGATGAGAAGCCTCTACAAACAGCTACTTAGTATAAAATTTTAAACAGGAAATTCTGAAAACATGCAGAAGCCATTGCACTGAAGTACAATGTTCAAAAGGCTGGTTTAATATATGACTAAGTGTCAGGAGTCGGGTTTCTGAGAATTACTTTTCAGATAAACAACTTTATAGCACTGCACTTAATCTTACTTACTAGAGACATCTCATTTATCACTGAATTACAAGTAACTTTAATTCTATTGATGTTGCCATAAAGTCAGTTGAAAATCAAGGCTGGCAGTTTTAAAGATTTTTGTCTTATCTCTCTCCCTCTCTCACACACACATCCCTGGAACAGACACCGCTACCAGGAACAATCCCCTTTCCTTCTCACTTCCTAGAAAAATACTGCAGGCTGCATCCTAAATAGAGAAATTATAGAGGTTTATAGCTTCGAGAATCCATTGACTTCGAGGGGTTAATGTCAGGCTGTCGTGCAAGCGCTGCCAGCTCTAAACTTTCCTTTTTCTCTCTCTTTTTTAAAAAGGGCTTTTATTTTATGGATTTCCCCCCCTTCATCTAAAAAATTGGAAGCGGTTCAACTCGAAACCGATCTGTGCCGAAAGGTGGCGCTGTCGAGGTTTAAACGGAACCCATTCAAGCAGGATTTTTTCACTTCGCGCAGCTTTTCGGCGTTGTGTTTGTTTTTGGCGACATTCCTTCCCCCGCCCCCGTCTCCCCTCCAAAAGAGAGAAACGACACGCGATTATTATTAATACTGTTATTATTATTTTGCGTATTAAATGAATAGATCGCCACCCATTTCCAAAGAGGATCTGGATAAATAATATTAAGGGACTCTGTCGCTATTTCTTCAAAAGCAGTTCATTTAAAACTTGGGACATCTTTTAAGGCAAAACTTTATTTGTTACTATGCAAAGCCATTGACGGCAGGGGAGGGGAGACGCGGGAAGCGGGCTGCCAGTGGCTGGCAATTGGCAACTTTTCTTAACATTTTGACCCTCTCGCATATCCATCGATGGGAGGTGGGTGGGGAAATCGGGTATCGGAAGAAGAAAAATGAAGGGGGGGGGGAATGAAGCAGAGGCGCGGCTTGCGAAATCAGATGGTTCCATGACACCGGAGCAAAGGCCAAAGTCTGAAATTTGCAAAGAGGAAAGTCTTGGATTTGCTCCTGCTTGGGGATGCGGGGGGGGGGGGGCGGTTGGAGAGAAATGCTCTCCGGATTAACTCTTCCCAAACCCATAAGTCCTCCAAAGATGCTGATGCGAGTTGGAGCCACGAGGGCTATCCAACAGCACCGTTCATCCCCATCACTGACCCATCCTTCTCCCCGCGGAAAGGAAGAAAAGATTGAGCTGGTGTGGTGTATAATCTTCTTCCACCACCCCCGGAAGTCCGTGGAACCCCAGCCTCCTCGCTCTCTTTAGCACGTGTCCTCGCTAGATCACTCCTCGCAATTTTTGAAATTTGGAATCTGTGAGCGCGTGTCTGCTCCACGCGGGCGGGAGGGATACTTAAGGGGGGAAAGGGTGGGCGAAGATCAAGCGTTAGGACAACTCCGGGCAAAGTCCCAACGCGGAGATCAGTGTTAACCAAACAGACACATTTATTTATTTTTTTGCAAACGCTACCAGCCTAGACAAAAAGTTAGCTCGAGATGTACAAGCTAACGCATGCAAGCACTCATACAAGCAAGGAAGGTTAGGGAGCATCCTTACCTACTGAACAACACCAGCCATCCCCAGCCACGAGACAAAACATCTCCTTGGCTTTTCTCTATTCCTAACAGTAATGCCCAGTGGAGATAAATAGGGGCTCTGCCCCTCGCTTTTGAAGAATGAAAAATGGTGGGTCCCCTTCCGAGGGACTCCGGAAAATCACTTTCAGTCAGGAAGGAGTTAAAAAGTTCTGGTCCCAGCTGACAGTCAGCTGATTGGCCCCTGATTGACAGCTTCGAAAAGTTTCCTTGTTTCTATACTATTATGCTAAAGAGGGCCGGGTTCGCGGCATTGGATTGGCCGGAACTCGGAGTCAATTTCCCATTTGAAAGCTTGACGTCAGGAGCGCTATAAAACTCAGCAATGCTTTTAAACTCTCCTCCTGGATGAGCTCTTTAAAATATTTTTTCATCTTGTTGCTGGAGCTTGGGAGTTGAGTTTCTTTCCTTTTTTTAAGGGGGAAAAAACCTGCTTGTTATTTTGGGTCATACCATTGACCCCAGACAGTATTATTTTCCAAGGGTTTTTTTCCTTTCTTTCGCTTTTTCTAAAGAAGTAGTAATAGTTACTTACCTCCTCTCTCTCTTTTTTTTCCCTTCTCCCCCTCCCCTGATGGTGAAACTGTCTCTCTCTTCGTTTTTGCACCGGGCATGAAAAAAAAAAGAAAGCAGTCCAGAAGGAAAGAGACCCTGAAGTGTTGAGAAAGAAAGAAATCCAAACAACCGTTGCAAACAACAACTTAAAGCAACCTTTTTCCTCTGCAAAGCTGCAGAGCAGAGAGAGAGAGCGCGCACAGGGGAGAGAGGGGGAGGGAGGCGAGGGGGGGGAGAGGAGAGAGAGAGCGCGAAGGGGGAGAGAGCGAGAGAAAAGCCAAAGCAATCCAGCGCAGCCTGATGCAAAGGGCGACTAAGTAGAGGCAGAAGAGCGAGCGAGCGAGGCAGCCGCCTGCGGTCCGCCGGCTGCACCCGCGTGGCTGTTCTTCGCGAAGGGAAGCTCGCTGCAGCTTGGAGCCGAGCCTCGCCAAAGCAGGAGAGAGCGGCAGGCAGGCAGGCAGGCGAGGGGGGAGCGCGAGAGCGCGAGGGAGCGAGAGCCGCGCAGGCACCCCGAGAGCAGCGGCGCCGAGCTCTTGCAAAGCCTCAAACTGGCTCACCCGCTCGCAAGTCAGAGCAGCCCCCTCGCTCCGGGAGTGCACCCTTTCTGGAGGACTGGCGGCGGCGGCGGCACCCCCAGCAAAAGGATGGCATCCGAGCTGGCCCTGAACAGCTCCGACCTGCCCACCAGTCCCTTGGCCATGGAATATGTTAATGACTTCGATCTGATGAAGTTTGAAGTGAAAAAGGAGCCGGTGGAGACCGACCGCATTATCAGCCAGTGCGGCCGCTTGATCGCTGGGGGCTCGCTCTCTTCCACCCCGATGAGCACGCCCTGCAGCTCGGTGCCGCCGTCGCCCAGCTTCTCGGCGCCCAGCCCGGGCTCGGGCGGCAGCGACCAGAAGACGCACTTGGAAGACTACTACTGGATGACCGGCTACCCGCAGCAGCTCAACCCCGAGGCGCTGGGCTTCAGCCCGGAAGACGCCGTGGAGGCGCTCATCAACAACAGCCACCACCAGCTCCAGAGCGCGCCGGGCTTCGATGGCTATGCTAGAGGGCAGCAGCTGGCCGCGGCCGCCGCCGCCGCAGCGGCAGCCGGCGGCGGCGGCCGCGGCCAGGGGGGATCCATGCAGCCCGACGACATGGGCTCGGCGGCCGCCGTGGTGTCAGCGGTGATCGCGGCGGCTCAGCAGCAGCAGCAGCAGCAGCAGCAGAACGGCGGCGGCGCGCCCCATTACCACCACCACCACCACCCGGCCGGGGGCCACCACCACCATCACCACCACCAGCAGCCGGGCAGCGTGCAGTCCTCGGGCAGCAGCAGCAGCAGTAGCAGCAGCAGCAGCAGCAGCGCCGGCGGAGGAGGCGGCGGCGGCGGCGGGGGTCTCCACCACCCTCACCACGGCGGCGGCGGCAGCTTGCATTTCGACGACCGCTTCTCGGACGAGCAGCTGGTGACCATGTCGGTGAGGGAACTCAACCGGCAGCTGCGCGGCGTCAGCAAGGAAGAGGTCATCCGGCTGAAGCAGAAGCGGCGGACCCTCAAGAACCGAGGCTACGCGCAGTCCTGCCGCTTCAAGAGGGTCCAGCAGCGGCACGTCTTGGAGTCCGAGAAGAACCAGCTCCTGCAGCAAGTGGAGCATCTCAAGCAGGAAATCTCCAGGCTGGTCCGGGAGAGGGACGCCTACAAGGAAAAATACGAGAAATTGGTCAGCAATGGGTTCAGAGAAAACGGCTCCAGCAGCGACAACCCATCCTCTCCAGAGTTTTTCATGTGAGTTGTGGTCTTCCTCTCTCCCCACCACCTCCAACCTGCACCCCCTACTTCCCCGGCAGCCTCGTAACACCTTTAGCACACATACACACGTGCGCGCAAAAGTTTCTCCACGCGGCTTGGGGCGAGGGGGGGCAGCTTGCTATAAAGCAATCAAACTGGCCACCACGTCTCCATTATTATTATTAATAATAATAATAATATTTTTTCTGGGGGGAAACAGCAACCTCAACTTTGGGTTGTTGTTTGTTTTTTTAAGGTGGATTGACTCAGCAATAGCCAAGTTTATAAAAAAAAAATCTACCTTTGTGGGGGCTTCTTGCTGGGCGCTTGTGTGTGTGTTGAAATCCAACCTTCCACCAACTCACTACTTCAGTCTGAAGTTTGCTCAGCCTTTGAAACCTGCCAGCCATCCACTATATATATAAAAAATGAAGTGTTTTTTCCTCCCCTTTTTACATTTGCTGTGTTCAAAGTACAAAAAAATGTTACTTTTCCTTTTCCTTTTCACCATCCTGAGCTCTTCAAATGGGTTTTGAATCTGGAATAGACACACGCACGGACGGACACACACACACACACACACACACACAGAAAGTTATTATAAAATTATTTTAAGACTTTGGCTTGCTGAGTTCCATCTGTTGTGCTAAACCTAGAGAATATATCTAGATCAACCTGCCAGATTGAAGCCCTCATCCACCTCCCATGTGTTCATGATGTGAGTTTTGGCCTTGCCCTGCCAAATGGTGAAACTTTTAGTATGCCATTAGATTCCCATACTCATCTCATCCATTTATTATGCTTGCTATTTTGTCTTAGCATCTATTAACTATGTAACTGTTTCAAAAGACTATGGGGAGAAAACAAAGACAATATATTGATAAAAGCCCTGCATGCTGGACATGTATGGTATATATATTTTTTCTTTTGCTTGGATATGGACTTCGGAGACTGTAACGGCATGACATTCATCCTTTTTAGTTTTATTGCCTCAACACTTTTTTGAACTGAAAACAAAAAAGTGCAACCTTTTTGGGGCTTCTTCCTCCCCATTCAAGTTTTCATCTACTCTGGAAACTGCTTTGAGTTGCTCAGAACTTCAGATTTCTTTTTAATGCATTGATACATCCCTTCTTTAAAAAGAAAGAAAAGGAGAGAGAGAAAAGCCCAGAATGGATTGTGATTACCCTTAATATGATTTCTAAAAAGAACTTTGGGGGGGGGAGTTTTAAAACTTACGCATAAAAAAAGATTCACTTCCAATTTGTGGGTTTTGAAAACTATGCTGTTGCTTAAAGCAGTCGAAAATTTATGTTGGAATGATCTGCCCCATTTCTGCTATTTTTTGTTTTTATTTTCCTTTTGGCCATTGTCAAATGTTGGAATGCTCTGGGTTCCTGGTATATAATTTAATTCTAGCTTTTATTGTCTGTTAGCCCCAGTTCAAATGTATGCTACAGAAAAAAGAAATGTTATAGATACATTCAAAAGAGTTAGGTCTGTTTAGCTGTAGATCCTTTTTTAAAAAATGATGCACTAAATTGTTGACTGTCTTGATGTTAAAAGGGGGTAGAATTTACAACGGGACTGGTTTTTTAAAAAGTAGTTTATACAGCATGTGATTGCAACTTAAGTATAAGTTGGGTAAATGTAGACCTTGCTATGCCACTGACTGTTTTTGGAAACCAAAGTATTAAAAGGGGAGCCCCCCCTCTTTATATTATTAATAGGGGTATTTTGTGTTCAAAATGTATGGTTGGGTTTTGTTTTGGGGCTTTTTTTTTTGAAATTGAAATATTTGGGACTGAATTGCACTAAGATATAACCTGAAGCATAAAATATAAACCATTACAAACCTGTCTAGGATGCTAATACGATTTATGCAGTTACAAAGATGGCATTACTGCTCAGTTTTTTTAAATGATGCAGATTTTTTTACAGTTGTATTGTGGTGCAGAACTGGATTTTCTGTAACTTCACAAAAATCACAAAGTTTTAAAGGCATTAATCAGCAAATTTTATTTTCAGGGAGTGATAATCCTGTCTTTAAAAAATGGAAAGTAAATCTTACCACAATAAATATAAAAAAATCTTGTCAGTTACTTTTTTCCCCTTTTACATATTTTGCTGTGCAAAATTGTTTTATATATTGAGTTACTAACTAACCATGTGTGATGTTCCTTATGTGCTTTCTTTCATTTTTCAACTTTACGGTTATATCAAAAAGAAAGAATAATCTACTATAATAAACTGCATTTTTGATTCTATATTCAGTTTCATTAGTTTGTAGCTTCCCTCACCACCATCAACAAAAAGTAAAGCCGGCTCTTTAAAAGTAGTATATTGGGTGGGGTGTTGAGAGGGAGAGTGGTCTGCTAACACAGTTTATCTACTAAATAGATAAGATGGGTGAAGGAATGGGCTGCCTAAGTTTCAAGCAAGGTGGGAATTGCTGCCCACCAGAGCTCTGTTTTCTCACAGGTAGGTGAAGAAGCATGGCTTCTTGGGTACTAGGCTTAACTTTTTCGGTTTTGTAATAATTCTAATATGCATTCAGACTCTTACCCTTCCATGATTATTTAAGCCACAGGTCTCAAGTAAGAGTTGTGACTTTGGTTTTCATTGTTTTATGGTGGAATATAACAAAAGGAGGGGATTTTGCACCCTCTTATTGAAGTCAGGTAAACTGGGCTGTGCATCCTAGGTTTTTCTTCTTACCTATTCCTTTATTGATGTTACAGGGAATTTTAAAGATGTGGCTAGAATCCAATGGACCACAAAACTAATTCACCACTGAGAGGGGCAGGGGGGAGGGATTAACCCTGTTTAACCCTGTTTCCCCATGATGTGCATCGCAAACTGCTTATGAAACAGGATGTTGTTTTTCAAAAGCCGCTTGCGATATGGCGTAGGGCGGGAAGTTTGCCCATTCAAAAAAAAGAAGTCAAAAATTCCACCAGATTCACACTCTCTCCTCCTTCCTCCCATCCCCCAACACTACTCCCCATTCCATTTTAAGTGTTTTTGTTTCAGTCATTTATGGTGTATTTTGCTAGCCCCTTTTTCTGGTGAACTTTCTCAGGAGAGGAGAAAAATAAGTAAGTATCAACAATGGTTGCCACTTTTCAAAGAAAAACAGTATCTGGCGCTTTACTCTTGAGGACTAGAAAGGGAAACTTCTGTTGGGACCTTTTCTTTGTCACTGTCAAAAATCCTCCATAGAACACTTGATGCTGTGGTGTTCCTGTAGTGTAAACTGACTGCAATAGTATCTGGGAGTGAGCTGGATTTGCGTCCTGAGTTCCTGGATGGAACTCGGGATCTACTTTTCTGAATGCTCAATCCAGTTTTTCAAGATCTCAGGACTCCACCAGCTGTAGTTTAGCTTTTAAATCACTTTGGGAAAGCATGCAGGAGAGGGTGAACTCTCCAACTCACCTGTTCCCTACACTACAACCAGTATTGGGGGGGGGGGGGCCGGGGAGTTGCAGGTGGAGGTGGAGGGAGGCGAATAGGAGGGGCTCAGGAAACTGCTGAGAACTAGGCCCTGTTTGAATTTGCAGGTGGGCTCTGTCCTGTAAAACTTTACTGCTTTTAAACCTGTGCTGAGCCAGGGCAAAGGTCGCCAGGCATTTAAACAAAGTTGTGGCCTCAATCTGAGACTAAAACAGAGGTAGTGTGTTGCCTGCATTTCCCCCTCACTGCTCAGTCTTGTTCTCTCTCTGGGACTGAATTGGTGTGTCTGTAAATGTGTGTTTTACAGATCCTGTGGCCCAGGAAAAGCTTGCGGCTCCCTAAACCAAGTAGCCCTTTTAAGTGTGCATGGAGCATTTAGATCCACATTAATCTAGAGGGACTGGAAAGGCCTTGAAGTGTGCAGGATTAAGCTGCTGCTGCTTCTCTCTCCCCCCCCCCCATCTCCATCTACTTTTCTTTGACAACCACCCAGTTGCCCAACCTCCTCCTCCAGAAAGCCACACACATGTCCTTTAGCACTTGACCTTCTGATAGCCCAGGCAAGTTCTATAGGCTGCATCACTGCAGCGCTCTCTAGGCAAGTTAATGTGTAAGCGGAGGGTAAACTGCCTGCAATTGGCCAATCAGAAAATTATTTGCTCTTATAAAGATAGTAGGGCTTTCTCTCACCACCACCACTCCTCCTCTTCCCTCCCCCTTCGCTTCTTCAAATGTTTGAACTCCTTGCCAAAAGTTCCACAGACTCTCAGTGGCTCTCACCTTGCTGAGGTCTTTTCCTTAGCTCAGGCAGGCCCAATGCAGGGAAGAATTCACCTTGCCGCTTGCAAACTGTTAGGACTTCCCCTGCATAAGCAGATCTTACATTTGCAAACATTCTCCCCTCACCCAAGAAAAGAGGCGCAGTTCAATTAGCATGATATAGGGGGCAGGGAGCAAAAAATAATCCCCATTTCTTCTTGCAAAAGCTGCAGCAGCTGATGCATCCCAAAGTTGCTTTCAGTTCCTGTTATGATTTCTAAGGAGAGAGAGGACAAAATGAAGAATGGGGTAAATTGGATGTGTGTTTTGTCACAGGGCCTTGGAGAACAAGCTAAAGTACGGGACAAAGTTTACAAGGAGGAGGAAGCTACCCCCCCTTGTAGGACATTGTGGGGGGAGAAAACAGCTCTGTATTCTGCAGTCCTCTATCAGTGGCCCTTTTATGAACAGCTGAGCCTTCTCCTTTTCATCATTTCAATTGGAAGGGAGGGTGACTTTTCACATTTTTACTTTATCAGAATTTTTTGCAAATGATGTGTAAGTAAGGAAATGGATCAAGATGTGTAACACTAAACCTTGAAGGCCAGGCATGTGGGCTGTGGGAGGAGAGGCTGCTCAAGTTTCATTTCAGGGAGGACGAGGTTTTAAAAAATAAAATAAAAAACCCACCCAACGCCATGTCCCTCCGCAATGCTTTGCTAGAATCGCCCTGCTCTAAGAATAAGTTCAGCTCAATAGATGTCAGTGGTGCTGGGGAAGGGGCATCAGCCTGACCATCCATCTGCCACCTGCCATTGAGTTTGGTTAGCATTGGGTGCATTGATTCCGCTGCTGCTGAGGCTGAGGTCCTCCTCCTCACTTGGCCCTCCAGGCCTCTGATGCCCTGGCCTTCAAATCCTGGGTGAAAAGAAATCGGTGTCACATGCAACCTGATCCTGTGCGTGTTTACTCAGAAGCAATTCTCTATGACTTCAGTCCCATGGAAGTGTGGGCAGGATTGCAGCCTTCCTCTCCCCATTGTGTAATGCCTCCTTTCTGTTCCAAGCCTTGTTGCCGATTCTCCCACCAGCATCTCAGTGATTTGCAAGCCCGTTTACAGGGTAGACAAGCAGCATTTGCTTGCTGTATATACTGCAGTAAAAGACAGGTTGCATTTCTATGCTCCTTGAACAAGTTTATGACTTATTCCCGAGTAAACACGTGCTTGACATCAGGGCCGTTCACTGTAGAACACTTTTTGCTCCTCCCAAATGGAGTGCAATTGGCCAAGGGTGGAAAGTCATGCACATTTACTCAGAAAGTAAACCCTGTTATTTTCAATGGGGCTTACTCTGGTGTAAATGAAAATAGGCTCTCTACCTTTTTAAATGGTTCACACTTGAGGGCAGAGTCCTCAGATATCAGTTCCCATCCACTCTGCTTTCTAAAAACAACTCCCCCCCCAAACAGCAGCTGTGCAAGAAAAAGAATTGTCTCACTTTCTTTTCCTTCCTCCGTCTTTCTCAACCCAAAAAAACCCCATCCTCCTTGTTACTATGTTCATAAAATAGCAAGATACGTGATTCAAAAATAAAAAGTCTTTCCCCTCTGCTTTCCCACTTCACTTTCCTACTCCCCACCCCCTTTATAAACTACAGATCTCATTTAGTAGATCACCTGCTTTGCATGCAGAAGGTCTGAGAGTCAACCCCTGGCATCTCTAGGTGGGGCTGCCCATGTCCCCTGCCTGAAATTCCGCAGAGCCGCTGCCAGTCAGTGTCGACAGTACTGGGCCAGATGGATCAATGGTCAGGCTCGGCAGAAGGCAGCTTCTCTTCTCTCCCATTGCCCTGCCGCCACCCCACCCGGTTCAGCGGCGCAGAATGCATGCCTTGCTCTGCGCTCCTTCCGAATTCCTTTCTTGCTACCCATTTCCGCTTCTCTATCCTATCTGAATACCAGATCGAGCGCATCGGGCCTGCCTTCCTGGTTCGAGCGAGCGAGCGATGTGCCTACATCAGTGTTATCTGCTACCGCGTTATCCGGGACCACACGGCGGGGACGGCAGCATCTGCTGTGCTTGGGAAGGGAAGCCTCCATTTATCACCGGGGCCATCAGACAAGCGCAGTGAAACTCTGACGCCTGTTCAAAGGGTAGCCAGAAAGGCGTATTTCCTAGGGAGGAAGGTAGCAGGCACTTTCTGAAGAAGTCTTGTCGCCTCTTTAAAAAGGCTAACTCATTTTATGATGGCGCAAACTTTCATGGACTGCAGTCCACGAAATCCGATGCCAGAATAAAATTGGTGAGTCGTAAAGGGGCCTTACGTATATTTTGCTGCATCGATTGGCTCACACGCAAACACACACTTCCTCCAGAACCGGGCGGCAGGCTTTTTAAGTCTCCCGCTTTTCCCACTATTTATATACGGTTTGTTTTGTTTTTTAAAAGACGTTTGCAACAATGCAGGTTTTCTCTACACAATACACACACGCACACGCACACGCACACGCACACACAAATACACAAATGCATGGCGGCTGTTTGCAGCAGCAGTCTGAGTGATGCCGTTTTGGCCGCTCCAATTCTGCCTGGCCAGCTCGGCTAGCTGCATCTGAACACTGACACTCTCGGTTCTAGCTGGACTTAACTTCCCTATAATGTATTTAGGATGACGAGGTTAGGGGAGTTTCCTGAAGGGATCTCCTCTGTAAAAACACAACATCAACGTTAGCAATAGGGGGACACCGGTGGTTCAGGAATTTAGAGGTACGAGCTGAATGCTGCAAGCTTACTTCGAAGTAAGTTTCAGGAATCTCTATGAGGTTTACTTTCAGGAAGTGAACCTGTTTAGAATCAAGCTGTCTCCGAGCCCCGCACCGATTTAGTTAACCAAGTAGGGGCTGGTTTTCTTCCAGTGAGTTCAATGGCATTTAGCTGCCTGATTTGGCGTTTTTGCAGCCACTATCACAAAAAGTCTAGTTTAATTCTAACCTGAGCCGCTGGCCTGAAGCCCTGGACCTTTGCTGTTCACACCCATCTGCTAAATAACAACGGGACCACCGTCACCCCTTTCACACACACGACTGCCGTCTAGGGAAATCCCGTCTGGGACCCGAAGATGTTTACACGCGCACTGTATTGCTCGAATGAAACCGGATCCACCGGTTTAGTGTCTCTCTCTCTCTCTCTCTCTCTCTCTCTCTCTCTCTCTCTCTCTCTCACACACACACACACACACACACACACACACACGGCGCAGCGATACACTCCGAATCAAAACCGCTTCATTAACTTCCACGAGAAGAACCATGTCGCGGTTTTGGCGCAGCGTTCCCGCCTCTTCACACATCCCGCCCTATAATGATCACCCGCTTTCTGCGGCCCTTTGAACTGGCACACTTTTGTTCTAGTCTCTCTCTCCGACAATCCAGTTCTAGGCATGTTTACACAGCACCCAGTTCAATAGTCCCAGGTAAGCGAGGATGGGATCGCCCAGCCTAGATCTCAAGCCTCCCTCTTTTCCCCCTGTAGACAGGGTTTGATATCTAGTGATATCTAGTGCGTTTCAAATACACCTTGCTGCAAAGAAAGATTAAGACAACACACACACACACACACACACACACACACACACACACCCTTTCCCAGGCATTTTTGTCTTAGGAGTGCTCGATCCCCCGGACGGAGGGGGAGGGGCGTTCCGGATTTGCAGCGGTTTGTTGATTCAGACGCAACAAAGGCCGATTTTCTATTCTTAACGATCAGCGGTTGGACAGAGGGGCGTGAAGAAGAAGCCCGAGGTTTTTGCATTGTGCGATCACCTGGCCCCAAATCTGCTTCTTGGGCTCTCTCCCACCCTCTAGGCAGGAGGGAACTTTGGCCAGGGGATAGAAGAGGCAGGTGGCGAGACGGTCGAGAAAACTGACCAGCCTCCAATAAATTCCTTTGGACGCGCTGACTTAGGACCCTTTGCAGCCCTTTCCTTCGGCACGGTTCCTCGGGAGTAAGTCCCCGTAAACCCAATGGGACTTTCTTCCCTAGTCTATGTGCACAGCCAGAACTTTTGTAGCTCCGCTTTCAGGAGCTACAGCCGCAAAGCATCCCTTGAAAGCCGCGATCCTCTGAGCGCCCTACGTGGGAGTAAGTTAAACTGAACTCAGAGGGACTTAGTTCTGAGTTAAACGTGCGCAGGATCGGGCCTCGTAGCATCCACACTAAACTGGGAATACGCACGCACACACCCTGGCGGTTCCACGTCTTCCCCGGAGTTTGTAGTATTTAAAATACAATTTCCTTGTCATGTTTACTTCACTGGGGATTGGCTACATCTGTTTGCCCATATCTTTCTTTTGTTCTTTTTCGGTATTATGCAAGTAACAGCGCGATCAGAAGAAAGCCTCACTGATGCTAGTGGGACTTACTCCCAGGTAAGTGTGCCTAGGCTCCCAGGGTAAGCATGCGTAGGATCCTGTGCGCACTTTCCTGGGCGTAAACCCCACTGAACACAGTGAGAATGACTTCCGAGCAAGAATGCATAGGATCGGGGTGTCAGTCTCGCAGAGGGGTTCAGTGGTACTTTCCTTTCAAGGAAATATGCATAGGAGTTCAGCTTTGGCTGCTGGGATTCATTCAGGCAGTTTCCAAAAAAAGAATTATCATATATATAGTTATATATATGTTTCTTAAACCCTATATCCTGAACTGAATCCTGTCCATCTGTTAACACTTAATCCTCACTCCGAAAACGCAGACACCATCAGCCACGTATCCATCCATAGGTACCGCGATTTACTGCCGCGCGTTCACGAAAGCGTAAGGGCGATTGAGAGCCACGGAATTTTCTCTGCAGCAAGAGTGACCCTACTAAGTGATTCCAGAATTGCAGCCACCATCGCCAACAAACTGGTTCAGACACGTGCGCGCGCCCCAATAAATCTCTGGCGCAGACACAGAAAGGCATCGACACGTGCCCGGTCGCCACGGATCTTGTGGACTCCCACTTCAATTCCTTTACGGATCTCGTATTCAGTAGATTGTTTCCGATTAAATCCCCCTAAATAAAACTTCGTCGTTAGATTTGATGTAAAAGAAGGAGGTCCCGGTAGTAGGCACTAGAATATGTAAGGTTTTTTTTTATTTAAGTTTTCTCCCGTTTTAAAGTTTTTTAAAGGATGTGTCTTGACTTCAAGGAATATTAACAATCGAGACAGGATAAAGAGTTGGGTGTGCAGGCACACCTTACTCGCTGGAGCGCCATTGCTCCGCACGGCCTTAATGCTCAAAGACAGCACTCAACTGACCGGCGACGAAAAACTTCGATCCTGCAGGATTTTCCTGTGGTCAGGATCGCTCATGTCATACCACGCAGCTGGCCCGGGGATCTTTGAGGAAGAGGGATGAAGTCCCCCGACCCTCCGACATAAAGTGAACCTGATTAGGACCATATCTTTTCCTCACATCCTTTCTTCAGGTAAAAAACCTGCAAGCCATCGCAGCCCGATCCTATGTGTGCTTAACTGGCATTCACTGCTTAGGATCTGCAGATTGAGGGAGAGGCGCTGCCTGCGGCTCAGTCTCAGTCCCGTGCGCTGCGGACCCAGGCGAACGCGGGGCATTAACGCCGACACGGATTGCTCAGTCATGCGATCCTATTCATATTTACTCTGAAGTAAAGAGTTAAATGGAACTTACTCGCAGGTAAGTGTGGATTGGATCGCTGCCCTAAACTCACACTGTTGCAACTGCCCTTTCATAATTCGCCTCCCCCCGGTGGAAATGGCGATAGTCGCTTGGAGAGCTGGACCCCTCCTGCCCGCAAAGCAGGCAGGCGATCCTAAGCCCCTGTGTGGCATCGGGATTCCGTGGAACTTCAAAGCATCTGTGGGCAAAATTGACACCAAAAGGCACACAGGTGGAAAATTAGGCGCAGAAGAATCCCCCCTCCCCGCCCGATCTTATAGTTGCTTCGTCGGAGTAAACCCTGTTCCCACTAAGTTTGACGGGTCTGGCTCCCTATATCTCAGCATGGCGAGGACTGCGACGTTACAGGGCATAGCTGTCAGCTTTTCCCTTTTCTTGCGAGGAATCCTATTCGGAATAAGGGAATTTCCCTTTAAAAAAGGGAAACGTTGACAACTATGTTACAGGGGCAGCCGATCCTCGCTTCCACTACAAACGATACGGTGCTGGCTCAGTATTTTGCAGACTATCATTTTGCGCTCTGGGTCTCTTAAGCCACCCCCCCCCCAAAAAAAAAACCTTGCTGGTTCTTTGGCTGGCAACTGAAGCGGGAAACTGAGCCCCACTTGAAACCTCGAGCGAGGAAGCGTTGCGGATAACAAGCCGGTTTGGGAATGCTTCAGGCTTCGGGACCTCATGGGGGTTGACCGCTTCTGAATCGGCGCGCTTTGTATTGTCCGGCGGCAAAGCAAGGATGAGAGAGCGAACCGGAACCTCCGCCCCACCAGCCCGCCCTCAGCCCCGGGATCCAGTTTTTGGTGCCTAGTATCGCATTCAGGGTGATTTTTCA